ATCCGCCCCCCGTCTCGTCTAGGATCCGACAGGTGATGCTACGCTCCGGACCCGTGACATTTCCTTGGAAGAACCCCAGACACGGGCCCGCATTATCCCTCTGGGCCCGAGCAAAACCAAGGAAAACCAGTACATCGTCGGCAGTTGGCGTCGCGGCCATCCGGACCCGGAAGACTCCCGTTGCCGGAGGTGATCCCGAAGGAATTCCCTTGGTTCCCCCGAAGCTACCGAGGCCGTCTCTCTTTTGTGCTCGGACGGTGAGTCAGCATGTCAAATAGTTGTGAAGCACGGTCCAGCAGGGCCTGCAAACTTTCTCAAGTTCGGATCTCTCGAAGGTTTGCTGATCTACAACACGTGGCCTGTCAGTGGCCAATGCGAGGGAATTGATGGGAATAGCTTCATTTCGATAAAGTAGCGAGAAATCTAGTCTTGAGTAAGGTTTCTTGAGCTATTTCCCGCCCGAGGTATTCAAGATCTAGCCACACTTCCTTTCCGCCCAGCGATTCGATGACATGCGTTGAGACAATCAGTGATAAGGTGCCATGAACCACCCACTGAAGTAAAGTATCGACATGCAGCGAAGACTGCCGGTTGTTCCGAGCCACGTCTGTCTCGTGGTTGCGAAGAAAAGAAAGGCCGCCAAACGCAGGGCGACTGGGCGAGAAGCTGGTCTCGGGATCGTGGGCTCTTGGTTCGACGGATTGCCTGCTATGTTCCTCCACAGACGGCGCATAGGACAAGATGTTTCACCAAGACCATCACCAGTTCCACACTCGGCCGTATTCCGCCGGGCTTGCGGGGCTCGCAAAGGCCGAGTTGGTTGAGTCTCCGGATGGCAGTCTGCCGTCCCTGCGTCCGAGCTGAATACTTGAAACGCGACCCTTTCTTTTTGTCATGTTGTCAGCAACCTGGGCAGCAAGATCGCGGACTGATAAAGCTCTTTACCGAAGTTCGCCAAGTGAGAACACGCTACGAGTCTGTGACTGTCCTTTCGCCCCTCTAGTTGAGTCCCAAAAGCTAACGATTAATCCGACGGCTGTTGCGGTCCATACCGCTCTCCATCAATCACCAAGGTCCGATTTGCAGTGCGCCGCTCTTCGTCTGTGGCGAAGGGACTGCGGGTGATATTCCTGAGAATATGAGGAGGCACGAAACCGCCCGCACTTCTGTTTTCCTGTCGTGTGTCTGAAGCTTTGAGACCATCGTGGCGGTGTAAGGCCGTATCGCCTCTTTCGCCAGTATTGACAGGGATGGCCTGGATGACTGAACACACAGCCAGGACGGGTAGGCCAGCCTTGAAGAGATGCATGATTCCTTGGAAGAGGATGATAATCTGATTTCAGGTGTTGGCCGAGGCTGTGAAGCTGATGTGGTTTTTCGCGATCGAGTGCTTCGGGTGCACTTTCAAAGTTCTGGGAAGAGCGTATTGAGAGAGCCCTTGATCTGAGCAGCCTTTTATTATTTGCCCTGTGGCAACTTCGTGAACCTTTGTGACATAGAGCTTGAGGGCTAAGTTCATCGCACGAAGTTTGCCTGCGCAGTCGTACCTGGATGACTGCCTCCCAGAAACGACCTTTTGCACTCAGTTGCCTGCTGTCTGCCTCTAGAGATTTCGCAATAACGACAGTGAGACCCTTTGACCCGAATTGCAGACCTAGGCGGAGTTTCCGACTCGAGGGTTCCTGGTGCTTCTCCAACCGGCCCTTCGAGAACTGCAAAGGCTATGAACCGAGTCAAGCTTCGTCTCAAGGCCAGTCACGCTCACCACAGCAGATGCAGACAGCCTGTAGATCTGCGACGCATCGGACGAACCGAGAAATTTGAGACGCCAACGTAAAATGATTACTCGCTCATACTAAAAGAGCCGTTGATGCTTTTGACTCTGTTTTTTTTAGGCAGAGGAAACCCCAGGTGACACCGCTCGAGGCCCGTAGACGACTTGTTCTCCAGGCTTTGGCAGGCGGCTCTGAAAGCTTAGCAGGCCTCATTGCGGAACTTGACACTTGTGATACCGTAACTGTGGATTGTCAGTGCTGTGCAAAGGAGAATTAGTCTACGGCCGGGTTGTTGTTTCAATAACTTCTAGCCGTCAAAGCCTCATGGAAGTTAGGAAGCTAATTTCAACCCGAATAGTGACCTTCAATCAATCCAAAAATCACCTCTGTCGGACTGTCAGGGAATGGCCGATCTCAACTCCAAGGTCCAGTATGTCCAGACTGGCTAGAAACAAAAATGGTACAGTCTTAGATCAGCTTTTGTCTCGACAAAACACTCCACTTGCAATCACCATGATGATCGCGTCTGCCTTTGAGATGCACGAGAAGACTGTGTAAAGTCATGGCATCACGCGCAGATCAGTTTTCCTGATGGAGCCTCTGCGTGTACAACATCAAAGGTTCGCGATGATTGAATCCCGGCAGTATGTGGCATTCTGTTCATCATGAGAGTGACATCGATTCATTCGTCCATCAATCTAAGCCTAGAAAGAAGTCTTACTTGCTGCCTGCTTCTAGTCCTGCTCGGCACTTGGCTTCTTATCCCCGCCTCCCTCTTCCTCCTTGCCATTCTCTCCACAATCTTTCTTCTTTGCCCCCCACCACGCAAACGCAGTAGCAGAGACCCCGGCGCCCGCCTGTATCGCTCCGTTGACGACCGCGGCACCGTAGCCAGCCGCTCCGGCGCTCTGGAGGGTAGCAAATAGGCTCGGTGCCACCACGTTCCCGATTCCGGCCTGGATGCCCGCCGCCGCAGAGCCTATGAATCCGGAAGAGTCAGTGATCAAAACGTACAACTGCGAAATTGACTATGCCTCAAGCCTGAGCCAGTTACTTACCGGCGACGATTCCCTGCGAACCAAATCCTGCAAGTCCCAGGGCTGGTGCAGCGACGAGAGCTGGTGCGGCCAAAACGATAAGACTGCCTGCACTTACGCCATAACAAATAGTCGTCCTGGGGTTTTCGCGAACCCAGTCGGCGGCCTCGAAGGTTCCGGACATGTTAGTGGCATGTATATCCTACTTAGGTGCATGCTTAAAATCACCTTTCTCAGTCTTGATGGCTGGTCGGACTCATCTTCGCTTTCTTCTGGCGGGGCCTTCGTGTCTTCTCCGCCCACCCCGCGAAGTAGCTGTTGGTTGCTGACACCGGGCGGCAGCACTTTCGACCTCAGCAGGCCAACAGCTGCCACCTCAGCATAAGCCTTTCCATTCCTGAGTGCCTGCATCGCGCTCTTGATGTCTTTCGTTGTGTTATTTTCAGTGATGAATTAATGACAAGATCTCTAGCAAAACAAATTTTGCGACCGAGATTCTCGGTTTCTTTGTAAAATCGGTGCCTGGAGGGAGTAGCCTTAATCCCCAAACATGCTCCCAACGCAAAAACATGTGAGGGTGATCGGTCATGTCGGAGGCCAACCAACGTTTGGGGGTTGAAGACATGATTGGTGTGTAATTTTAGCATCACGTTCTGCACTCCCAACTCTGAGCCTTCTCAAAAGTGAGATTTGGCTACCTATCCGTAATGTTCAACTCCCTTCATCATCGAGAAGTTTTGATGAGTCTCTCTAGTACACCAGGTTGAATGATATATGCATCTATCTCAGTGCCTACAATAGAGTCTTCTAACTCTTCAAGCCTTTGCACGCGGAGGGAGCGAGAGTCTTCTTTGGAATGTCTAGTGCCCTCCCGCCCACGATATCTTGGCAAACTTGAATACCATTGGTTTGTCGACCCCCAAGGCGCTTAGCAAGACCATAAGCGCCGAACCCATGTCCTTCGAGGACACCCACTTGCGATTGAGGTGTGGCACGAAAGCAGGATCCAAATACTCGGAAACTGTTTTGAAGCCATCAACACCGAAGACTGTTGACAGTACCGTGGACGAGACACAGAATTCCGGCTTCATTTCTATAGTGCTCAACTGGGCACCACGCCTCTTAGATATAAATAGTCCTCGTTTGCTCCAACTTCTCAATCGAACTTCAACCAGAACAACTGCAGTTCAAGATCTCCCAACGAAAGCCTAGTCAGCCAACACAAACACAAACAACACCCTTTGTATTTTGACCTTTTCGCTCCTATTTGTCGATTAGTGGCCTTTCTCCTCCAAATACAGGAGATTCTTGCAACCATTCTTTGGCTCATCAATATCGCTAGTTATCTCAAGATCACAGGACCACTCCGTGAAAGCATCCCCCCCCCCCTCCCCCCTCCCCCTCGTGTCAGCGTTGATACCCGCCCCTCCATCATCCACACACAAGATCTGTCGAAGTCTCCGTTTTGTCAACGGCCCGAAGCGAGCTACACATCTACCACCACCAATAACATTCGCTTCACCCCCGCTATACGATCTTTATCTAAGTCCTCCAGTTCCTATCGGCCGAACGTCACTAAGCCAGTGGGTAAGACCGACACTGTTGGAGTTGCAGGTTGGTCAGCTCCCTTTTCCCCTTATCTACACCTCTTCCCCAACTCCAGAAGCTCCATCGCTGCACAAGGGTCTACTTCCCATGACTCCCCTTGGATCTCAACTCCAAGCTTACGGCAGCGACCTATTGCCCCCACCACCTGCAAGTGAATGCGCGTGTCGATGCCCTCCGAACTCAATCATCCACGCCCTGACGCTCATGTTGCGACCTACAGTCTCATTCTAGTCGTTGTGAGCGCGTCACACACAAAATTAGTCATGAGTTGTGCGACCTCAAAGCCATTCCTGTATGGTCAGCTCCATAAGCTCTTCATCACTTGCTTAGTCCTCTATCTTGCATCCTCAAACCCTGTTCTAGTTGTTTATGAGTGCTTCACTCATATTTGTGCAAGTATTTTGCATTCTCTAGTCCCTTTGTGCCTGCTTATGAGTGCATAAATGACTGTCACTCAATTTTACAACCTTCGATCTCAACGACAACTCCGGAAATGCTAAGCTTCAGCTCGTATTCACATACAAAATCGACAAGTAGTGATGTGAATAGCCTGCTTCATGTTTCCCTGCCGGCACATACCCCTCTACCCGGTTCTTCTGTTAAAATCTTATAAAAGGAGACAACTTCTTTCTTCAACTCTCTTCTTCAGACTTCTATATTTCATCACAGAATCCTAGATTACACCTTGGCTGACAAAAACCAGACATCAACTTGAGCCCCTTTCTCGGCAATACCAAAAACACAAAGGAGCATCGCGCACCCTCAAAAGCCTACAAATACCACAAATCAATCATTCCAAGCTACCATCTAGACACCACAATACCCCAAAATCCTTCTATCACACACCATGGCTGCTTCCCTGACCATTCTGGAAGTCGATCACGCTATGGCGGATCTTGACCAAACTGAGATCTGCCAGCTCAAGGATGCTCTGGACCGAGCTGAAGATATTATCAATTGCCTTGAGGAGCTAAAAGATGTCGACCAGACGCAAATAGTCCAGCTACAGGCCCATATCGACGAGCTGGGGAAGACGATCGAGGGTTTACAAGAGGAGAACAGTCGTCTCAAGGAGCAGAACCAGGAAATTCTCGGCAATACCCAAGAGCCCTGCCAGCCGGTTCAGGGGTCTTCTTCCCATCATCGATTCGACATCAGCCGTACGGCTATTTTGGCCGTGGCCTCAGAGTCCGCCTCAGCACCCTCTGACGAGGATGTCGCTGTCGATATGGAAAACTTGAATATGGACGACGCCGTTAAGGACGGCTACCTCTCTGTTTCTGACAGCGGATTCGAGGATGTTAGCTCCGAGACCGGTTCCGATTCTATTTGAAGTTCTCCATCAAAAGTAGTAGCTTAGAAGCCAAGTAGTAATTCAGTTTGGACATTCAAGTCAAGTTTCTTCGAGACATCATCAGGAATAGTCGGTGAACGGGTATGAGTATGGACGCCTTAGTGGTAGATAGAATCTTAGCGAGGAAAGGTAAGAGAATATGCCGCTCAAGTATACTTTGAGAGTGGAACAAGAACTCGGAGTTTCGCGTGGGCGACGAAAGTTTCTTTTCAAAGCTCAGAATTGCAGGTAGTCTTCCGGAGTGACAGATATAGCTATGTTTAGTAGAAGATCATTTACGTCTTTTCTTAGAAAAGTTAATTAGTTTTTGAATGGTAACCTGACTTTCGAAGCCGTCCATGTTGAAAAGACCCACCATAACCCACGAACTCCAGTCGTGCACGGAGTACTAGACCACTACCGGAGCAAACATCATCTTCCAGGGTGATGTCCCACCTGCCGCCCATCATGATACCCATACCCCTCATCCCCAAGCGTAGGACTAACATCACCAGGAACCCTCGGGCTTGCATCGTCGACCCTCGGGCTCACATCACCAACCCGCGGGCTAATATCGCCAACCCTTGGGCTCGCCGTGGTATCGCTTCCCATCTCGACCGACGAGCCGCCATACCGTGGACTACTCGGCATCTCGCTCGCACTAGCTGGAACCTCGAGCTCCGCAGCATGGACATGGACGTTGTTGTGGTGACCAGGCGACGTCGGCGAATCGAGGAAGCCAGGCTTCGGCTCGGGAGAAGAGTAGGGGGTGTAGCCAGGCAGCTCCGACATGGCACTCTGTCGCGATACCTCTGTGCCAGCCGCCTCATGCGCCCTCCTTCTCTTCTTCCGCCGGAGGAACAGAAACGCACCAAGTCCGATCAGCGCAATGGCAGCTACGCCGCCTACAACGCCACCTGCGATAGCACCCTTTGATGAACCACCGGAATCCGGCTGAGTAGTCGATGAAGCAGATGACGACGGCGATACCGCGCTGTTGGGTTCGACAACGAGGGTATACTCGGGCGTATACGCCGGCCTCCTCAGCGATGGGTCAAAGATATACTGCAAATACACGTCACTCCACGCCCTCGGCGCCCTCTGACTCGCACCCCCCGACGACGTCCCGCCCACGGCAGCGACAACCTGCGACGGCACGGGCGCAAGTCGCTTCGCAGCTTCGGTATCATACCGTCCCGTATAATTCTGACTCGCGAGCGAAAAGATCTCGACGGGCATGTGTTCTGCGCAGGTATTCACATTCTGCATGCCGCCGTCATTCTTGGTCTGCATTCCACCTACGATGAGCAGGTTCTCGCCGACGGCGTGGCAGGTGTGGCCGTACATGCCGTCGGCGCGGGTGTGGACGAGGATCCAGGTGAAGGTTGGGAGGGTGAGGACCCAGATCTCTTCCGAGGTGATGTAGGTCGCGTAGTTCTCGACGCCGGCGATCATGTAGATGTTCCAGGAGGACTTGTCGGCGGCCGGGACGAGGACGGCGCAGATGTCGGAGCGGCCTGTTGGGATGTCGGGGAGGCCAAAGGTTTCTTGGCGGAACCAGAAGCCTGTTTCGACATCGTAGATGTCTACGAAGGAGAGGTTTGTCTTTTGGGGGCATGTTAGTTAAGGGGGCTGCTCAGAGGTTGAAGGAAACTTGCATTGACGTTTCCAGCGTTGGCGCCCTCGATGCGAACACCAAAAGGTGTTGGGTCGCGCGTAGTCTGGCCACCAATATTGACAACGATGCCCTTTTCGCCGACGGGTACGTGGACCATTGCGCCATTCATGCGCGGGCCGACGTATGTCGGGACAGAAATGTTGGTGAGCTTCGGCTGAGAGCGCTCTGCGGTATCAAGCTCGAGCATGCCTTCGAGGACTGCAAGATGTCAGGCCTCGATTCTTTGTCGCCGCTTAGGTAGAGGAAGTAGGGCATCAAAACAAACTTACACCGAAAGTCAGCTGAAGCTGTATACGCAGCGTTCGCAGGACCAGATCTCCTCTGCACGTATCCCTCAAAGATGTAACTCCGATTCAACGTCGGCGCGTCGCAAAAGGCAGCAGCGCCAGGCCTGTCCACAATCTCGCCATTATTCGACACCCGAAAGTCTGTCGCCTTGGACCATCGCCCGCCGTCGACGTCAAACTCCCAGATGGCCGGCTCGGGGATATTCGGGTCGGCAATGAAGGATGGGTTGTTGGGGGCGTTGAAGGAGAACCACCCTCCGAGCTGATATATCTTGCGGGTGGTCTGGGAGTACCACAGCGCGTGCTCGATGAGGCCGTTGGGGACGTCGGGGCTCTTCAAGATGGACGAGTACGGGCTTGTCTCCTGGTTTGTGAAGTTTTGGGAGAGGTCTAAGACCAGGACTTGAGTGTCTAGGGTGCGTTAGAATCGCAAGACACATGACCCTGGTGACAGCATGCTCACTCATTCCCGCGTCATATTGACCGGCTTCCGTGTTGTAAAATGTGTTATTGTTCTTCGGCACGTACGTGTTGCCGCCGTCGACGTAAATCTTTCCATAGGCTAAGACACCTACAGCCAGTCAGGTTAGACTTGATCATAGATAGTAGAGCAAGAGGGCGCTAAACTTACTCGCATGTCTCCAGATGCGGCAGAAGTGCTGCGAAAGGTCATACACGCTACTATTGATAGTCGGCGCCGGGACGGACGTCGGAGCGGAGAAGACGGATGATGTAGCAGAGGAGAGGCTCTCGGAAGAGCTGGCGCTGCTCACGACCTGTCTGACATCCAGCTCACCAAGGACAGGCCCCAGAGCAGCTACGAAAAGCAACGCAAGCCACGGGACTCTCATAATGATATTGTCTCAAAGGCACACGAAGAAAGATATGACGAAGAAGGCCAGAAATGCGGCCATCCGGTCCACGGGGTATGGACGGGTATTTGCAGGAACACGGCGAAGAGAGGGAACGTGAGAACTGGGGGGGGTGTTGGGCTTCTCTCCATTCTACGCCACACAGCAGCAATCAAAGAGAGGCATTGCAGACCACACCCCATGTCCTGTTGGTACCAACAGGTTTCGAGATGAAAAGCTCAATGAGGAAAGCAGGAGGCGTCCATCCTCCAACGGGGTGTGATTGATTGGATATCCGTGAAGACATGCAGGAATTGGGTTGGGTTCACCTCGACTGGGGGCCCGTAAACAGACGATTGACACAGACACAGCATGGTATAGACCGTAAGATCTAGAACCCTCGTCGGACAAACAGCAAACAGGACGGGGTACGAGGGGAGACACAGACACGGTCCCACGGAGGCAGAGGTAACAGCATACAGTCGATGGTTTTCAAGCCTCAATATGCCAGTCTCGGCCGGTCTGACCGGCGATCGAATCAGACCGTTGTCAGCAACGTGGGCTCTGTACCATTGGGCTGGCGTTGGTCGTTGGAGAAAGGTGGTGATGCGATCGCGGTCCTCATTTGCCTACGGCGTAGGACGAGTGAGCTTGGCCCCCAATAAGGTTCTGGACCGTGAGATATGCACAAAAGGTGCAGGGAGCCAGAGCCTGCTTGCTTATAGGCACATAGTTTTGAGCTGACGGCCTCCACTCGGCAGGTAAGTTAGCTTAATTGGGAGATGCCGAAGCTAGAGAAGCTTATCAGCGATGATTTCTACAGCTGCTTTGATGGAGACAAGTGAAGGTGATTGATGGAGGAGAGTACTCCGTGAGTTTGAATGAGAGGGTGTACGAGCCAGGCTGTGGCCTCCTCTCTCATGGATGAGTTTGTCAGTAAAGGCTGAAGATGAGTGTTTGCTTGTGAAACCAACACGTCGTGCCTGTCCCGATTGGGATCTGGGCGACTCGAGGAAAAAATGGTTTCATGTAAGAGCTATGAGGGAGGAACAGGCGTGACGGTTGTGTTGGACAGTCTCTTAAGATGAATTAATTGCATCAGCCTTTCACTCATGATGGGAGGCAAGGTGAGTGAGAGTGAGTGAGAGTGAGTGAGAGTGGGTGTACGTGTATGTAGAGTGAAGCTGAAGAATCACAAGTGAAATCCAGCCACTTCCCCAACTCCCAGAATGAAACCTCAGCCCTCCACACCCGCCTGGATTAAAACCGCCGCTAACAGAACCCAGACCGAGCCTAAGAATCCCTCAGTCTCCAAGTATCTGCGACCCTTTTCTTCTGCCAGTCTCTCTCCAAGGCTCCAACAGACCGGAACGCAGCCAGCGCCGTACCCCGGTGGGATTCTGTTAGCGGGGCCGAGTCACCGACTTTACCGCAACAGACGAGAAACAACCCCGTCTCGCTGGTGGACATGCGCAAGTTTCCCATCTTCCCCCCACCGTCAACCGTGGACCACCCCGCGTTCCCGGCCCAGCCGCCTGAGTCGCCCGTTACGCCTATCCGTGGACCCTATGGCCACCTCACCAATCACATCTTACCGTTGTCAGATGGCACAAGATGGCACAGCGATCCGTCTTGCGCTGGCGTCCTGAAACCTGCTCACCTCCATGCCGTTTTAGGACTCGGTGGCAGCGGTCACAGGGCTGTTGCTTGTCATGTGCGACGATGCAGCGAGATAAAGCTCACCCCTGCTCGTTCGAATGGGCTTCTGCTGTCCTGATAAGAGGCGTGGCCATCCCCTTTGGATTGAAGAGCTGAAGAAGGTCGACTGGTAGCTTCGTGTTCATCCTACTTCTCTATTGCATCCATTCTACCAAAGTTGAGCTGTCGAATCAGTTGAGAAAGCGCCCAGAACTCAAGATACCCTCATATTCAATAACACCAAACCAGTAAAGGACCGGATCCTGTAAATCATCGCCAAAATGCCGGCCATTCTCTCTAACCTGTCGGTTGGCCCTCAGTCGAATTGAAAAGATGACCTATGCTTACAATGACTCTAGAGCCCCCTCAGTTGAGCACCAGCAACAATCAAAGCTCGCAACAACACAGCTTACCACCGCATCCAACCCCGTCCCCTCAACCGCAGACTGCGCCGCTCACCTGGAGCTCCTCGAGACCTTCGTCACACTCCGCGACGCAGTCCATCTGCTCGCCGCCGACGCCGGCCAGGCACCCGAGCGCGTATGGGACCTGTACTGCAACCGGGCCGTCGCCCGTTTCGAGCAATGGAGTACCGGCGCCGAGAGGCCGGCGGAGCAGATGCCGCCCGTCGACGTGCTTATGGCGTGGCACGCGTTGATGTTGCACCCCAAGGCGTACGCACGCTTCATCGAGCTCGGGGGACGTCTGGGTCTGGATGGGATTAACTGGGCTGAGATTGTAAGTTCCTTAAACACTCTCGCAGTACTCTTCTGCCCCTAGTAGAAGAAAAAGGCGCAACCATCTTGGCAAAGCATGCTAATCATCCGCAGTCGAGATCGTCAAACCTCGAATCCCTCATCGCTTCAATCGACCTCCCCTCCCTCCTCTCACCACCAGCCTCCCAGACCGGCACCTTCACCCACGCCTCGCCCACAGGAACAACCCTCTTCACGTACCCCCTCACAGCAGCAATCAACCGCCAATTCTCCTTCTCCCTCAAAATGTCCTCCCACGCCTGGCTCCGCAGCGCAAGCCCCGCAGACCTCCTGGCCGCGGCGCAAACCCGCTACGCGCAATTCTTCCACCTCATCGCCGCCCACCCGGGCACCGTCATGGTGCCGACGCTCGACATTGACCTCGTCTGGCACACGCACCAGCTCGCGCCGGCGCGGTACATGGCCTACTCGAAGCGGACGACGGGGAAGCTGGTGGACCACGATGACGAGATCCCCGACGAGAGTCTGTCGGTGCTGTCGACGGATATGAGGGCGCTTTGGAGGGAGGCGTTTGACGAGGAGTATCTTCCTGCTGCTTGCCAGGAGGATGCTGGGTGTGGAGGTGGCTGCGGTGGTGGATGTGGAGGCGAGGGTGGATGCGGGAGCTGTGGTGCCATGAAATGAGCGTGGAGGCTTGTTACACTCATGGAGGGACGGGAGCGCATCTAGACAACGGCATTACATATGGAGTTTGCATCTCAAGCTGAATACCTACATGACAATCATCTTCAAGAGCCAAAAAGGTCAAAAATAAAAGCTTTACAAACTGTGAATGCCTCGTGGCGGAATCGAACCGCCGATCTTCTCATGTCACTAATACTAGTGAGACGCTATACCACTTAGCCAACAAGGCGACTGTTTATTGGTTGTTGAGATCCGAGAGGTGGAGGTCATCCTTACAGCTACGACGGCAAGTCCACAACCCCAGCCGTACATCTCCCGCCCCCTTGCACCAAGTTTCGTCCCGCATTGAAAGTTGCTGCTCTCTCGGAGCTCTCCATATTGCATCTCATGGGCCATCCCGACACGGCCACCCAAGGCCGCCCACAAACGTCCCCGCCAAGCACGTCAAAGTCGTATTTTTCACCCGGGTTTCCATTCTTTTTCAAACTCAATTAGAATGTTTAAAAGGGGCTCACCTCGGCTCACTCAACTCCCCGTCCAATAACACGTCACGAAAAGGTAAGCAAAGCGCGGTATAACGGAGTATAACTTCAAATAAGACTCCCCAGTGGGCTCACCGAACAAGGGATGAACGTATAAGCAGCCCATTTTATAATGATAGATCACAGTTGCTCCGTCACTGCGGCGGCTTCTGTCCAGGGTTTGACCTTACTGCCGAGGCACGGCTATCGTTCCGCTGCTTCTAGAAGAGAAGGAAAGCAAGAAAGGTGCCTGGGCACAATTCGATGCGTACCGTGGAAGGCGTGGACTTTGTCGGATTCGCCGCGTCGACGGCGCCGCCGCCCGGGGTTGACAACTTAAAGGAGAATCCCCGAGTCTTAACTCGGATGGCCCAGCCCTATGCGTCGTGTATCTGTTTATAGGCCCCTCCTTAATCGTAGACCCCCAGGTTTTGATCAATTGTATAAAGCAGCTTTCGTCGACGTTCTATCTTCGTGATCTTGTCTCCCTCCTTCAGTATCCTCAATCATCCTCTTACTGGACCACCTTCGTTTCATACAATACCAAAGGCACACTTGTAAGGGCCGTCACTGTCTTTCCAGAAGCTCGAGAAATCCCAAACTCTCCAACGCTCTTTGTTACTCAAGAATCCCATATCTCCCACAAAGACTCATACAAGATGCGCGCCTCAGCAGTCCTCGCGGCAACCTGCGCCATGTCCGTCACCGGTGCCGCCGTCCCCCGCGACGCCGCTCCCGCAGCTCACCCCTGGCTCGCCCCCGATGTTGCCGGCGGCGCCGTCCGCGGTCCTTGCCCGATGCTCAACTCTCTCGCCAACCACGGCTACCTCGCCCGCGACGGCAAGTCCATCTCCATGCAGGACCTCATCGCCGGCCTCGGCTCCGCCCTGCACTTCAACGAGTCCCTCGTTCGCACCCTCGGCACGCCCGCCTTCGCTACCTCCACCACCGGCAACGCGAGCACCTTCAACCTCGACGATATCGCCAAGCACAACGTCATCGAGCACGACGGCAGTCTCTCTCGCGCCGACTTCGCCGTGACGGGCGACGCGAAGACCTTCAACACGACCGTCTGGGCCGAGACCAAGGGCTACCTCGAGTCCGGTGCCGCCGCCTCCGACAACAAGGTCGGCGTCGCGACCATGGCTTCCGCGCGCAGCAAGCGCATCGCCACCGCGAAGGCGACGAACCCGTCCTTCAACTTGACGACCAGCCAGGTCACCGTCTCTCTGGGCGAGTCTGCCGTCATCCTCGGCACCATTGGACAGAGCTACACCGCGCCTGCTGCGCCGGTCGAGTGGTTGAAGGTCGTCTTTGAGGAGGAGCGCCTGCCGTTCAACGAGGGATGGAACACCTCTGCCGATGTGATTACCACCGCCCAGGTCCTGGGTCTGTCGCAGCTCATTGCTACTAGCAGCAGCTAAGCATGAGCTCGTCTGGTGATTGGGTTTAGAATAGAAATAAAATGCGTCATGTTTAACGATTCCAAGTCAATGTCCCAAAGTAGCGATATCGCCGGCGCCGTCGTGAAGACTCAATTGTATATGTGGATCGCTCCACGGAATTGTCGAATGAGTCCATGAGATGAGGAGCTTTCGCTGGACGGCAGTCTTCGAGTTCCTCGGCATCTGCCCACAACGGAGGGTCTCCTTAGTGTCGTGACTCGTGGACTGGGGATGGAGCCATGTTGAATGAAAAGATAAAGGGGGGCTCGGCGTTGCATACGTGCCTTCGTTTTCGCTCAAACTTTTTCGGCCCGCACAGGGGCATCCGGAACAAACGTTGCACCGCATGAGAGACTCCATCCCAGGCCGGCACTATGGGCAGTTATGCACGGTCAATAGTCGGTCGCTCCAGACTGATATTGGTGTGGCGTACCTCTGAACTATAGAAGTCTTTTTATACAGTCCTTCCCAAGCCTCGTAGAGGCTTAAAACCTCTGCAGTCGAAGAATTGAGAGTGTGGCATGGCGACATGTAGTTCATGTTGACCAAAGACTTGCCATCTTGCTGGTCGTTATTTGCGAAGCGCAATGGTCAGTCGGACGCCTAGAATGTTTCTCGAAGAAGCGAGAAGTTTGAAAGAGGAAAAAGCTTTTTCCGATTGTACACTTCCTTCGCTGGGCTTGGCAAAATGTCAGAACGCGATGTTCGAACCATGAAGTAAGAGAGCCAACGGAGGACTGGCGAAGATTAGAAGTGAAGTTGGAGTTGACGACATTGGGGAACAGACGCTATTACGAAAAGGGAGCGGGATGCACACCTTCTGTCCCTTGCGTACTAACCTAATCGTGCCTTGCTACCTACCCTAAGACAACTAGGTACCATCGGTAGCTGCCAAACGGCGCTCAGTTGAAGAACAACCCCAAATCATGATTTTGACCATTCGACGGCACAAGCTCGCAATATCTTCATTCCATTGAATAAATAGAATTAGTTGTGCCAGAATTAGTTGTGTCATAGTTGGCAAGGTACACTTCTCCCCTGCACATGACCTATACACGGAGATTTTACTCCGACGTTGTTGGAGGCGGGCAGGGAGCGGGAAGCAAATCGGACGGAGATCTGCGATCTAGTACCTTGGGGACCTTAGCGCCGTCCGGGAGTACCATCATTCCCCCACATCATGACGTTTTGCGCCTCAAATCCTCAAGCTTCAAAGTCTCCATGAGCTCGAGGACCTAGAGCTTCACCCCTCTTTGGAGAGCTTAGAAGCAGAAGCCAAGGTGCGAACTCACATGACGTCAACTCGAGCCCATAGCTCATGCTTCTTTATATAAGATCTTCCAACCCCCTTTCATCAGTGGTACTCTCTTTCTGAAGTTCATCCAAATCTATACTGAAATCACTGGCTATCAATCCATCCTCCAACAACTTCCGTCCCGAGATCATATCATTTTCAATTTAGCCAATTTCTCAACAACCACCAATTATCACTATGCCTCGCGACGGATCTGGAGCCTCTGACAACAAGGTCGAGGAGACCCACGACGTTATCCACGGCGCTGGCGCCATCAAGGTAAGACGAGACGCTCCTAGTCATCAACCCCTCTAAGAGTAACTCAAGGCTGACCAGTTCTTCCATCAGGACCCTCACGTCGACCGCGCCGACAAGACTGCGCCTCTCCCTGAGCCTGAAAAGGGTCTTGCCATCGATGGTCTTGCCGCCAGCGGTGGCTCATTTCCTAAGGGAGAGGGTGCTGGACAGGGCGGACGATCCAACTAAATTTTGCGGAATGAATAAGTTAAAGGATGAAGATGAAGAGAGGGATGATAATGAGCCACCTGAATATGATCATACTGCATATAGATGATGCCATTTGGTGACGACTACGATGAGGTAGTCTTAATGAGAATGTATTATTTCCAAGGGTTTCCTGCTTGCGTCTACTTTGCATGCGGCCTGCATTTTACGCAGTTCATACGTCTGTGATGACTAAATACGACGATGAACATCAGTACATATGCTGCCTTTCATCTTCTGGGGTATATGCCTACGTGAAGGCCAGATACTATCATTCATTATGGCATTCTCAATCCCGTCACTAGGTTTCCGAAAAGAGGTGCTGCGATCTCATTGAGAAAAGGGAAGATTCCAAGTATCGCGAACACTAAAACAGACTATCAGGACCATCCATCCGATTAAACATCGTCGTCTTGTATTGAAAAGCGGTGCCGGTAGCTGGTTACTCACAGGAATTGACGGTGTCCCACGATAGCCACGACATTGCCAGCACGAGGCAGATCCGCGGAAATTCCCAGATGCCGAACACCATCAGAATGAGGACGAGTTGCTGGTCGCTTCTTAGTGAGATCATCATATTGGTGGCTGTTCCGTCGGCTATGATATCTGACGGGTAACGTCGTCCTTCCGTTGCGTGATCGGCAAGTGCAAATTTGTAGATGAGAGTGGTGACTTCTTAGTAGATTAGATGGGAGTGAATGTTGGAGATGGCAATAAGCACTAGCGATGGAAATGGGCTGCTTGATTAAGCTTGACGAAATTTGAGACGAACGAAGCTTTCATGTCTCACCCTGTCAAGTCTCACCTAGCAACCATAGTAATCACATTATAAAGCAGAGGTAGGTAGTCGCGTAGCAGACGTCAAAAGAAGTGCATCAAGACAACCAAATCAATGTGTCAGTAATGTGAAACTCCAATTCATGAGGGGAACCTGGAATAATCCACGAGTCCACATCAGACCAGCGCAGAAGGCGTATGATGTCCCCTATTTTATCTATGCCCCTCCTCCCAAGCTCATCATCATTCCCAAATTCCAATATGGCAAAAACAAATGCAAATCCTCCCTCGACTTCAAGATCTCCGACGTGTGACTAAAGTCCTCAAGCCTCAAACACCAAGACAACACCATCATCACCAGCAGTGACAACTCTCTCACCAGTCTCGCCTTGCACGAAGCCAAGCACACCACCACCCTCTCCATCACCCCGGTGTCCCTTCCACTCCTTGACCAGACCACCATCCTGTGCTCTCAGATCCCACCGCCTTACAACACCATCCATACCACACGTCGTCAGCAGCCAGCTGTTCTTCACAAACTCCACCTTGACCACACTGAACTCCTCGTGCGCACCGACAAGACTCCTCCTGACGGCAAACCTCCTGCCAGCGTCGAACACGGTAACACTGCCATCCACAGAGCCAGCAGCCAGCAACGTAGAGATCTGCCCCGGTCCGCCCGCCGCCGTCGTAAAGCTCAGCGCCTCAATCGAATCCGACGCAGTCTGCAGCGCCGCAAGAATTTGTCCTCCGCCCACGACATCTGACGCGCTCTTGCTCTTCCCGCCCTTGCCAGCCTGTGCAGAACTCGCCAACCTAGGCAAACTCACGATGCGGATGGCGCCACCGGCACCACCAACAGCGACCAACGTGCCCTTGGGATCCACCGCGACACTGTACAACCCGCCCTCGACCACGAAGCGCTGGTCCTCGGCCGTCAAGCTCACCGTCGTCTGGCCGTTACTCTCCACCAGTCCCGCGGCCGCCGCCTCGCCCCAAACGTCCCACACGTACAAGCTCGCGTCCTCGGAGACGGTGCAAAGGAAGTTTCCATCGGGCGTCCAGGCGCCCGCGGTGACGGGGGCCTGGTGAAGCCAGTACGTCTGCACGAGCTGCAGGCAGTTCGCGGGGTTACCGCCTCCCGCGGCGATATCGATGGTGTACACCCAGACGGAGTTGTCGCTGGCGCCGATGGCGATGGTGTTGGGGTATTTGGGGCTCGGGCAGGCGGCGATCCAGTTGATCTCGGGGACCTCCTGCGCCTCGGCGATGAACTTGATCTGGACGCTCGCAGCCTCGGCGGTGGGGGAGTTCACGCGCAGGGCGTGGACACGGAGCTTGCCGTCCATGCCGCCGCTGACGAGGAAGTCGCCCTTGGGGAGGGTGAAGGCCAGGGCGTTGATGCTGTCGGTGTGGCCGTCGATCGGGTAGATGAACTGGAGCTCGGTGGACTGGTTTTGGGCGGCGTCGCCCGAGAAGGAGGCGGGCAGGACGGGGCGGGAGGCGGCGGCGGCGGTGGAGAGGAGGTAGCCCTTTCCGGGGGCGTCGTCTGCGTCGCCTTCGGAGCCGCCTGTGGCGATGAGGGTCGGGTGGACGGGGTGCTGGGCGATGGCGAAGACGGAGTCCTTGTGGGCGTCGAAGTAGGCGACCGAGTCGTTTTGGAGGTTGATTTCTTCGTTTTCGTCGTCAGAGTCCATGGGCATGTCCTCGTCGTCGACGTTGACTTCCTCGCCGACCTCGTCGGCCTCGAGCATCTCGGGCTCCGACTCGTGGCCGTCGTCTTGGGGCGTCTTTTCATGAGGGGCCGACATCTTGTTTGCTTGTCTCGGTTGTGTTTGGTGATGGGGGCGTTTTTTTCCGTAGAATTATTGGGTAGAGGTTCTCGTACTCTTGGACGTGATGCGCCGGATCCTTTTGATTCTTCTTTCGAGAAGAAAGATAAAAGGATATGACGTATGAATGAACGCTGGGTATCGATCCCTTATTTATCGCAAAGTCAACAAGGGTGCAGAAGCAGGAAGACGACTTTGCTTTATTAATCGTCAATCGAGGGTTCCGGGTGCTTGATAAGCAGGAATTGCGTCGCGCGGGTCGAATTTTTTTGCAGCTTTCTTGGATGGCGGGGTGGCGGGGTAATTCATTCGCAGGTCGACGGCCTCCACTGAAAATCGCAGGCGGTGAGCTCACCTAAGGTGGGAAGCCGGGACCACCGGTTGCTGTGGCCCCCCGGGATCATGGCGGTCGGTGTGACTCTTCACTGGCCATCGGCGGCACGGCGCTTGGCCCGGATGGATTCAATGCCCGTCACGGAGGTAAAGCGAATGTATAGAAGTTCTCGCATGTGGCTACTTTACTGACTCTCCGAATCTGCTTCAAATCATCTTTCCGTTACCTAAAATCAATGTTGGCATGCAAACTGACTGCACAGTTCACTCATCGTTGTGCATAAGTTGCTTCACTCATTCGGCTTTCTCTCACTTTCACTTTCTCTTTCTCACTTATAGGTACTGAGCGCAACGTCTCATGATGAAGCTTTCAATTCATACTTCTCTAATTCAGGATATCATCTATCAAACCTACTCAGCCACGGCATCGCAACTGAACGCTGCCATTGCCTCATGGACACGCCCACTCATGAAATTCCGGCCATCTAAACGCCACGCACGCTGGTGTGAAAATGAAGCCCTACTACAATGATATATCCATCTCAAACCAACTCCCTCCATTATGACTTACACTCTTCCCTACACAATCAACTCAGTGTCTCAGCACCGTAGACATCTTGACCGCGTCCACGACTACCGTCACCTCCGATCATTATCAGCAGGCAACTCCGTAGGTCCCTCTCCGCTAGCCAACTCAACAGGCGGCTGGGGGTGCGTGTACCCTTTGTATTGCGTGTGCCCTGCGCCTTGATGCTGGCCACCGGGGTTCATGAGGACCTTGTCGTTGTTGTAATACCCAGCCATATCTGTCCCAACCATTTCCGACGCAGGCGGTGACGCCTGGGGATACTGCCCATTGTGCTGTTGCTGCGCATACTGTTGGTTCTGGTACGCGTACGCGCTCTGAGATCCCATGGCCGACGATCCATCCATCTCGGGTGCCGTAGGCGTCTCAGCGGGCTTTACACCTGCGTACCGGTGCTTTCGCCTCCTCCACCACAAAAACAGACCTACGAGCGCCGCTATCGCGACGACGGGAATGACGACTGCTACAGCGACGATGCCGCCCGTTGACAAACCACCTGAACTCGCTCCCGATGTGGCGGCGCCGGTCGCGCTGCCGCTGGTGTTGTCCGCTCCAGCCGCCGTCCCAGTCGCACTCGCACCTGAAGTCGCACCGCTTCCCGCCGCCGCCGTCCCCGTTGCCGTTGCCGACGCAATTGATGCTCCCGAGGTCATCTTGGGCACGAGATCGCTTGCCTGATACACCATCCTGATACCCCAAGCGTTCACGCCATCACGGTCCGACATCGTAACAGCCTGCGTAGCCACAACACCATTGTCTGTCCGTGTAATATCAACGACCGTCGCGGGGCCCGCCATCCACGTGCAAAATTGTGTCTCCCACACGTTGGCGAGCGTCATATCGTCCTCGACACACGATAACGTCATGTCTCCGCGGTAGGGACAGCATGTAACGGTCGTGATAGAGCGCACACCGCCGTTGCGCGAGCACTGGGGTTGCGCGGTGTAGCCCGTCGGGCAGACGGTTCCGGGGGAGTAGAAGGCCGTGCTGGCGCCGTTGAACTTGTTGGGTAAGCATTTCGAGTCATTGTCGATGGCGTAGACGTTGTTGGTGAGGTAGATGCCCGAGCAGGAGGACGCTGGTGGTGAGAAGTCGGCCGTTTTGAGCGGGTTTTCGGGAAAGGTTGACGCGATGAACGTCGTTTTTGTTGACAGCGCCATATCGAAATGGGTATATGTGGTGAACGATCGTGAAAGCTGACGTCTGGATGCCCTCTGTCGGCAGATGAATGGGCTCTGAGTGGTCGATCTCGAGTGTTCGACGTCGAGTCTGTCCTTGGCTACTTGTGTAAGACAAGACAAGGATGACTGTGTGTGGGTACTACTACACTGCGAGATCGAGAGACCTGAGATGAGGCGATTCGCAAACGACAGAAGGGTCACAATTGGCAAGTAATTGCAGTGAATGGTAGGCAAAAAGACAGAACAGAGGGAAAATGGGACACGATCAGCAGGGAGCCAGGGAAGCACTCGCTTTTCACAGAATCCTTCGTGCTTATCCATTTCCCAGCTCACACTGTTGCACTCCCACGCCCCCTTCTAGGTCATCCCGTCCAGTCCGCGCCAACCAGTCAGACGGCGCCAATCCGATACCACAACCGATGAACCCCATGTCTGGAACCTTGGAATCCCTGAAGTCCCATCGCACGAGGCGGTGGTGGGTGGAAAGAGAAGGGCAGCATCCGTAAGGATTCAGATGGGCTGGGGCGGTAGAAGCAGGGGGGAGAGGGGCCAAGCATCTCAGGTACTGTAGGCAGCCAAATAACAGGTACCGGCAGTCTAGCACACCACCGCTGGGGAGGTGAGAAAAAAAAAAGTTCATAAATTTGGATGTGACGCTAGGAAGAAGGGGGAATAGGTTAAAATGGCGCTGAAATGGAGCCAAGCGAAATCTCCATCGTCGCGCAGGCAGGCGCTGGGAGGAGTCTGTGAGGTGCCTTCGCGAATCCTTCGGCAGGGATATGATGGCCGGGGGCTGAGCCAGCGGGCGTGTGTACATCCGTGATCTGTCCCATGTTCCGTGTCTCGAATCTCTCGACCTAGACCTGTCGCTGCCGATGACAAACGTTCTGATGGATGTGCTGGGGCTGATAGCATGCTCCGGCGGTTTCTTGTGGAGGGGAAGGTGAAGCAGATGTGTTTGTAGGGAGAGAGAAAGAAAGATGAGATGGCAAGTTGGCAACTGCTTCCAGTCCCCTTGTGATTACCCACAGAAATTGTAGCTACTAGCTCATCCGTCAGATTTTGGCTCATTAGCTCTAGTGCGTGAGTACGGAAAATGAAATGAACCTTGGAACGGATCCAGTGGTTTGTTTCCCAGTCATCCGGTTTTCGTGGCAGAAGATCGAACGAACGAGACGCGCCTCAGCTTCTTCTTACCTTGTCCCCATTCATCCTTCGAACATGGTGATGCTGCGCGAAGAAACGGAAATCTTCCCCATGTATTCTTCCCAATGTATCTGTGCAGTGTACATTTTGGTAAAGAACCCCGACAACATGGTACCGTTTGAAATGGCAGGTACTTGTTCCAAAGCCCTATGACGGCGCCCCGGACCGCAACATTTTAAATCTTGGAGCCCTTCCCCTACTCCGCATTGCGAACCTTTCAGAACCCGTGGTTTATCCCCAGCAACTGGCAAAGGCCGCGATTCAACGATCAAAAACACCATGTTGCGTATACTCAAAGTGCATCTGCAGTACAAATTATCCTGAACTCCTCGTCATATTACCTCGTGACCTCAAAAGATGGATTGGACCTCAACCATTGAAAGTTTGTGCGCTCCCTGCGGCAGGCGTCTCATTTACCGTGGAGGCGTCGATTCCGCCCCTCCCTTCTTCCACGAGCCCTTCTCTGTGTCTTGCTGAAGCACCGCTCTCCTCCTTCCTGCGTATCTTCAAGCCGCAAAACCTTCGCCGCGATACTTCGTCCGCAACATCTTCCTTGCGTTCAGCGTTGGTTTCTTCAGTTGGGTTTCCTTCTGCGCTTCCTTCACGTCCATGCCAAAGTGACGCCCCATTGCTCTTTTGCCGCCCCCGCCTGATCACCTCTCTGGCGTAAAACTTTGCTACAATGAGAATGAGAATCATCGATGTGCCCAAAAGATACGCCCTATCGATCTTATGTTGCCCCCGCCTGATCAGCTCCTCCCAAATCTGCCGGCTGCTTCCATATCTGGCATGGGCCTTGGCGACAATCATTACCAACAGACCCAGGATAAAAACTCCAACAAACAGTCCAAACATTCCAACGACAGTTTGTGCATCAGGCGTCCCGCTCATGCTGAACATGCCTGTTGCGAACCCTAGAGGCAAGAACACAGCAGTGATGTTTGTGAAAAGCTTGACATCGTAGTCGTTCCGTCGGCTTTGATCATTCGCCATAATCTCGAGGTAACTGCTCACGTACTCGCGCTCTTTCGTAATCGACTCTGCAAGAAGAGAAATTTCCCTGAGGTTGCGGTCCAGGTCTTGGATAGCCCGGTGGTTCTCAACAAGTAACTTATTGAGAATTGGCCTGTAGCGACTCTCATCGCTGAAGGTCCACTGGGGCTGTTCGGCTTGACGATCCTTCTCTCGATTGAGCCAATGGTTCCTGATGGGTCTGGCTTTTTCGAAATCTCCGTGTATTGTCTGTAAATGCGCCTGGAACTTGCGAAACTCGTTGCTAGTGAGGTGGAAGCTGTCGTAATCGATATCTGGAGTCGGGCTTTGCTGTTCCCGGTTGGGATTTCGAGAGTTTCGGAACTTTTCAAGTCTCTGCTCCAGCTTTTCTGTCTTCTCCTTTACGATTTTTCCGGCCAGCTCCAGGATATGACCCGCGCTTGTAGCCATTTTCCTCATAATGCGTCCGAACAACATCAATTCGAGTACTCTGCGTTCTTCCCAAACACCGGTCTTGACTTCCTTAAGTGTTTGACCATCGTCTATGTTGTCTTGTTGCAGGAACCTGATTAAGTCCCTGGTCGTGTCTTCTTTGTCTGGCAATCGTGGATCGGCCACCACGAAACGGCAGGTCCAATATTTGTTGAAAAAGTCGCCCTCGAACCGGAATCCCATAGCTGCCTTTTCACTTTCTTTCCCGAGCCAAAGCCCCTTCTCCTGGACACCAGAGTAAAAGGTCACGTGGAATTCCGTTGTCCATATGTTAAGCGCTGCTGTTGTTTCTTCAGTGAAAAAGTTGCTGCTGGATTTGTGACGATCGAAAAACTCTGTCATCTCTGCTTGTTCCACTTCTTCGTTGGGGCCAAAGGTATTAATGCAGCTCGAATTTTGTTTCGCTTGTTTTGAGGCGAAAGCCCAGAATCTCTTCTCGGCAGCTTCGCCCTCCCTTTGGTCACTGACAATTATTTTAAACCAAAGTTCGAGGCCCGGCCTGAAGTACATAATTGGAAAAGTTGGCAGATTTCGCTTCTTCGTTAGCGACTTGTACTCTGGAACATTGATCATGAGCACAGCGTCTGCTAAACAGGCAGGTACCGTTGCAGCCTCCACGTTGGTGGCGTTGACGAAGAATGCAGGCTCGTTGTAAAGCCACTCGTCCTGCAGCTCCACGATGTTGTTATCATCTATCACGTTATTGAAGGGGAGATTGTGTTTCATCCAGTAGCCGTAACGGTATCTTGTCCCTGTTGGTCCTTCCGGATGACCAATCGGGTCTCCTAAATGTTTGGATATCTCCTCGATGGACTGGCACACAAGCTCGAGTCGGCGGTCGATGGAATTCGAGGTGCTCCTCATGGAATCATCAGGGTTCTTGCTATGCTGGGTGCAGTAGTCTTTCCACAGAATGTATGGAACTTCGAAAACGACTGTCCAATAGTCGTCTCTGTCTGTCTCGTCGTCGTATATGGATGGATTCTGTCGCTCATCGAGTGTTCCAGTGAAAAGTCCGTTTGAAGAGGAGCTGCTGAGTAAAACTGATAAGGCTTGCTTTATCAGCTCTTTTCTGGTCCGAAGGTTTATGGCTTTCCCATGTCGTGCCATTGCAATAGCTAGAGTGAACCTTCGAGGGTCACTCCAATCATTGTCGTCATTCCCTTCATGATGTTTCTGGCTGTCAAGGGTGTTCGACCATCGGATATCCGCTTTCTCAAACAAGTTTTCTTCCATAGCGCGGAAAAGAGCAACGTCTTTTGACCGGAAAAGAAATCGGGTTTGGTAAGGATTTCGCTTGGTGGCGATCATCCTTTTCTTCAAAAGAGAATTTTCAGTGGTGAATCTCCTGATAATGTTCTCCCGCAACCTATCAGCTGAATATCTACCTATCTTCTCATTCAACTCAGAATCATTCTTGGTTGTGACGTGAAGTTTCATAGACTCTGCAGATCTTGCTGCTTGCCAAATTAAGGCATGGTCAGTGAGATAGAAGGTTTTGGTTCTCTTTCCATCACCGCTAGCCTTGTAGGAGGGGAATGCGTATTTCCCGGATTTCTCAACCTCTCCAAGGTGACAAAGCCACTTCTTGTAGACAGCCTTCGCCTGTTCCATCAGCTTGTCTGGCATATCCTCTTTGAGTCTCCTGTAAAAGTCCGCCGCTTTGATAAATTGGAAAGGGGCATCGACGAGGGATCTTCTCGGAAGCCATGCGTTGGATTCCCAGCCCTCAATTTCGTCGCCATTGGTCCAATAATTAGGACAAAACGGTTTCCAAGGTTTGGCTGCTTTCTGAAAGACCCATTTCATATGGCCTCTGCACACGTGTTCAATTCGTCTCTTCATCATGCAGACATAGAGCAGTGGAGGGGCTGATGAAGGCCTCTCATCGCAGTCGCACATGCAAGCAGGCAGTTTCTCAGACTCCGAATGTAAGATCGTGAAGCGATCAAGACCAAGAAGCAATAGTTGGAAAGCATAACTTGGTCAAATCATCAGCGCGTAGGACATTACTAGAGACCCAAAGAACTTACAAGCTTGCTGCGGTCGACACTCGATGACTATCAACGTCACCACACGTAAGAGCATAAGCCGGTATTCCATCAGGATCCGCATCATGTACAGGAATGCTGCAAACGGATAGAACATATTCCAAGTTTCTCCTCAGAAAGAAGTCAAGATTCTCGTCTTCAGTCAATCTGACCATGGGGTGGTGTTGGAGGAACCGGCGAGCTTCGAGGAATTTGCTCCAATCTGGCAAAGGTTTCAGATCGGAAGCTGCGGAGCCCTGCCTAAGAGTGTACGCCAGAACAACCTCTGAGACTGCGTGCTCAGATTTATTATTTTTCTTCTTGATGAAGTAGGAACTCTTCTTCTGGTCTGGTTTGTGAAATTTGAGCGAGTTGTCCTGATCCAAGACCTGGAGATGGAGGATAAAATGTTTGCCGTGACTATTATGTTCCCGCCTAACATGGTTCTCCGCTTGCCCATCAACAGTGGTGTAAGCCTGCACTTCTGTATCAGGAGCTTTCGGCGAATCCCCATTGAAGAGATTGTTGCTATCCACGAAATTTAGGTCCCTGATCAATACTCCTGAATCCATGGACAGAGCATCCAGAATGTTGCTCGGGAATTCCTTGGTTTTCGGTCGTGACGACTGTTCTTCGTTTTTGTCTATGATTTCGAATTTCTGGTAAACTGTGCCTTGGAATGCCACATATGACACATGCAGCTTGTTCGAAGTATCACCTGGCGTCGTTATGGTAAAGGTAGGCCATCGATCGTTGATAATGTTTTGCTTAGACTCTCCTCCTGGACACAAGGAGTCGATGCGGGGACCGATTCCTCCGGAATTTCCGTCGAGGGATCTTTCTAGAAACTGTGAAAGACGCCAAAAAACGTAATATGGCTCTTCAGTTTTCTCATCGTCCACACAGATTCCTGTCTTCAGTCCCGGGAAATGTTGAGTGATCCGGAGTAATCGCCCAGTTGCACCCACACTCGCTGTGAGACCTTCATCACCGAAAGAGAAGAAGCTCTTACGCGCCATACCCTTCCTAGCAGCTTCAGCAATTCGATCAGATAGCTCATTCAACTGTTCGGATGCCATTGTTGATACGCCTTTGGGCAAGCACGAGAAAGTAAATGGAACAAGATACCGAGAGAATTCTGATGGGGAGGAAGTTGTGGCAATGAGAAAGGGAATAATCAGCGCATGCGTATCATGCGTAGAAAGCTGAGTAGAAAGAGCTCCCTTGACGAGTCTGAAATGCCCTCCTCTGTGATGTAAACTGGCTCCGTTCGCTTTCATATCCCCTTTGAGACCAAATGTGGGATTCCGAAAGATTGCTTCAGCTTGCCAAGCTACGCTGCATTGCGTCTGCATATACGAAGCCAGGGTTCACCAGGAAAATGAAACATTTTGTCGGATATGTCCTAGAACTTCGAAAGGGTTATGATATATGACATGTCTTGAGTTGGGAAATCGCTCAGAGAAAGCACATAACTCGATAGCTTGCGCATGGGGATAGAGAGATTTCAAGCTTCAAAGTTGAGAAGTTACCTAGCTTGTGATGCTTTCACAGAAGGTGAGCGACCACTTCATTGATTGACTGTTTCCCTGTGTTTCCATAGACCTATGATGATGAACCTATCACAGAATTTCAGGCTTTCCAGCCACTTGCACTTCTATGTAACATCGAATAGCTCAGCCAGGGGTGACAAGTCATGCTTCTCCTATCGCTATCTATCCCCGGTCAACTCCATCATATGTTACCAGAGGTGGGGTTGGTATGTAGTGGTACATGAGGTACGTCGTCGTGTTCAATCCCATCCAGAGACCGTTCAGATTCACTTAGTCTGCGTAATGTTTGATGGTACTGATTGATGAAGCCAATGAATGTCTGCTTTTTCGAAAATTCCATTTCATTATCGACAAGTCCGAGGTTCATGTATTCAGGTAGGCGAACCGCATAGAGAAGACTGTGGTATCATGATCCAACCCGCAGTTCACGCTTTCCATTCGATCTGCTTCGCTCTGTTCGCTCTGTTCGGGTTGTTTCCCCCTTTGAGACCTGCCCGCATAAGCATGTGCATTGTATGCAATAGTTGTCAGTGAGGCTGAAAAAGTGACCACGATCATCCAATTAGTCTCCACCTCTGTGCGTGTGAAGGGACAGAGGAAGAAAAGAAAAACCAATCAATACCCGGTAACTCCGGTCATACCCGCGGCTAGCTGACGATCTCATAGGTGACAAGGCACCTCGATGACCAATGGTCTCATCCTAGCTTCATCCATTGCCCCCTGTTTTGCCGTTCGCTTGTTGCGATTACGTCGTACAGTTAGGCTAGATCACCTGCCGCCTTGAAGACGGTGCAACTCATGATTCTTTGCTTCATTGAACTAGCTCGCGTTGCATCTCAGGCGCTAGGCAAGTGCCTCTCATTGAAACAGGCGACATGTAACGAACACGCGCGAAATAGCGATATATTCACAAAAAGCGGCGGTACATTGAGGTCTCTATTGAATAGCCCTAACCAGAAAAACCTACGCATTTCAGATTGCTATACTGATTTTGCCCCTTGTACGTCCAGTTCAAAGTCTTCTCAAGCCATCGATGATGACTTGTTCAAAATTCAACTCCTCGTTAATAACAATCTCGACCTTATTCTCGACAGCCAATATGGTCAGGTAATCGACTTGATCCCGCAGCGGATATTTGGACTATTCGCTTGCTTCCGCTCAAGAAACCAGGAAGTGACACTCTCTCTACAAGTTTGACAATGGAGAAGGTACTGAACTCGCCCCCATTTTGGATGAACTTGACCTCTGCTATGGTATACAGATGAGCAGATTCGAACAGCCTATGGTCGTTGCCGACATGATCAACGATAAGATCGAAGATGGCACCATCTTTCTGAAGGAGATGGATTAAGTTGCCCTGAGTGTAGTCGATGATGCGCGCACCGAGCTTCTCGCAGATTGTCTTCAGCTTGGTGGTCTGTGGGTCACTTACACTGTGAGGACGAACTTATATCAATTTTAGCCTTCCTCACATAGTCGTGCTCTTGAAGTCATTGCTGCCGTTCAAATGGTTACACTCGAGTCTTTCTCTTAGCGAATTCGTAGTAATGGTACCCATCAACGTTCACGAAATCACACATCCAGCGGAAGCTACCAAAACAAACGAATCAAAGTATCCACTGTCATCAAACGTGTCAACCTACAACTCCAAAGACATAAACTCCTCGTTTTGACTCTGGACCATCACCTCCACACCACCCTTCAGGGCCTTGCCAAAATCCCCAAACAACCAATTCCTCACCATCTGCAACCCAACTTCAGGCTGATCCAACGGCACCATGTGCCCCGACCCCGCAACAGTCACAAATGCAAGCCTCGTCTCCTTGCCCCCCCTCATCTTCTTAGAAACCTGCTTCCACATACCCGCCTTGACCGACTCCCCTCCCTTCTTGACCGCAAACCACGGCTCAAGCTCCTTAGCAACAAACTCAACCTGCCCAGCCCAGGACAACTTATTTGTCCACCGCACGTTACCGGCCGTGTTGCACGCGAGGTCCAAGTCGCCGTTGTACACGAGCACATCGACCCCATTCTCGAGGATATACTTGACATCCGCCTCGGTACTCAAAAACACATCGCCCGCAAGCTCAAACCGCTCGTTGACGTCCATGGAAATGAGACTAAAGTTCTTACCCACCGCCTCGGGCACCTCGAGCGCGGCAAGCACCCGCTCCGTCTTGATGTACTTCTCAATCCCATCGCCGGCACCGTAGCAGATATTTTCCGTCTCACACGGCCGCGTGATATCAAAGGGGTTCCGTCCGCCGGCCTTGACGTCCTGGTAGTACAGCAGATCCACATGCCCGAAGCAGAAGTTCATCGCGGCGCCGCAGATAATGGGGTCCGGGAAGGCGTAGCATGCTTGCTGGAGATACATGCACCGCGGCAGCGCATCGGCGATCAACCCACACATGCTCTCATTGAACACGGGCTCCGGGACGCCGGGCTTGGTGGTGCAGAGGGTATCGTAGAAACCCCATGTCGTGTCGGCGGGTGAGACGTAGCCGTTACCGATAAGCACCGACGCCAGTGGGACCTTGAACTCGGGAGGCGGGGAGCCCGTGTTATAGGAGACAATCTCGGCCGCGAGCGCGGGGATGTAGTGCCCACCATAGCTCTCACCTACAATGTGGAAGGGCGCGGTGGCGAGGCCGGGGAAGGCCTGGTAGAAGATGCGGAGGAAGATGTTCATGTCCTCGGCAGCGGTGTAGGACGTCGCGGGCGGGGTGACGTCCTCGTCGTAGTAGGAGAGCCCCGTGCCGGCGGGCTGGTCGACGAAGATCATGGAGGTGTTTGCGTTCCAGGCGTAGGGGTTATGGACTGTGCCTGTGCCGTTGTCGTTGATGAGGCAAGGTCCGAGTTCGAGCATGAGGCCTACGAGGCCACTGCCTCCTGGGCCGCCGGTCATCCAGAGACTGAGGGGGTCATTTTCGGGATCATTCAGACTCTCAAAATACCCTATCAATGTTGCTTTAGTCGCGCGTTCACTTCCAATCTTTGGGGCACATTTCACTCACAAAAGAAGAGGTGCTTGCCACCAGTGTCTAGCCACCCGGTCCACTGCCTCGAACCCGCGTTACAAATCTCATCGCTCTGCTCCTTAATGCGGATGGCGTGGTGCGGGTGCTCCGGCATCGAAAGGGTGGTGAAGTCGGGCGACTTGATGTCTGCCTGCGTCGCGACCGCGGAGGCGAAACCAGTGAGGAACGCGAGTCCGGAGACTGCTAAAGAGGTAAGCCGGACCATCTTGGCTTACTTGTGAGCCAAGAGACACTCAATTGATGAGTTTCTGCGGCTTTCAATTGACGAGAGATGATGAAGTGAGATATGAGATGAGAGTGACTAAGGTGAGTTCACAGGTGAAGAGCCGCAGCTCTGGGGGGGTTTTGAGGTGGGAACCTGGAAGGTTACGGCGTCCTGATCAGGAAGGCCGGACCGCCGAGTGGGGTCGGCTCGGTGTACCGGGGAACCCAAAGTCTTTTGAATCTTCGGGTCATCACTGCATGTAATCCGACCGCCTAGAAGCTCATGGTTGGAAGTTTTGAGTCAGATCAGACACCGATGAATTTGTTCCCCGCGGTCTGTTCAATTGGAGCAAGAATGCACTCTTGATGACGAAGCACCTCCAGGTTACTTGCTCAATCCACGAAGAGTTGATTTTGCCCAACATGTTGGGCGCTGTCTAAAGACTCCCCACTAGAGCCGAAGAGAATGAAAGTAAGCAGTTGGAAAGCTTCTTCTGTGTATGATTCCCTCAAAAGATGAAGAGGGTGGAAAGGCGACCATTACGGCACACATCATTCCAAACATCGCCAGGCACACCAAGTTGAACTTATCAATATCAATATTTTTCCCGGCTAGAAATGCCAGTCTAGGTAGATAACCAAAAACCAAATTCGCACGCCCAATAATGCAATAACCCCAACAAAACAACCATTTTTGTTGTTTTGTTGTTTAAAACTCCCCGGTGGCCCATGTCTCCGGCCCCATAAACCCGCCCGCACATTCATATATAGTAAACATGAACGTGTATGTGTATTCCCTGTTGAAATCGTAGGAACTCAAATCCCCGCTTGCTAAGAGATGATTGGAAAAATGTTGAAGGATCTCAGGGAACAAGAGGGATCTCAACGGGTTAGATGCCCCGTCTGAGATCGCCTAGCCGTCCCCGTGTTGCAAACATGAAGGCTGTCATGCAGGCACAAATCTATGGTCTGCTGGTATCATGTCTATCAGATGCAGAATCATCGATTTACTCTGACGTGGTATCCTCGACAGGAGGGCACGTGCAGAACAGGTGAGTGTCACCGTATGCTATACTCTGTTAGTAAAGATTCAAATATCAATCAGGAAGGGGATAAAACTTACTGTCGTCAACGCGAGCCACGCTAGGCCAGAACTTCTTCTCCTTGAGGTGAGGCAGGGGGTAAGCAGCCTTCTCACGAGAGTAAGGACGGTCCCACTTGCCCTCGCCGTCACCCAAGATGACATCCATCTGGGGGTGAGGCGCCATGCGGAGAACGTTACCCTCACGAGGCTGCTTGCCCTCCTCGATCTCGCGAATCTCCTCACGAATGCTGATGAGGGCGTCAACGAAGCGGTCGAGCTCCTCCTTGCTCTCGCTCTCCGTAGGCTCAATCATGAGCGTGTTGGCTACGGGGAAGCTCATGGTCGGGGCGTGGAAGCCGTAGTCCTGGAGACGCTTGGCGATGTCAATGGCCTCGACACCGGCGGTGGCGATGAAGGGACGGGCGTCGAGGATGAACTCGTGCGCGCAGCGGCCGTTCTCGTTGGTGTAGAGGATCTTGTAGTGAGGCTTGAGGCGGGCGAGGATGTAGTTGGCGTTGAGAATAGCGGTCTTGGTGGCGAGACGGAGACCGTCATTGCCCATCAGTGCGTTGTAAGCCCAGCTGATGGGGAGGATACCGGCGCTGCCGAAGGGGGCGCTGGAAACCATGGCCTGGTCGGCGTCGTGGGCGAGACCGGGCAGGAAGGGAGCAAGGTGCTCCTTGACGCAGATGGGTCCGACACCGGGGCCACCACCGCCGTGGGGAATGCAGAAGGTCTTGTGAAGATTGAGATGGCAGACGTCGGCGCCAATCTCGCCGGGCGAGGCGATACCGATCTGGGCGTTCATGTTGGCACCGTCCATGTAGACCTGACCGCCATACTTGTGGACGAGCTCACAAGCCTTCTTCACGGCGGGCTCGTAAACACCGTAGGTGCTAGGGTAGGTGACCATGAAGGCACCCAACTCCTCGGCGTGCTTCTTGCACTTGGCCTCCAAGTCCTCGATGTCAAGGTTACCGGTCTTTTGGTCGCACTTGATGGGGACGACACGCATGCCGGCCATGGCAGCGGATGCGGGGTTGGTGCCGTGGGCGGAAACGGGAATCAAGCAAATGTCACGCTTCTGGCCACCGGGCTTGGAGAGGAGGTGCTTGCGGATGGCCTGAAGACCGGCAAACTCACCCTGAGCGCCAGAGTTGGGCTGCAGAGAGACGGCATCCATGGATGTGATACCCTTTAGCTGGTCAGAGAGACTCTCAATCAAGGCAGTGTAGCCCGGGAGCTCGCTTGCGGGCGTGTGAGGGTGGATGGTGGAGAATCCGGGGAGGGTGATCAGAGCCATCTCAGTCGCGCCGTTCAGCTTCATGGTGCAGGATCCGAGAGGGATCATGGAGTGAACAAGGGACAGATCCTTGGACTGGAGGTAGTGGATGTAACGAAGGATCTCGGTCTCACTGCGGTGAGTGTTGAAGACAGGGTGAGTGAGGTACGCGGATTGACGGCGAAGAGTAGCGGGAAGGAGCTCGGTGATGTCCTGGGTGAGAGCACCGTAGGCCTTGCTCGCAACCTCAGCGGTCTGGGTACCGGTAGCGCTGCCGAGGACGGCGGCAATGGACTTGAACACCTCCTCAGTAACGTGCTCGTTGACGCTGATACCGATGTCACCGTTTCCGAAATCGCGGAAGCCCAGGCCAGCCTTCTTGGCTTCGGCCAGAATCTTCTGAGAACGGTCGCTGGCCTTGATGACGACGGTGTCGAAGAGAACCTTGCCATCAGGGCTGGCGCCGCTCTGCTCGGTCTCCAAACCCGAGGCCTCGGCAACGGCCTGGACTCCACGGGCAAGACGAACCAATCTCGAGGCAATCTCCTTCAGGCCCTCGGGTCCGTGGTAGACGGCAAACAGGGCAGCCATGTTGGCCAACAGAGCCTGAGCGGTGCAGACGTTGCTGGTTGCCTTCTCGCGACGAATGTGCTGCTCACGGGTCTGCAGAGCCAATCTCAAGGCACGGTTGCCGTTTCGGTCCTTGGAGACACCGACCAAGCGGCCAGGCATGCGGCGCTTGTGGGCCTCCTTGACGGCAAAGAAGGCGGCGTGGGGTCCACCGAAGCCGAGGGGAACACCGAAGCGCTGGGCACTGCCAAAGGCAATGTCGGCACCCCACTCGCCGGGCGGCGTGAGAACCGTCAGGGCAAGCAGGTCGGTGGCGGCACTGAGGAGGGCACCTTGCTCATGAACAAGCTCGGAGAGTCCCTTGAAGTCCTCAACCTTGCCCTGGGTGTCAGGGTACTGGACCATGACACCAACCAAGTCCTGTCCCAGAGCCTTGATCTTCTCTGCAGAGTCCGCTGCGTTGACGTCGATAACCTCAACCTTGATGCCGAATCCCTGAGCTCTGCTCTGGATGACTGAAATAGACTGAGGGTGAACGAGGTGTGAGACAACAAAGGTCTTGCCGGGTCTCTTGGCGCGGGATGATGAGAGAGCGTTCATGGAAAGGGTCATGGCCTCGGCGGCGGCGGTACCCTCATCCAACAAACTGGCGTTGGAAATGGGAAGCCCGGTCAGATCGGACACCATGGTCTGGTAGTTGAGAAGGGACTCGAGGCGGCCCTGGCTGATTTCGGGCTGGTAGGGAGTGTAACTGGTATACCAAGCAGGGCTCTCGAGGACGTTGGTCTGAATAACACGGGGCGTGACGCTGGGGTTGTATCCAGCACCGATAAGAGGCTTAGGAGCAGCCTCGTTGGCCTTGGCCCAAGCAGTGGCTCTCGCCAGAACTTTGCTCTCATCAAGGGGGCCCTCATTGTCCCAGGCACCAAATGTCTTCCTCTCGGAGATGACATCCGGAGGGACAACCTGGGCAATAAACTCGTCAATTGACTTTGCCGGAGGGTCGAGCGCCTTCAGCATGGCCTCAGCATCGGTTACATCAGGTCCGATGTGTCGGGGAATAAAGGACTCGGGCCTCTGCAGTGGCTCAAGGGAGGGATCGACTGAGCCAATCTTTGCACTGGTGGCATTCTGAAGAGCTGCAAAGGCGCTGAAAGTCCTCACACGGGGAATCCGCGAGGACGATGCCGAGCTTGACACACATGAGTTGCAAACCCACGAGGAAGCTGGTGTCTTGCGGGCGGCGATCCTTGACCTCGGGGCAGCCAGCCGAAGCTGGCGGGGGAGGGGCAATCTCAGTGATGCCATTGTGTGAAGTGAGTAGAGTGGCAATTCACACAAAGAAGATGAAAATGCCAGTGAGACTCGACAATGTCGGAGGTGTGTCTTGAAGAAGAATAGAAAAGAAGAGAGAAAAAGAAGAAGGACAGATGTTGTGGTTGAGAGAGTCGTGCGTATACAAGTATTGCTCGGATCTGGGGCCGATATCGTTGTAGCTCAAGAAGCAACACCCTTGTCGCCACCAACTTGTGATCCGAGTTGCGACTCGGGATAAAAGCGACCAAGCTCTCGCACGCAGCCCAAAAACCGTTTCAAAACACCTGAATCCAGGTCTTGACGCGAAAGAGGTTTCTGTTGAGCAGATGGGATGATTGTTCGGGAAGAAATAAATAGAAGCCAGAGTATACGTAGACAACAGAACAGCTTCCGGAATGCTCTTCAAATATGAAGGAGTCGGTGAGAGCGAGCTTGAGGACCGGCAGCCATCCGCCCTTTCGTTTCTTTTCTTTTTGCGGCAACGGCTACTTATCGAGACAGCGGTACGTACTACATAGTTAAAACACCAAAGGTACGGATACCAGGCCACCAGAAGTGGCCAGGGATACCGTTCCTGAGTCGTATACCTACGTACTACCTTCACAGTAGCATAGTAAGGTTGGGTATGCACAAGTAGATCTCCCTACGAATGACAGAGTGAGATACAGACTACTGCGTCTGCATACTGGACCGCCCACTCGTTCGCCGCCGCAACGGACACCCTAAACACCCGACGCCAAACACCAACTCTTTCGGTTGGTTACGGGATCCCTGGGAACCGCGCACCAACACCCTGAGAGGTGAGGGTGGGAGGTGAGACTTGGCCTTATCGGGCGCGCAGCGGCGCTCGCTGATAAGCGCGGTCAAGACGATAGGGAAGCTTGATGATGAGTGCCAGTTGGATTATGATCCGTAGTCTGTAGGTGGGCTCCAGTTCCCCAGCCATTCCCTGACTTTGGGGCCCCGGCGCGTTGGGCACACTGCTCGGCGAGCCATCCATGAGCCGCCGCCATTACGTCCAGAAACGGATGTGAAGGCCAATGACAGGTCGTGAAGGGTGGCGGGCGGGAGACTAGGTTCTGGGGCTCTCGTTCGCGCAGTGTATTCCCAAGCGGTCGTTTGGTTTGGAGGGTTGGAGGTGCGCGGATGAGAAACCGAGTGCTCGGTCAGAGAGCCGAGTATACCACCACCACCTCAGACCTGCCACCAAGAAATGTTTCTCGGTCCCCATCTCTTTCATAAACTTATGCCTGCCAGCCGCCTTACCTAAGCGACCTCATTTTTGTGCATGTGCAAATCCGATTAGGTAAGGAGAGTGAGTATCTAAGCATGCGCCGGTGGAGACCTCAACTTTGAGGCTCCAGGTACGTACCGGCCGGGACCGAGCTCGAAATGGAGCTTCTCTAAATTTTTGCGACGACATCATCGCTGTACCTGGCACCGACGCGAAATCCCATCCACGAACGAACCGCCCATCTTGCACCCTCACTCACGCCTATCCACTCCCTTTCAGCCAATACCAAACAGCTACCGACAAGATGTTCGGAGGATGTAAGTCCCCTACCTACCTTATGCGAGCTGAATTGCACCGAAAGCAAAGCTGACCATCTTCCCCTGCAGTCGCGCCCCCCCAGCTTTCCGAGGAGGAGATCAAGCAGATGGAGGCTGAGGCCAACTTCTCCATCCAGCAGGTCGTCGTCTCTGCCGTCCTTCTGTACCTCTGTAAGCGCAAACCCTTCTCATCTTACACATGCAAATAGATCTCCAGAGTATATGCTAACGAGAGACTCCTTGTCCAGCCCCTTTTGTCATTGATGCCGCCTCCAAGGTCTTGTAAAGGACTTGCCATTCACCAACGACAAAATCGATGAGCTTGCCAAAGTTCAGGATCACGACAATAAAACAAGAACCGCGAGGGGGTGCTCTCTTCGAGTAATCTGGTTTAGGCACCAATGAAGCGCTGCTAGCCACCAACCCGCCTCAGGGATGTGTAATGGGAACAATTACCCCTGTTGTAAAATAAATATCATCTGTACAGTGTAGACGACGACTGGTTGGATGGGCTATGGGTATAGATCACATCGGAATCAGGGTTAAAAAAAATCACGACTTTTGTTCAAAGCTTCCTTTCGTTGCTTGCGTTGTTGGAGGGAATACCCTCTCTCAGTTCTTTTTCTTGATGCGGCTAATAGGCCATCTCCCTTTTGCGTCCATCCCGTACATAAAAGCGTCCGCTCGCGCCGTCCTCTATTATGACACGCCTGGTAATAACTTTCATCCCAAACGTCCTAGATACCCTAGCTCGGGTTCCGCTCCTTCTCCCAGTCCGCAAAGTCTTTTGTAATGGACTCGACTTCCTTCTTGAGATGCTGAATTTGCTTCTCATAATCTTCCAAGACCTAAAATCGTAGTTAGCGACCAGAATTAAGTAACCGGCCTGGTTGCAAGAACGTACCTTCTTCGTCTTGTGCTCAGTCTCCTCGCTCAAACCCTCGCCGCTCGCGAAAGCAGGCTTATTCGTCTCCTTCATCAACTGGTCCGCGTAATCCCTGAGCACAATCAAGCGGCTCCAGAGCTCCTCCTCTCTCGCCGCCAGAGCAGGGTCCTGCACATTGCGCTCCAGCTCCGCCAGCTTGAGTCGCAAATCATCCTCGTCACCGCTGAGAGCGTATCCACGGTTGCGCAGCACCTGCACGCGGGCAGCCAGCGCGAGACACCGCTCGCGAAGGACGACGTGACGGCGTCGGGCCGCAAGGGCACGTACACTGGTCTCGAGGTCGTGCCGTGAGAGGATGGCGTCAAGACTGGCGTTGATCTGGTGCAGGCGCACGTTGAGTTCCCCCACTACCTTCTTCTGCGTCTGGAGGCGGGCCGCGACGCCGGAGAAGCCTGTGCAAAGGACCGGGATGTAGCCCGGCGCGGGCTTCTTCTGCAGCGCCTCCTCCCAGTCTCTCGGGTCTTCGTGTGGGCCAGGCTTGTAGAAGGGGACGGAGGCTTCGTCGACTTTGTTGTAGAAGTAGTGCTTGAATGCGCAGTTGGGGTTCGTGGGGTTCCACTTCTCGAAGATGAGGGACATTTGTTCGGGAATGGGCTTTTGGTTCTCTGCAGTATACGAGTTAGCATTGATCCAAACGCGATAGGCTATCGGGCGAGCACAGTAACGTACGAGGCGTATCCCTTCCGGGTTGCCAGAGTGAGCTCGAGAGCTGTGCTTGCGACTGCGACAGGCTGGGCATTTGTTGTTGCTGCTGCTGTTGCTGCTGTTGTTGCTGCGGCTGCTGAGACTGAGCCATGGAGTTGCCGAATGCGCCTCCCTGGGTCTGGTTTTGTCCTCCGAACAAGCTCATGCCGGATTGCTGCTGCTGTTGTTGCTGTTGCGGCTGCTGCTGCTGTGTTGACTGTCCTAATGTGCTGCCGCCGAAACTACCTCCTCCAAAGAGACCCCCAGTCTGCCCAGCGGGCTTTGGTGCGCCGAACAAACTCATGGTGTGGAATGAGCGTTAAGGATTTCTTCGATGGTGTTCGAAGCAAAGCGTAGGCCCGTCGCGTGTGTCGTCGGACAACGGGCGATTGATGCGCGTAGTTGCAGCGCAATGCAAGCAATAAGCCAAGAAGCTCAGCGTAAAATCGATGAAGGAATTGAGGTGAGGAACTGGCGGGTTTCAAAACAAAGAGAAACTTCCAGGAGCAGCCAGGACGCGAAGAAGGCGGTCGGCCGCTTTTTTCTCTCTCAGGCGTTGGCGGAGATGGCTCGCTGGGTATCAGTCGCAAGGCTGTTCAGAGCTACCCTTGGGAGACGGGAACCGAGCCCAGCAACGCGAAAATAATAAATCGGAGCTTGCAGCTGCAGCAGCCTTCACCGGGCGCCACACTTTCCCAGACCGAGCCACCTTGCAAATGGGCCATTACCCAGCCACACTAGCTCCACTTCAGCCTCGCCCCCAACCGATCCAATCAGGCGTCTCCTAAATCGACCTCACATCAATTCGTGGTAGCGTCCATTGCCCGGAAAGCTTGCTCTGGAGACCATCCGAACCGCCAATTCGACCACTCCCTTCCGCCCTCCTCCCAGGTCCCATCACAGCAATCGCAGCCATGGCTAACCGACGGCCTCAGTACGTTCGCCGTCCCCCCTCCAGGCCGAGAAGGCAGGCCAATTGAGCCCGACCGCCGCCAACGAATATCCCAGGCCGTTCGCGATATAGCGAGCTTGACAGAGAGGCTAACACCCAGCGCCAGGTTCAACCAGCAGTTCCAGGTCGACACGACCCCTCTGCCCGACGATATCCCCAAGGTCAAGGAGATTGGTGCCAGCTCCGCGCCTCTTCTGTCGGCGTCCTACTTCATCGGCGCCCGTTGCCGTGAATACAATGACGACTTCATGCAGTGCAAGACGGACAGCGCGGGCCGCGGCGAATTTGATTGTTTGAAGGAGGGTCGTCGGGTCACCAGATGCGCCTCCAGCGTGTATGTTGAATCCATTGCTATTGCAGCGATTCTCGTTGTCATGTTGCCGACGGGCTGCCGCTCAATTGTGCCCCAGTGTCGCAGACAATGGGTCCCGAGAGCAGGTGTTATTTGATAGGGATATCGAATTGCTGACATGGGAACGACACAACATAGGCTGAAGGATATCAACACCCACTGCCTCGAGCAGTTCAAGGCCCACTGGACCTGCATCGAGAACCGTAACCACCAGCTCTACCAGTGCCGACCAGCCGAGTGGAAGCTCAACAAGTGTGTCTACGAGAACCTGGTACGTCACCATCCCGCGCATCCGTTCCAGCACGACGAAGGGAACGATCTGAACACTCCCTACTGCCTTATATGAAAACATCAGACTCGCGGCTAACACACTATGTCACTAGAAACTCGAGAAGAACATCCCCGACCAGCGCCCCGGCGTCACCCCCGTCGAGCTCCGCCACCACATGATCTACGCCGACCAAGCCATCAACACCCTCGAGGGCAAGCCCTTCATCCCCCCGTCAAAGCAACAAGCATCGTAGAGGTGTAGCAAGAGCAGACGGCGATATGGGAGTTTAGCGAGCTCTTCCGCGTATGCGCGCGGAGGAGAATCGAGGGCTTTGTGTTGAAGATGTAGGACTTGGAACTAGGCGATAGAAAACGCTGTGTACATATGTCATCAATCAGAGTTGGGATCAAACCAATGGCTTCACTTTTTTTTTTCTAAACATATTTCGTCCCCATGCAGATCTGCTTTACTTGTTCTAATGTCCGATGCCGCTTCAGTCTGGCGCTCCTGTTGGTTGTTCATGGAGAGAGTGCTGAGACGTAGAGACCATCTTGATTGTTTTACGTCTGATATAAGGCGCTGAGAGGTATGTGGACAATCTCTGACTATATGGAAACGGCTAACCTCATATTGTCATAAAGGTATTCATTTCTCCAGGTTACGTACGCTCAGCACCTCTCATAGTAAAAGTCAATCAAAGCAGCAAAAGAGTTCACCCCCCCGGTGCTGAACTGGGGGCTACATCTCTGGCGCACTTGCTGGGAATCGAACTCGAACTCGGAGCCTGTCGTCGAGTAGGCTGTGGGCGTAATTTGATTGTCGACCTTGAACCACTCCACCACCCAGCCAGTTTGACCTGACCCGTCGACCTAGACGGGCGCCTACTGGCTGGTGACAAGAACAGGACTGGAGGGGGGTATATACCTTTGCCTCTGGTCTCGTGGGTGTATTGGGTGTAGAATAGATGAATATACGGTGCGTTCACGTGATCCTATCTTGCTCAGCTCTCCGGGTTGCTGATGGTTTTCAGGTATCCTAGGTGATGGATAACTTAACTACGACCCCGTCTCGCTGGAATGGTAGCTTTGGCAAGACCACTTTGGCTTTTGTCGCCAATCACTCGACCGTAGCAATCATGTTCAATCCCGGGTGATCACGATATGTTGTAGCAGAAGATCGGCAAGCAACACCACAGCAAGGAGGGCACAGCATCGTCAACAACACTCCGTCTCCTATTGGAGATACGATTCTCCCCTACCCACAACGAGCCGAGGCATCTGCCCGAAATGTCACAGCAAAGGAAGCAATTACCCGCCAGCATCCGAAACCTTGCGAACCTTCTTACAACCTCACACTCTCTCACATTCGCTACCTCTCGCCGGCCCATCACCACCAATCGCAGCACAAATATCAGCACCCCAAGGCAGTCTCGCGCCTCTCGCCCCGCCACTGCTATCCGTTGTCTCTGTGTTACAGCTTGACATTCGTAAGACAAAACAATCTACATAAACCCCGCCAATTTGAGATGTCTCTCACAGGAAAGACAAGTGCTGGGGCTGATTCCAGTACACCCACAGGGCCACAGGAACCGGGCGCCTTCTTCGAGCTCAACCACCACCATACTCTGGCCCACGTATACACTAGAAGGAGACCTCCAGCACTCAAGACCGCAAGAGCCTCCTCAAACTGGCTCTCTCTGCCTTGCCAAAATTTCACAAAGACATGTGACGTTACAGCTGATGCCCAGGTTGCTTCCACGAGCATCAGGATCATGAAGTAAAACAAAGTAAGCGTAAGATTTTGTCTCTGGGCTGTCAGGAACTGCAGTATCCAGCTGTCAGCGGGTAGCCGAGACATAAAGGGTCAGCGTTAGATGGGCCAGGGGCCAGTTCGGTTACGCCTTCTCCAGGAATGACAAGGAGAGAAAGATCATGACACGTTCTCTAGAGATGACATCTAGTTTTCACTTCAGTCACATTTTGGTCATGTTTCTGGGAGTGAGTGGGATTATCTACTGATTGAGATGTGAGCAGCCACTCCAGCTCCGTCACATATGCGATGTGAGATTAGTTGGGCAGCGAGCATGGTGACGTCGAAGTTCCCAACAAAGCCAACTACAACTTAATCATGCCCGTAACCTGCGCTGCAGTCGGGCAAGAAAGCACTACTTTAGGCAAGACAAGCCAGTGTATCTCAGGAAACACAATCTACCTCCGACGTAAGGCTTCACACAAGACAAGAACGCCACCACATTTGATTCACCACCTTTGACGAGACATAGAACACCTTTGTGGTCCCCCAGACCTTCGTAACCTTGTTGTCCTCAACCCAAGGTGGCCACACACAGGCCCACGTATTCCGCGCAGTCCTCTATAGCCCGCCAAGTTGGAGCGTACTGTCGGGGTGGGCGAGAAAGTACACCTTGGCCGAAAGGTTACGAGTGCGGCTTCTCCTTCATTGACGCGAACCTGCCATTTAAAGTCTACAGATGCCTGGCGTCTCGCTGTAGCATTATTCATGCCGGTTCGAGTCTCTGTTTTTGACCTTTTTTCTGCTTCTTATTCGCCTCACTTTCCTAGCCGATCGTTGTATTTGCTTTGAGATATGTTGCACATTCAGACCAAAGCATGCTATCCGGCTAATACACCAGTCGAGGTACAGCGATAATGACCGGTATCGAACACCGACGCAACATCTTATTCAGACCTTCTTCTTGACGCAGACTACCTCTCGGGAGAGGCAAAAGCCATAGAAGAAGCAGGCAGCCGCTTGCGGGTGGGTAGCACCTTGTGCCGTGTGTCAAACGATGTGGGCGTGCAAATGTAGTGAGAGACGATGGAGAGAGTACAGACAGAAAGCTGACGGGATATTCTTCTCCTGCGCGACGGCGGCACAGGCATCTCACTGACGAGGATGGTCCGATCTATATCACTGTGAAAAGAAATCAGACAAACGTGGCGACTTAGTTAGCTAATCGAGGAGAGCACGCGAAATGTGTCACCAGTTCTAGAAACGCCGTTCGGATACAATTGCCCGGAGGAGGGACAATGAAGAGGGCCAGCTGGGTAGGATGTGTGTCCCATCATCCTTGGATGTCTCTATCCGAGGCATTGGGCTGGGGATTATGAGTCCGATACCACCACGAGACTCCTCACAGGCGAATCCAATATCTTTGCCCAGTCTAGAACCTTGCTACTGCTTACCGGCAGAGACCGATAGAATTCCATGCTCTCGTCCGGGGAAAGTCGTACAAATCATGGTGGCAGCCGGCCATGGATTCTCCCCCAAAGCTGTCCGATCTGGACTCAGAGTGCGGAGCCATCCGATCCGAGAACCGCGGCAATGTCGTCGTACAGTGTTTAGGCATGACCGATTGTTATATATTTGCCACGTCGAACAGCCATCGCTATGATGCACTTGCTGGATGATCCTCCGTCGTTACAGTGGTAGGCATCCTCAACCCGGGTGTTGCCTTCTTGTCTAAGACACTGGACTAGAATGTGAACCCCGTGTTCAGATCCTGCGGCATTCGACCCCTTGGATCTGACTCCTTCATTGAGACTTCGTTAGCATCTCAAAAGAAACAGTCATTAGTGATATTCCCGCCACCATGATGTGTCAAAAGAAGCAGTCCCATCTTGGTTGACGCTGTCGTGAAACCGCCGTTGGCTTGACGTCAGGGTTCTGTTGTCGACGATGTGAGCAGAGGGGAGATGGAGGGGCTCTATTATCATGCCAGGCGCTTAAAGCGGTAGGGTAGCGCAACCTTAACTCCCGGGCGCTGAACGACCAGGTCGCAAGAATTGGCCGCAGCCCATGGTCAAACAACATGTTTCGGCTTGTGTCGAAGTGTTTGGGCAATCCAAGTGGTTTTCAGCCAACCGGATGCACTTTGGACGGTCAAGTCCAGACAGAAGGCTTGATGTTCTGCTTCCCTCGTTCTGGCAAACAAGGCTGTCAACCGTCTTAGTTAACAACTGACGGTTCAAGGCAGAGCTGGCGCTCTTCTCCTACTACGTAGATTTGCTCTGAAGGATTCGCAACCCAACAAGCAAGCAAGCGGCGCTAGTCACTGAATCGTTGTGTGCGGCATGAGCTTGCCCAGGATGGGATGGAGATGAGCCGATGTTGGTATCCGCAATCTGGTGATGACCTTGAGCTCTAGCAGCGCCCGGGTCTTCAGATCTTGGGATCCATAATGGAGATGCCGTCTTCCCCGGAGACGGACGGTCTGAACGCTGACATGATGTGCCGCAAGGCCCGCGGTTCGCCGGCAGTGGTGAAAAGAGGGACGCGGGGCAAAAAAGGGAAAAAATCTCACCAAAATCTCTTGGGCCAAAATTAAGGATGTTTAGTGCCCTGGAAGTAAACGATATCTCATTTCCTGGTGGGTGCTCAACCTCAAGGTGGTCCTCTCTGAACCCTGTCCCGCTATCTCGATGGTCGTGCCCGCCCCATGACTGAGTGTGGTTGGACCGCGAACAGCAGGGGAGAGAAACGTCTGATTATCTGACAGCTTTGCGTTCATTTGCATAGAGAAATGAGATGAATCAACAAAGACAGAGGGGTTCCCTGGCGGTTAGGCTCTGGCGGTCTAGGATAGCGATGTCGGAGACGTCCCCTTGTCTCCGCAATTAGTTTCACCACATGGGTTGTAGGTTAAGCTGCTGGGAGCCTGCAGAATGAAAGCCAATATCTAAGCTGTAGTATACCATCCCGCGTACGGATCGTTGGAGATGGGATGACATTTCCATCTGAGAGAAGTTGGAGAACAAGAGATGAAGTTCTCTGCTTCAGGATCTAAGTGTCATTGGCGATTGGCAAGGTTGCATTCAACTACTGTCGGGGAATGCATCTGTGCACCTCCCATCTGCAGGGGAGGAAACTTCCGAACCATCATCGGTGGACTAGCCCAACGTCTCGTCGCTCTGTTGAGCTGTATGCATGTACTCCGTACGGATAGCTTAGTATAGCCCAGTTTCCAGACCCTTTCAGCTCGAGGCTACCACGTCAGATAGTATGAGGTACCAAAGTCAGGCGGAGAATGGAAATATCGTCCCCAACAGGCTACTAGGTGACAATGGTTGAATCACGAAAGGGCCTGGTATCTGTGGTTTTTCTTACGGCATTAGCCACTTCAGGTCGTTGGGGGACTGGTCGCCAAGAAGGCGGGACTGTTCGATGGAGTGTCAATCAGCTGTGCTGGCTGTCTGTCACATACGCCATCTCGATCAGTACTGCTGATCACGGCTCCAGTCTGGCGAAGAGGGGGGGCAGATTGGCTTTCGGGAGAAGGGCGTCTCAAACTTTGGTCGTTGGAAGATGCTGCCCACGCGGGGACTAACGTCAAGTGCAGCGGGAGACGATTCTGAAGCGACCGTTGACTTGTGCCATCGTTTCTGCCGTGATCCATTGTGTTTTTTGCCTCTCTCCGAGTGGTCAGGTGCCAAACTCCAGAGCCCGAGTCATCCTAAACCACGACATATTTCTTGTGGTCGGCCGTGCGTGGTGTAAGTGATGGGGTTAGTGTCCCGCTGCCGTCGGAAGTCAAGCAGCGCTCGGGCGAGTGAACAGTTTCCTCTTCGGCGGTCGCCGCACCAGAAGAACGCCTTTGAGATGGACACGCGGACTCTGTAGCCGAAGAGGCGTCCTTGGGTGCATGGCAATCATTGCGTTTCCTGTGGTTCGGCGAGCAACACCACGCGGCTTGCATCCACGGAGTCAAGTAGCCTGCTGTGGGATGACCCTGGGGAAGCATGGCATGGAAAGCTTCTTGCCCCCTTCTCCGTCATCAAGGCTCCTTGGGAGCAATCTAGAATGGAAGTTGTCGGTGCAAGTCAGAATCCGCTTCGGCGTCCATGAACCGTGCCCACTGCCCATAGCTGATAATGAGAGAGGGACCGGTTCCTGCTTCTGCTCCTCTACCCCGGAAAGGCAGCATGATGTTGCTGTAGTGGGCGGCCGGAAGATTTTGCAGCTTCATCTCGCTCCTCGTGAGTGCTGTACCGGGATGCCAGGTTTTGTTCCTGGCTGGTCGTCATCGGTAATCAGACGTCAAGAGATGCGTCGTGTGCAATGAGACGCTGACAGGATGACAGAAGCGGCACAGATGGTGATGTGGAGAGGGGCCAGCAAAAGTCTCCACGAAGTGTAATGAGGTCATTTGGCGAGACAGCGGAAGAGACGGCCAAGGTGATGCGGTAGTAAAGTTTAACGCAGACTGCCGACCGGGGATGGTTGACAGGAGCACAGCGGGTGAGCGTGCGTTTACGTAGTCCTCAGCGTTGCAGCGATCGACCCGGTGAAAGCGCCATGGCTTGGGCCATTGCTCGGGAAAGAGACTGTAAGAGGCAGAGAGGAAACAGTGTGAAATGGGCGGCTATAGAGAAACCATAGAAACAGAGAAACACTTCTGTGGCACTTTGGTGAGTCTGGCAGAATAGAAGGAATCCATGGAAAGGTGCACAGTTCACAGTCCACGCAACGCTTTGAGCAATTCGCGGAAAGACTGGATGAACGGGTCCCCACCGAAATTAAGGCCGTTTCAGACCGGTGGATCTCCCCGGGGCCAAGTGGCTGTTTGATGGAGACGCCCAGCAGACCCTTGCAGCAATCAGGGCAAGAACGACTGCATCTGCAAGGCACCGGCTCGGTCAGCCGTTGGTGTTGGACCAATGGGACGAGGCTACTGCATGCTACTGCTTGGGGATTGGCCAGAGATGCCGGGAAACCAGGAGTCGGGACGTGGGCGGGAGGGCAGCATCCATCTCATCGTCCCATGGGAGGAAAGAGCAAGGGAGGGGGTGAATGGAAGGGGTGTGCGTGGCAGGAACGAGGCGCCGGGACGAGGGGCGGAGCGAAGGTGCGCTAGCTGATATTGGCAAGAACCAAACCAAAGAAACAGGCGCTGGGGAATCTGCAAGCCCCTTTTCCCCCTCTATTCGACCCCATCACTATCATGATGCCACCTACAATTGCAGACAAGTTGATAGTGTCAACTGTGATGGTATCATGGTACTAGTCAGCCAAGGCCGTTGCGGTGTTTTTTGAACAAGCTGAGGGCACAGGGACGGGAGCGCGCTGTCGCCGGCACTGACGACGAAAGGGCATCGGGATCCAGGACTCGGCAGGGAAGCTGACTCTCAGGCTTCAGCTTAACGCTTGAATCCGCTCCTTGATACACCTTGGCTTGAGATTTGTGGTAGAGACCCGTTGTCATGGTGAGGGGTTGACCTTTGCTGTCCACGTTTACGGATATCCGTATCAGAGGATGCGGTTGAATCAATGGAAGAGAATAACAAGGGATCGATGTCTAGATCATGTTGTATAATTGCCCTCATCTAGGCGTGCAGATTCACCGCATGCTGTAATCTAGACCGGCAAAATCGGCCTCTCTGGATCGGGAAGCGGACCCAGTGATAGACATCATCTAGACCAAGGTGCATTGCGGTGCCGTGATGGGAGGAGCCAAGATGCGAGGATCTGCTCGTTGCATGGTGCGAGATGGGAGGCAGAACCCTGGATAAGGTGAGCTGAGGTGCTGCAGTGCATGCTGGGCTGACGAGCTGACCATCGGTGAGGCGTAATTTCAGTTGCGATTCCTACTGTTGCTGTGCAGCCTGTGCTGCTGTCGAGGTCTGTTCCCCAGTCGTCAGGATGAAATAGAGTATTTTGGCTTTGTTCCTACCCACCTTGATGCCTTCTCCCATGACGATCAATCGACATGCGCATGTTGTGAGGGCCTGGACATAGGTAATCGCAGCAACTTACCTAATATTAGCTAAGGCATTGACGTATGTTCCCGAGGGTGGAAGTGAGAAGGGACCGTTCGAAAAGCCATCGTTGGTCCTTCCCTCTCTTCCGTCCCTTCCTTCCTTCTATTGCCTCTACATTCACCAAAATCCGTTTCTTCCTTCCCTTGAATGGTGGTGGAGGAGGGGGGAGGGGGATGATACGCCCACCCCCGCATGACCTCGATTCAATCTCCAATTCACCCCTCCCACTTACACCGGGTACATGCTGCAGAGTGCAGGAGCAACACAGTTCGTCCCTTCTCTTCCACAGTTCATCGTGACCCCGGACAAACCAAACGAGACCAATTTCTTTTTGGGCCTGCGCAGCTCTTGCTTTGCTTGTCTCGCCTCCAGGTCATCGCCCTTCATCACCGTCGCCTCCACCTTTCCTGGCCGGATCCCGCTCCACGGACCACGAACACTTGACCCTCGTCACTCTTCTTGGCTTTCGAATCTGCGCCGTAGCCTGTAGCCTGTAACGCAGCAACAGTGTTTGTTCGTTCCTTCCTGCAGGGTTCACTTTGCACTCCCGTCGTCCCGTCCTGCGTTCGTGAGGTCGCTCATTTCGAACGCCGCCGGTACTCTACAGAGTAAGGTAACTCGCAAATCTCACACCTCTCCACACGCCAGGGCAGCATCCAGCGCCAACCTGGACCTCACACCACCACTCATCTCAACCTCCACACTCACTCACTGATTCACTCACTCCTCACACACCCCAACTGTCGCCTTCATATCCACACTTACGCAGCGGTAGTCATTTCGACCCCGTCAACTCAACCACCACAGTCCACCAGCAATATCACCATTCAGCAACCTAGCCCAGGCGCTATCCACGGTCCGTGGTACAACCCACGCACACCAGCATCCTCACCAACACTGCATATCGCCCCCCCGGCTGCCCTGGATTCTACCCTTGTCTGGACTAGACTTGCACTGGACCCAACGCTCAGACTCTAGTCTCTCTCCGCCCAGTCCCTCGATCCCAGTCGCGCGGGTTTCCGTCGTCCTGTCCGCTCCCTTTTAGTAGCCAGACGTCGCCATCCAGAACATCTTGTCTCTCCTTCTTGCTTCACCACTCCCAGGAGACCACTTCGTTCGACCCCCTTCACCCCCTTCTCTTCTCCCGCCCAGGCCTCGGTCGCCATCGTGTCTGTTCGACACCGTCCATTCCTTTTAAAACCAATCACATCGCCCCCGGGTCCCGACCTCGAATCCCCTCTTTTCCTGCACCCTCAACCTTCCAGGATAGAAGGATAGGCTACCGACATTCCTTACGGATCCCGATACCTCTTCACGTTCTCTACCCAAAATCCACAAGCATCAGGCTTCTTGTCACTCCTTCGCAACTTTTCTCACGAGAATTCTTTTTTTCCGGCTCACCACCCGAAAAAAGATTTTACGACTCCCGACCGGTCACTCCTTCCCAACTTCAACAACAACACAACCGTTGTTCAACCACACTCTTTCTACAACACCACCAGGTCCTTGACGGAACCGTATCAGCAGTGCTCGATCACCACACAGCTGGCTCTGAGAATTACCTCACGGGAATTTATTTGCCTCCGACAAACCAACTCACAAATTCTTCCCAACACAACTACCACCCTCGGACTAGATCCCCGGTAGCCAGATTCCGCGAATCTCTCCAAGACATCAAAAACTCAAAAAAGGTAAGTGGCACTGATCCAGACTTCCTTCCTCCCCACATTCCCCACCATATCTTCATTCCTATCGCGTCAATGGCATTGTTTGGAACGCCGTTTTCAAGACAGTCAAATGCCACCACGATACAGCCCGCCGCTGCCAACAATGGACAAAGACCTCTTTGTTCATTGTCTCGCCCGACACGTGTGCCCACTTGACTCACGCTTGGTTGAACAACGAGTTCGCCTGGGCCCGGGTCGATGGCATCGAGTCGTGTCAGCTGGCGTGCCAGCGTGCGACTAAGGCTGAGTCTCTCGTCACCTCACGAAGGACATATATCAGGCTGGTGTTTCCTGATGTTGCTCGAGATGCTTGTCTTACCCTTCTTCATCACACTCTTTTTTCCTCAGCAAGCCAGCGCTTATTCGCACTTTCCTTCATTTATTTCACTTCACTCACTTTCCTTCGCTTCATCTTCATTCACTCAGATAACACCACTTCGCCGGGCGAAGCTAACCATCATTCAGACTCATTCTCGTTGATTTCACAATCCAACCTTCAAAATGAAGTCTTCCATCGTTCTTGCCGCCACTGGCGCCGTCCTGGCCATGGGTGCTGCCATCGACCCCCGTGCCATGGAGACCGTCTTGGACATCACCTACGTGACTGTCACCGTCACCGAGGGCGTCCCCATCGAGACTCCCGCTGCCACTCCTTCCAGCAGCCTTCCTCCTAAGGTTGAGGAGACCCCTGCGCCCGCGCCGGTCTTCTCTACCATCACCACCAAGCGCCGCTCTCGCACTCCCAAGGCTTCCACCACCCCGACTCCCACCCCGACTCCGACTCCCACTCCTACTCCCACTCCCACCCCTGAGCCGGTTGTTGAGCAGCCCGTCGCTTCGGAGCCCGCTGCCTCCTCTTCCGCTGCTCCCGTCGCTTCCGTCGTCGAGACTACCCAGTCTACCCCCAGCACCGCTGCCACCGTTAGCGACCTTCAGACTGCCGCCATTGATGCTCACAACATCCACCGCACCAACCACTCTGCTCCCGCTCTGACCTGGGATGCCGACCTTGCTAGCTACGCTCTCATCACTGCCAAGACCTGCGTCTTCGAGCACGACATGTAAGTACCGATGAGAACCATGGATCCATTCCGTCTCTAACCTTCATCCAGGACTACTGGTGGTGGCGGTTACGGCCAGAACCTCGCCATGTGGGGTGCCACTGGCTCCGAGAACTTGGGTGAGGCCAAGGCCGCTCAGCGTGCCATCACTGAGCAGTGGTACAACGGCGAGCTCAACCTCTACACCGGCTACGGCCAGGCCAGCCCTGACATGACCAACTTCCTCCAGTGGGGTCACTTCTCCTAGTTGGTCTGGGTTGACACCACCAAGGTTGGCTGCGGTGTCTACTACTGCGCTGCCGGTACCCTCAGCTCCATTGGCAGCTGGTACACCGTCTGCAACTACAAGTCCCAGGGTAAGTTGATCTTTTCCCCATCTCTTCCACTTGTACGATATTAACAATGGTACAGGCAACGTTATCGGCAGCTTCGACAAGAACGTCCTGCCTCCCGGCAACGCCGCCACCGTCAACGTCGCCTAAGTGTCGTGACACGCAACTGCATTTGCACCCTTCGTGTTGCCCGCTTGAAGCATAACTGGGTTTTGTTTGCGACACGGCCACCGGGTACGAGTGCGGATGAGCTCCGTCGCATTAGCGAGGCATTTCTTCTCTTCTACCGCTGTACTTTAACAGGAGATCGCTTGACCTTTTTTTCGATCTCCTTGTCCCTCTCCTGGGACCCTTTGAATCATGCGCTTTGGTCGCCCACGAATGGCATGGGCAACTATTCTCTTCATACGAAAACTTCCTCAAGGCACTCGCGTGATGGGAAAATCAAACGTCTTTTTTGCGCCGGCCGAGACCATGATTCAAGGACAACTGGACATTGATGATGATGCATTTACGGATCTGGCGTGGAACAAAGAAAATCATTTTGGGGAAAGGGAACCAACCCACCATGGAACATTGCATTTTGCTCTTCTTTTTTCGATTCTTGGCCTGGTTTTTTTGTCCCTTGCAGTCATTTACCCGGTCTGTCACTTGACAGGCGTCTGGGTTATGAATCTGCCTGGGCGAAATCACGGCACCCTGTTTATGACTCTTTTGGTTCTTTGTACCTATGGTTCTTCTTCGACTTGAATTTCGGGTTTAGGGAGGCTAGGCAATGGGATCCATGATTTTTATGGTTTCGCAAATTGTTCTCGAGGACAAATCGGTCGTGAAGTGAAGACTTGAGTGATGTTTGTTCGTGCGTGGTGTCTCTTCCTCATTCTTGATACACATGTATCCTTAGTACTGAATAGGATCACTGCATCATACTGCCAGGTTTCGCTGGCTCGTCATATCGACCGTGTCATGTGTTGTGGTTGCGTGCGCCGTTGTGAAGTGACGTTTCGTTGGTACACATATCGGCTGCTCCGGTGTGCAAGGACTCGAGGACTCGGAGTGCGTGGTTATGGTCGAGAGTGCCATACAAAGCGATTGTAGTAGGTCGGCTATTGTGTCCCAAACTTTCTGATAATGGATCTTCAAGCGAATGCAGGCTTGGAAGGCGAACACCACTGACAGCCAGGCTCGCAAGAGGGGGATGCATTCTTCTTTTCAACTCGTCGACAGTGTATACTCCTGACAGCGCACCGCCACCTGATGGCGCGTGTGTTTCCGCCGTCTGGCAGTGTGGTCCGGCCCCTGAGTCCAAGTCTCCAGCGGCATTGTGAAACGTGCTGCTGCGGCGGATGGCTGTGAAGAACGGCGTGGGTTCGGATGGTGCCAATGGATGGGATGGTTGGATGTGGGTGGGGCGGGTAGGTGGTGGTTCAACGTTGGTTCTTTCAATCTGCGACTTTGTACTATCCGCGTGTAGATGACTGACATGGCTGTGTTCAGAGTAGATCGGAAGCTTTGAATATAGTGGAGGGGATTGACGGATATGTGGGAGGAGAGTTCGCCTTTGATGGGGTTTCGGATGCTTGGGAGAAAGGGAGACGATGGGAGGGTTGCGCGGCGATGAGGACTAATTCATTTACCTCGAGCGCTGTGGGTAGTATATGCATGTTTTCCCCATGGTTTTTGATCAAGATTTCTCATTTGGTGGTGTCTTTTTGGATAGGCACATCGAGAAGTTGATTGATGCTAATGAGATCTTGTGCGTAAGAAGGGTATTTCTTCACAGATTTTACATGTCGCTGACCGTTGTTTCGTTTAGATGTAAGCCTTGGGCATATAGATGCCTATGCTGACGGCTCTTTGTTTCCTGTCCCATGCATCGTCTCAGGCATGATAATGGTTGATAGTCATTTGGATATGGCACGTATCTAGGTAGATAGGTGCCCTTCCCAGCATCCCGCCGTGGAAATCCGTACCTCCCGTCCATATTCGAACTTGAAACCAGCCCGACACACCAGGTCCGATTGCTACAAACGTCATCCGCTCAACAGAGCTCAGAGCTTCGTATCACACCGAATCGAGGCTTGGAAAAGCGAACAGGAAACTGGGATTCTCCTCACCAAAGATGAAGCCGACGACTCTCCTCCCATGGGCAACAGGGTAAAAAACGTCGAAGGCGCACGCCTCTGGGTTCTGAAGGATGGCCTGCGCCGGACTCCCATCGCTGAAGTCAGGTACGACATGGTCCAACGAGCCGAGTGCTTCTCTGTGTCAGCAAAGGACTCCTGCGCGAAACCTAGTGAGGCATCGCCAAGGATTGGGGATAGCATCGGTTACGTTGCGGGCGACGAGAAAGACCTCAAGATAGATGCGTTCTAGCATATATGAAGCGCAGAGGAAGCCTGTCTCTTCATTCCTCAACTTGTGGGTGGTAACTCTTCTCGTTTCCAGATCAGACTCGCGGGGTTTTCGAACCCTTTTCACTCCATTGCTCTAGATCATGGTCTGGCATCGAGACTAGTGAATCGGCTTCTCATATTCAATCTCCCTCAAGGGTCGCCATCGTGCGTTTCTATTCTTTTCGTGCTGTTAACACACGCCCCCTATTTAGGATTAGATCACTAATGAAGTCGAGTGTCAAGGCAGGCAAATATGACCTGGACATGACGAAGCTGGATCACGATAGCCTACATCAAATCATCACGGCGTCGGAATTCACGAACTAGCGATCGAGAGCCAGCCGTGTAGGTGGAGAACTCTTTGCTTCGGCAGACAACTCCATGTATCGTTCGATCATCATTGTGTGAAAGACTTGTCCAGAGACTGGCTTCTTGTGGCGCGATAATACAGCCTAGAGATGACAACGAAAAGATACCGGTCAGGACCAGTCGAGATCTTCGACGAAGGTGCCCATCTGCCAGAAGAAGAGGTGATGATTGGTCTAAGGAAATATCATCACCGCGTGGCTGTCCACTTGAGTAAGACGGACAAGGGACCTGCCGAGAAGGTTAGGAGTGTGCTAAGGAATAGCAATAGGATGTAGGATCAGAACGAGCTTCTTATTGAGCAAAGAGTCCTTCAAGGAGCTGATGTTGATGATGTTGCTGACATGCCAATAATACCTATGGAACTGGATGATTACGATTTCCACAAGTAGGAAGAGACAGACGTAGATAGGATATGTGCGTGGCTTTCTTAGGGTATTCTGACTGTGAAGTTCAGGTCAATGGAAATGAAATGAAGTTGACAGGAACTCAAGATCGAGGGCGGAACCTCTCGAATGAAACTTCAAAAGTACCGTCAGTATTTGGCCCACTACCTACTGCCCCAGTATTCATGGTTGAGTTCAGCTTCTATCCTACTTGCCGTCGGCGACATGTAGGTCAAACTCTCGTCCACTAGCCTTCACGCCAGGAGTAAATACCAAAAATGATGACGGCCGAAGACGGAGAATATTAGACACAAGTCAGCTGCCATTGCTCGCCGTTGCTACTGCCTACGCCCGCCGGATCGGGATGAGGCACATGTTGGCAGATCTGGGGAAACTGTCGCGCAGAATCTGGGCCCGGAGGCCTGGCCGCGGGCACATGCTCCCACGCGAGCTCATGCACCCTGACCCAGGCCGGCGGCTTGATCACTGCTAGTCTTTAGCCGGGGTGAAGTCGATGTCTCACGGCGGCAGGAGTAGCCTCACACCCGGTCTTCCGGGGGCGGGGGGCACGGGGGGGTTTTGCTGTAAGGCTCAGGCATTTCAAACCCCATTACTTGAAGATGATATGAGAGTACTTGGCTATCGGTATTCGTCTTGGAATGTTTAACCATTGTTCTGACACCTGGCCAGGTATTCGAAGCTGCGAAGTCGGTGGCTTGCATGATAGCACCTGCGTAGACGTGATGATTATTGGCATGCAGGACCTGAGAGACATGCGCGGGATGACCACGCAGTCTGAATATGTTGGTGACATAATACCAGCTGTAAGTCAACTTCCAACCTGTGAAGAAACCCCCTCATGATTGATTTACTCATACCACTGGTATATATGTCCTAGGAGCCGAGCTGTCAACAAAAGTCATCACAGGCTGATAGGACTGGGCGGAATCAAGAGCCAAGGTGTAAGTTATCCAAGGCGGAGCCACATTTTTCTTGGTTTTTCTTGGAAAAATGCTTTGCCAAAAGCTTGACCTGACCGTCACTGAATGTCACTCTTGGCTGTATTAATTCAGGTGTAAGCCATGAACTCGGATTTAAGTCAATAACCGCCACGAGGGTACCGAAGATAACTATTTAATAATACATTATACATCATAGCAGTTGGTACCGTCTCAAACAAGATATCGAATAGTATGGTGGTATTATCAATCGTGATGTACAGAGATATACCCTCCCTCCCACATGTCTATGTGAAGAGTGAGAGTGAGAGTGAGAGCTGCGGAGATCTCTTTTGTGAGTGGCCCGTGCATGGACCGGGGTGCAATAACTCCGTGGCTCTCCACGCCATCCACACGCATCGCGTTTTCTTATCTCTCTCCCTGTCAACCTCTTGCTGATACCGGTGCACGATTTGCAACCTCGATTCGAACTCTGATGTCAACCACCCGACGACGCCTATTACTTATCCGTTCTGCCTTTCTGCCCTCGAGCTAGCGCCCCGGGATATGAAGAACGGTGCGGGAGCCGTAGCGTGGCTTCTTATCGTTTCTTGGCCGCCGGCCACTCTCCACCAGACGAAACTGTCCCTCACACAGCTGCTTCAAGACAAAGAGGAAATGGTCTCTGGGAGAATCTCGTACGGGCCATTCAGCAGATCATTGTGTTTGAGATCGAGCTTGGCGTCCTGTCGTTCTTGTGTGCCTTAAGCCGTCAGCGAAAGGCTTTTAGACAACCCATCGCGAAACCGAGCAGCCCAATTGACGAGGTCTTTCTCACTCCAACTGAAGTCAGCAAGATGAGCCCAATGAGTACCGAATTTCCTTGAGAGATTGACTCTACGGCTTGTGGAAACCGCCTTCTCCTCGCAACGTTGAAGATTTGTTACAATCCTTTCTCATTTGTCATCTCTCTATGCAACCCCAATCTAAAACTGAAAAATCATCAAGTCTCAAGCGATCTTCGGCCGTTGGGTCTTGATGAAATCAGACGCATGGGTTCTCGGCAGAAGCCTGCAGCTATTCACGCGCCTTTTACTCCATGAAGTGTGAACCCACCCATGAACTCCCCCCCGCCGAAAGATATCGCCCTGCCGTATCACGGCCCCATCCAACGCAGATGCTACCCCAAACAAGCAACGCCCTAGCACCCGACTGGCCGCAGATCTGACCAGAGGCTAACGTCTGTCAGATTATGAAGACATGCCATTGGTCCGGGACATGCATACGGCAGCAAGACGGCAACACCATTTCTATGACTGATTGAATTTCGGCCTTATCTCTTTGCTCTGCATGGCCAGTACGCTTCTGTGCATGTGTGGTGGGCGACCTCTTAGCGACGTGCCTTATGTACTATCCGCGCTATCTTTCTTTCTTACACTCAAACTTCGTCTCAAGTCTCAAAGTTGAGGTACAATCTTGAAGGATTTGGCTGACCCTGGCCTTTGCTGTTCTTCTGCCCCCCCCCCCCCCTCTCCCCCCGGCTGCTAGTCCCCCCTCCATCCCCAGCCAGCTTTACGCCATGATGCGATCTCAACTGGCCTGGCAGTTGTATCTGTTCATGTCTGAGTGGGGGCAAATATCGAACCGTTGTCTCGACTGGCACATGGGGCAAGGGTAGGTCCGGTAGTTTAAGCTCCGATAGCCGTAGGACAATGTTCGGGATCGATGCTGCCGCCGGCCAAACTGTGCTCGCTATAAGGGAAGCTTGCCACGGTGCAGATACATATATACAGGAGGCCCGGTCCCAAGTTGTCGGGATGTGAGTAGTGTTTGTCTCAAGGATACAGCAGCTTCTCTCTAAGCTTCACACCAATCCATAGTCGAGTCCTCAGACGAGTTGGCCCAAGATGGTGACAGCAGCTCTCAACCAGGGCGTCGGCTACGGCATCGTCCTCGGCGTGGGCTTTCTCTTTGCCATTGGCATGGTATGTCGGCCATGATACATTATCCAATGATGGTCATGTGTGATTGACTGTGATGATGCAGATTGCCACCACCTATGTGCTCAAGCGCTACAACCGGGAGCTGCAGACTTCCGAGATGTTCACGACCGCCGGCAGAACAGTCAAATCAGGCCTCGTCGGTTCCGCAGTCGTTTCTTCATGGACTTGGGCTGCTACGCTGCTCCAGTCTTCTGGCGTGTGCTACCGATACGGTGTCTCGGGCCCGTTCTGGTACGCCTCGGGCGCGACTGTCCAGATCCTGCTCTTTGCGACCCTCGCCATTGAGCTCAAGCGCAGAGCACCCAACGCCCACACGTTCCTCGAAGTCATCAAGGCTAGATATGGCACGGCTACGCACATTGTCTTCATTGTCTTTGGTCTCATGACGAACATCTTGGTCACATTGATGCTGATTGTCGGTGGTGCGGCGACCGTCAATGCCTTGACTGGCATGTAAGTGACGACTCTCTCGCAGCTCTGGTTGAACATGAGGGGGATCTGACATGAAAATTGTAGGAACACCGTTGCTGCTATTTACCTGCTCCCTGTCGGTGTCGTTGCTTACACCCTCGTCGGAGGTCTCAAAGCCACCTTCCTCACTGATTGGGTTCACACATTCATCCTGCTCATCATCATCATCCTCTTCTCGCTGACGACCTACGCCAACTCCGATGTCCTCGGCAGCCCTTCCAAGGTCTACGATCTTCTTGTTGAGGCCGCCACAAGACATCCCGTCTCTGGTAACGCCGAGGGCTCCTACCTGACAATGAGATCGCAAGGTGGCGTCGAGTTCTTTGTTATCAACATTGGTAAGTGACGCTCCCCATCTCCCAAAGACTCCACCCCTTAACGAGACTCGATATAGTCGGCAACTTTGGAACCGTCTTCTTGGACAACGGCTACTACAACAAGGCCATCGCCGCGTCACCAGTTCACGCTCTTCCAGGCTACATCCTCGGTGGTCTCTCCTGGTTCGCCATTCCATGGCTGACCGCCACCACCATGGGCCTGTCCGCCCTCGCCCTCGAGTCGAACCCCCGATTCCCCACCTTCCCCGATCGCATGACCGAGGCAGAGGTCTCCGCCGGCCTCGCCCTCCCCTACGCCGCCGTCGCTCTCCTCGGCAAGGGTGGTGCCGTTGCGACCCTCCTCATGATCTTCATGGCCGTCACCTCTGCCTCGTCGGCCGAGCTCATCGCCGTCTCTTCCATCTTCACGTACGATATTTACCGAACGTACTTCAAGCCCGATGCCAGTGGCAAGAGGCTCATCTACATGTCCCACGTGTGCGTCGTCGTGTACGCCGTCATCATTAGCTCCATCTCCGTCGGCCTCTTCTACAACGGTATTTCCATGGGCTACCTCTACGTGCTGATGGGCGTCCTCATCTCCGCGGCTGTGATTCCGGCAACCTTGACCCTAGTCTGGAAGGGCCAGAACAAGTGGGCTGCGACGCTGACCCCTATCGTTGGCACCGCCTTCGCCATCATCGGCTGGCTCGTCACGGCCAAGAAGACTTGCGGCGTTCTGGACGTCACTTGCACGGGCTCCAACAGCCCTATGCTGGCGGGTAATGTCATCGCCCTGCTTTCGCCTATCGTCTTGATCCCGGTTTTTACGTTAGCCTTTGGCCTGGACAGCTACGACTGGAAGTCGATGATGGCGATCCGCAGAGGCGATGACCACGAGTTGGCTAACGCGGCTGGCCTTGATCTCGAGGATGTGCCCGGCAACACGGAGTCGCAGGCTGAGTTTGAGAAGGAGCAGGCCATGCTCTCACGTGCCTTTAAGATCTCCGTCTCCATGACGGCATTCATGTGAGTATTGCTCTTTGGGCATTCCTGCTTGTTGCTATTGAAGTAAAAAACTGACAAGAAGATCAGGACCATCGCTATGCTCATCCTCTGGCCGATGCCCATGTACGGCTCCGGCTACATCTTCAGCAAGCCCTTCTTCACCGGCTGGGTCGTCGTCGGCATCCTCTGGATCTTCTGCTCCTTCTTCGCCGTTGGCCTGTTCCCCATCTTTGAGGGCCGCGGCACCCTCGTCCACACCTTTAGGTCTATGCTCACGGGCAAGAAGCCGACTCGTCTGCCTATCGTCACTGAGGGTGAGGATGACAGCAACGAGAAGACTAGCCCTGGCACCACTACGCCGGAGAAGACTGGCGAGACGAAGGAGGTGATCTCTTCCTGATTTTGTGATATTGATGAGAATGGAAAGGAAACAGATGTGCTGCAAAAAGGGGTGAACTTGGCTGGAGTTGTGGTTTGCGTTATACCCTCGTTTATTATTTGTCTTTCGGGAAGCGATCCAGGGGTGAAAGACCGAGGAATCAAATCACGTCTTAAGAATGACTGAATGTCGGAGATCCGTGCTTAGACCCATGCCATGTCATGTCACCAAGCTCTTTTAGCCTGGATCCCTTCGAATTCATAAAAGGACGAATTATGTGCAAATGACTATGAAGTTGCTCAAAGAGAACGAGCCCTGGTATCTGACTAGGCCTCTTGAATCTATGGGATCATGGACACGACATGATCACCGAATTCCCTCTCACTCATAAACATGGCCTTCAAAAACTCGGCCGAAATACTGAGTAAGCAGGTTTTTTCCGTTGGAGAATGGTCCTTCGGCTGGTTTGAGGACAGGGATGCGAATTAAGCATTAATTGCCGTTCCGCTCACTCAAACACTTCGACCCTGAGGCTTTGAACCCTTGTTTTCGTACGACAGATTCATCCTAATCTTCACCGTTCAATACGTAGCTCTCCAGTTACAGATCAAGACCTTAGGCCTGTTCATATGCTCCAGCCGCGAGTCACGGCCAGCTGGACGTGGACTGGGCCGGATTGTTCTAGTAGAAAGCAGCGACAGACGTGAATCGGAGGAGAGTTTGAAGCCAAAGCTTGAGCAGTTATTGCGACATTTAGCGTTGAGCTGGGCGAGGGTATTTTCCCTCGTGTGATTGGGATTTCGCTAATGAGAACTTCCGCAATCTATTCAGTACAGAAAGCACTTAGTTAGTGTACCATATTACGCACGATAAAGAAATTTCAGATCTATATGCTTCTAAGGTAAGTTTAAGATGAATTCAGTATGGATAGATAGGCGTGAATTAAGGTACAGCGGGAGGGAATTGCTTACATAATAGAAATACCCCTCATTCGGGGATAAACGCATGGTGGGGCAGCGCATTTTACGTGCCGAATGACCGTTTGGTCGCTGCGCAGCAGCAGCAACGACAGCCCGCAGTGACGTCTGGTCATCGAAAGACACCGACCCTGAGGATCCTCTCGAACATTTTGGACTTGCCGCTCAAAGACATAAACAACGGGTCGATTGTTTCCACACCGCAGGATCAAACTTGGCAAGTCTTTTTTGTCCTGGAAAACCTCGCATTGCTCTACATGACTCGCCCCTTTTGACTCTCTATCCCGATCTGCTCGAAAGACTACCCTTACCGCACTTTCTTGCCCCGGGTCCCCTCGCCTCGGGCCGACTGACGACCACCTTCGACGTCCCCGCCGCGCCACCTGCGGAAATATCTCGTGATCTTTCAATACAAGGCCGTAAGCAATCGTTTTGCGAAAAGCATTTGCAACCCTTGGTGTTGCCAACGCTCGACGTCGTCCGTACACATATCTAAAGCCACGGCCAACAGCGTTACTGGCTTCGACAAACATCCCACAACCCTGAGCATTACTCGCTGCAGCATTCCGTCATGGTCGCTTCCGAATTGTCACAAGCGGCGCGGGCTGAGAAGGCTGATCCTCAGCCGCCGCAGCTTGCAGCTCAGCAGACAAATGACGGTCATGAATCGGCCCCGCCATTGGCGAACAGGGTTGGGCAGAGCAAGAGCCCGTACGTGCGAAGCCATGCGGACGGCCGCGTCGCCTGGCAACTGCTTGACGACGAGTCGATCGAGAGAGCCAGGAAGGAGAACAAGCTGATCTTTCTGCACATTGGCTTCAAGGCCTGCCACTGTAAGTCGTCGCAAGACAGAAACCTGTGGATATCCGATCATGTGCGCTGACCTTTCTTTTGCAGATTCGCGACTTACATCCACCGAGTCCTTCACCCACCGCGAATGCGCCTCGATCCTGAACGAGTCCTTCATCCCCGTTATTATCGACCGCGAGGAGCGCCCAGAGCTGGACACGATATATATGAACTACGTGCAGGCTGTGAGCGGATCAGGCGGCTGGCCCTTGAACCTCTTTCTGACCCCTGATCTCGAGCCTGTCTTTGGCGGCACCTACTACCCAGCTCCCGGCTCGAACAATGGAGGTTCTGATGATGAGGAGCGTCTGGACTTCCTAGCCATCTTGCGCAAGCTGCAGAAGGTGTGGAAAGAGCAGGAGCCGCGATGCAGACAGGAGGCAAAGGAGGTCGTGGTGAAGCTACACGACTTCGCGGCGGAGGGTACTCTAGGAACCGCCACGGTCCAGCCGGGTGTTGCGGGCTCGCAGACCGCTGCCATTGGAAGATCAGAGACGGGGCTGGAGCTTCCGGAATCCGGTAGAGCAGCTGCTGTCGTGTCGAGCGAGCTCGACCTGGACCAGCTGGAAGAGGCTTACACGCACATCGCCGGCACGTTTGACCCCGTCTACGGCGGTTTCGGCTTGGCCCCCAAGTTCCCGACCCCACCGAAGCTGTCCTTCCTGCTGCGCTTGCCCCGGTACCTCTCCCCTGCTCAGGACGTTGTGGGCGAGACGGAGTGCGCGCACGCTACGGAAATGGCCCTCTTCACATTGCGCAAGATGCGGGACAGCAGTCTGCGCGACCATGTTGGAGGCTCCGGCTTTGCGCGATACTCTGTCACTGCAGACTGGAGTGTTCCGCGCTTCGAGAAGCTCGTTGCCCAGAATGCGCTGCTTCTTGGACTGTACTTGGATGCATGGCTCATTGCAGGTAGCGGCGAGAAGGATGAGGAGTTTTATGACGTCGTGGTGGAGTTGGTCGATTACCTCACCAGCTCCCCCATCAGCCTGCCCGAAGGTGGTTTCGTTTCTAGCGAAGCTGCAGACTCGTACTACCGACGTGGAGACAGACACATGCGAGAGGGAGCCTACAATCTCTGGACACGAAGGGAATTCGACACAGTCATTGGGGATGACCACGAGGCAGCGCTGGCTGCATCCTACTGGAATGTGCTTGAGCATGGCAACGTCGAGCCAGACCAGGATCCCAACGACGAGTTCATGAACGAGAATATTCTGCGTGTTGTCAAGGATATTTCAGAAATTGGACGCCAGGCTGGTATTACCACTGATGAAGTGAAGAGAGTGGTCACTTCAGCGAAACAAAAGCTCAAGGCACACAGAGAAAAAGAGCGCCCAAGACCCGAGGCCGATACCAAGATCGTGGTGGGACGCAACGGCCTAGTGATTTCCTCTCTGACAAGGGCTGCACTGGCTTTGTCGACCGTTGATGCGTCAAAGAGCCAAGCTGCGATAGAGGCTGCCAGCAAGGCCGCGGCTTTTATCCGATCCAACCTCTGGGATCAGAGCAACAAGACTCTTTACAGGATATATCACGAGGGCGTGGGTGAGACAAAGGCTCTGGCAGAGGACTATGCCTATCTCATTGAAGGTCTCATTGGGCTTTACGAGGTGACTGCAGACGAGAAGTGGATTGAATTCGCCGACGAGCTTCAGCGTAAGAATACTTCCCCATCCTCCTCCTAACCCCTAGAAACAAACTAACACACCACCACAGAGGCCCAAATCCACATCTTTTACGACAGCCCGGCTCCGGAATCCACAACATCCCGCTCCTCATGTGGCGCCTTCTACACCACCCCCGAGAACGCGCCCCACACGATCCTCCGCCTCAAGGACGGCATGGACACCGCCCTCCCCTCCACAAACGCCGTCTCCGTCTCCAACCTCTTCCGCCTCGGCACCATGCTCAACAACGACTCCTACGCCGCCACCGCCCGCGAGTCCATCAACGCCTTCGAGGCCGAGATTCTGCAGTACCCTTGGCTCTTCCCCGGTCTGCTCTCGGGCGTCGTCACGGCCCGTCTCGGCGGCGTGACGTGGGTCGTCGTCCGCGGTCCCGACGGTGCGCAGGACGAGTTGACGACGAAGCTGCTGAGGAAGCTGAGCGTCGAGGCGAGCGGTGGGCTCAGGAACGTGGTTCTACTCAAGAGCGAGGAGGACGTGTTGGCGCAGAGGAACCCTGCGCTGAAGGCTTTGGTGCAGGCGCAGCGACCTGGGTCGTATTTGCTGGAGAATGGCGTTTTCCGCTCCATCACGCCTGCGGATGTAGCATGAGGCACTGGTGATGTGTCGTTGCCAGCTGGAAAACAAATGGAATAGGAAAAAAGAAAAAGGGAGAGTTGTATGCCGTTTTGGTGGTTTTGCGGGGTTTTAGTGTGACGTGACGTTCTGTCGGATGACGATGGTCGGATAACGGTTGAGGGGAGTTTTCTTCTTTTCTTTTGGTTGGCGTCAGTACCCCAATCTTTTAGATATGCTCAATCACGAGATGATGTTTATCCAAAACTTGTGTAACTCTGGCATGGCTTGAGATGGACCGCAATTTGGGATATGTGAAGTGCGGAATAACATGTGAATCTGGTAGTCACGAAATTACCTTCCTCTCATCCATCCCACACGAATAGTCATGAATAAGTAGACCATAGAAATTACAGGAACAGGTAAGTAGTATGCATAGGGCAGACATTATATTCAGCAACTCAAAATACTTTTTGATTCATTTCTTGAATAAGTCCAACTGGGTGAAGATCCCAGAGAGGCGAGATATAAAACCCTTCTCACCCTCTTTCGTTTCCCCTTTTTTTCTTTCTTTACGTCGCGGAAAAGCAAAGCCAAATGTCATCTATGCCTGTGTGTGCCCGCCATCCAGGCGTTGCACTATGCTCTAGCAAAGTAGTACGTTAGTATAGGTCGGCAACATGTCTTCCCTGACTGTGCCAACCATTTCTGGAAAAAACTCCTCTCCCCTTTAGCGCTTCCTATACCACCAACTCATTTGTGTACACCGGACTTAGCGCCGCCGTGGTCCTTTACATGGCTTCGTAGGCGACACCCAGTCGTCAGATTTAGTCGACCTGCTTTTCGCAGCCGATTCTACCAAGCAGCTCCTTGCGGTCGCTGTGGCCGGGCAGGCTCACGCCTGAAGAACTTGCTTGTCTCTTGATTCCCGTTCTCCGCTCCCAGCTCTTGAGGTCAATATCTTCGACGCCAACCTCCTCCTCGAGAGCAACCTCCTCTTCATAGACATAGTCGCCCTCCTCCTCGCCTTCGAGTTCGTCATCGCTGCGGACATCCTCAGCGTTGCCGCCGCGAAGAACCTTGTTGACAACGCGAAGAATCATAAAAAACCATCCGATGGTAATGAGTTGCAGAGCGAGGAGGGGAATGAGGAACGCCCAGCGAATGGTAGAGTCCCAGCAGACAATGCCATCCGACTTGTAGAAGGGCTCCAACATCCAGCTCTTACCCTCAGGAATAGGTAGCGGGCCCACCAGGTTAGGCGCCTGGCCGGTATAGCACGAGTCGGGAATTTCCTCGGGAATGTGGGTGTGGATAGACCAGCAGACCATCAGGTAGAAGACATGGCGGGCAATAAGCCAAGACAGAACGAAGGCACCGAACATGAAGTCGCAGAGGGTGTTCAGTCCAACATACTTGAGACACTTGGCGAGCTGCGACTGATTAGCTTATGCGGGACAAAGGGACGAAAAGCTATGACGTACAGGGAAGAAGAGGTCGACAACATCCATGAGGACGAGAATCAGGTTTCCGACACGAGTCTGGTGGTAGCTGTAGCAGGCGGAAATCAGAGTGCAGGTGATGATGTGGTGAGTGAACATCTGCCAATGGTCCTTGCGGCGGTCTTCGATGTTGATGACGAGAATCTGCTGGAGCCAGAAAGCCCACTGCGCCAGAATGTAGAACTTGTTGAGGCCGGAGAGCTCACGCTGCGGCCAGTTCGTCCAGAGCTCTCTGAGGTTCAGCCAGTAGGGCGAAGTCTTGTAGATGTACTGTACCATCGTTAGAGGGTTGCCCGGCGAAAGAAGCCGGAATGACCAGTAAAAACTTACCATGCCCAAGGGCCAGAAGACCATGTAGTAAACCAACAGCCAGGCCTGCTCGCTGAAGCGTGTGAGATCCTTGCGCTTCTTGATACCCCATCCCTTGGCCAAGGGTGCCAGAACGTATTCCATGGTCGCGGCGCGCAGACCGGTGAAGAGGATGATGCAGAAGGCGAGAAGGCAAGAATCACCGAGACCAGCGCCATACTGGCCAGTTTCCTGGTTGTAGTACGAGAGGGTGAAGAACTTGATCGTGTGAGGTTGCGCCTTCGGGATGAAGAAATGGGCGAGGAAAAGGAGGGCCAAAAGGTTGAAGGAGAGACCTAGATTTGGCACATGTTAGCTGTGTCCAAGCCATGCTTCGCAAATAGGAGGCATAGTCTCGCGGTGATGTATGCCGTGTAACATCAAGTATATCAAGTTGTGGCTTGACAGAGGTGGATGTGGGGTAATAAAAAGGGTAAGGAGAGAGCACAAGAAAGACGACGTACCGACTTGGTTCTCAACCATCCACCGGCTCAACATCTTCCAGGCGCTGTCGTCTGTCCTCCTGACCCGTCGAATGAGCACGACGTTGACATTATTGTGTCCTTGCTGGTAAAGGGGGCCATTCATAAGCTTAAGCTGCTTGGTACTGGCATTCCGCTGGATCTGGGGGCCGGCGGAGCTGGTCCTGACAGGCTTCTCAAAAGTTGGCGATGAAGCCTCGTTATTGCTGGTGGTGTCGCTCATGATGCGCGACTAGAGCTCCAATTGGAACTCAATTGAAGTATCGAAGAGAGCGGCGACCCGAAACTGGAGTCGTGAGAGAGGCTACAATGCTTAGCGACGGCTGCGTCGTGGTTTGGCGTTGGCGTTTTCTCGGATAGTCGTCGAGCCTAGTGATCCTTTGTGGTGGTTGTGGTTGGTGCTGAGCCGCGATAACGAAGAGAGATTCGTTATCAACACGCGGTTGGAGCGGGTTCGGTGCGCAAAGGAGCACTTGTCGGGAAACTTGGTACCGCAAAGCGCGACGAGGTCGTCACGGACGCTTCTGGTAGTGTCGTGGTCGGAAAAGGGGAGGGAAGAGGGGAAAACGAACGTCCTTGGTTGGTTTTAGGGAGGTTGAAGATCAAGAGGATGGGAAAGTGAGCGGAAGGGCAACGTCGCACACAATGGGTACCGAAGACGGGACGGTGGACTGGACGGCGGTCAGGTTCAGGTAGAGGACCGTAGCAGGACAGGCTGGACGGTACGAATACAGAGGTACACGACGCCAAGGCCTAGGTCAGGATCTGCTCAGTTGCTCCAGAAAGTTGCTGGGATCAGGTGTGCAGCAAGGTGGTGCCCCCCGTTTTGGTGTGTGAAGTGGTGGGTGTGGTGCGAGGATGCGGGCTGTGGCGGTCTTTCTTTCTTTCTTTCTGGCTGCTACTTCAGTGAGACCGGAGATGGGTGCTTGGTGAAGCTGTCTGCCCATATGTTTGGTTAAGAGGGGAGAAGCAGGATGAGAAAAGTTCCTGGACAGACGCAGGGCGAGAAAGAGACTGGCACTGGAAGAAACTTGACAGAGTCTAGAAGAATACAAGGTAGCAGCCGTGGCTGGGACAGAGTTTCTTCAAGTCACGAATACTTTTCTTCCGGTAATTTTCTGGCTAGTCCTGACTACTTTTCAGGAGACGTAAAACCTAGCCAAAGGCTGGAATAGCAGCGGCAGAGGGAAACGTGGGATAAGGTACTGGGTACCGGTGGCTCGCGTCGTTCCACCCAAAAAGCCCAGCTTCGCCTCGAGAAAAAGGAGGCTCCACAGAGGTACGCTTGTACCTTCACGTTGCTAACCTGCTCTTGCCTTCTAGCCTCTAGGTATCTTGCCCTTGCTCATAGGCTCTTAGGTAGCCCCGGGGAGGGAAGGGTCAAGTCAACCGGCAGCCAGGCCCAGTTCACTTTGACAGAGGTAGCTGAGAGGTGCAGGAACCAAATGCTGAAAGAATCAAAGCCACTTTGTAGCTTGATGCTCTCAGTCTCTTACAATTCGTCTACCGAACACATGTAACCGTCATGTACAGATCGCCGGCCAACTCTTAGTGAGCCGAACAGGTTTATCAAAGGCGGTGAAGACGGCTTGCCATTGGAAAATGGAACAGAACCTGAAGGGAGAAAGAGATACTCTGGGAGAGAGTTGACGGTGGCAGGCGCGACATGGGAAAGGGATGTGGGCAGTTGGCGTCAGCCAATAAGAGCACCAGGGTTCTTTTTGGTCCCTGGTTCTCTCGTTCCCAGAATGAGTGCGGCACACGGTACGTACCTGGCGCACCTTTCGGGGGGGGATTGGGGGGAAGGAAGGGCCCAAGGGGTGGGGGACCCCTTATCCCATTTGAGTCTGGCTGCAGCTCCGTCACTGATTGATGCTGCGCTGGGCCGCTGGGACGTGGGACGTGGAATTGGACGGTGCGGTGGACAGTGGTGGTGGTGCCTTCCATTTAAATTGTCAAACTGATTGGAAGCTTGATTGTTGTCGCCCGTGGCCCGCCGTCGGGAGACAACCGACCCCTCCCCCCGTCCCCTTTGCCCACTCTCTCTGCCTTTCACCAAGACCAACATGGCACCAATGGATCAAGTCTATTTAAACGAATAATTGGACTCGAGTATCCGTACCCGTACAGGCCACAGATGCTGGACAGCTCGAATCAATTCCAAGGCAGAGCTGTCAGGAACAGAGTGGAGGGGGGGGGGAAACCAACGCCGCAACGCGAACGCAGACGTGGAGACGGGAGTTAAAGATGGAGAGAGTGAGAGAAAGGACGGGCGGGTCTCCTCGTCCTCAACAAGTTTCAACACTTGCCCATTGATCCAATTAAATTGCTTTGGTTTCTTTGCTTCTCTCCTCGTTTCCCTGGCCATTGTGTTTACTGCTGATCTCGCCATCTTAGCAGAGGGCACGTTGGAACAATAGCACGGGCATTGACAATCTTCATCTCGCAGATATGCACAGCGTTTAAAATGAAGTGATTTTCGCCCCTAGACGCTTATCGATGTTTACTATACATGCCCCTGTCAATCATGTCGACTTTTGCTATTCTCCCGTCCTTTCTTTACGCTCTAGTTCTCTCTTTTGCCAGGTTTCTGGTAGGTCTTTAAGGCTCTAGGCTCTGTCACGTCGTACCTTGTCATGAGGTGCTGTAGGTATGTACTATTACCTCGCCCGACCAGGTCTCACAGACATTTCTGTGAGATACCCCTATTTTCATCTGTGCAACGTCCAACAACAACAAATGACTTTTTCTGGACTTTGCGCCATGCATTTGATCACAAACAATGTCTGTTCACAGTCCTGGACACCGCCTAAACTCCCGCGAAGCCTTGACTACTCAATACGCATGGCTGTCACTAGACCCCTTTGTAAAGCAAAGATGCTGTTCAAACTTCAGAGCAAATGCTGTCTGTACAAGGTACGGAATACGGTAGATACTCTGTACTGTGCCTCGCCATGAGGTACTGTAGAGGTACGAATACCTACCTTGCGGAAGCTCGACAAGACCTTGGCTCCCCATCCTCCCGTCCGCTTTCCACCCCTCCCCGTGCGATGGCGACATGTATCAGCCAATTGCCAGCTCCGTCACCTCGCATTCAGAACGAGACCGTCGCTTTTCTATTTTGCGTCGCTGCCGTCAGAACGCTAGTGATCCTCAATTTCAATGACCCTTCGTGAGAGCCGCAAATCGCAAATCGCACTCCGCGCGTGGCCGTGACGCCTCCACCTCTAGAATCTTGATGGAGCGCCGTAATTGATTGTTTTGTCCTAATCAAAACGGTACCTACAGAAGTGAGGAACGGATAACAGAACCGAACAATCCCGTATCACAAACGCAAATTTACGTATTTCATCCTCGCCCCGTACGTGTCCGCACTTGAATGCGACACCACCACGGCGCAAAAGAAAACAACAGACGAATACGGTCGGACCTCGCATCACAGACAAAACCAGCTCAGGCCAGGTGCCCCAAAGTTCCGCCTCGTCCTCGTCTTTACCCGCCTTCCCGTTCTCCCAGCTGTGTCCTCTACTTGTTCCGTGCATGCATCCAGAAGGTCTTGTCAAGATCTCTCACCCTCTCTGTCCGTACCTATCTCTCGGCCTCCGCGTTTCATCCCGTCTTTTTCGACGAGTATCGGCTGGCCGGATCCTTTTCGAGACCGCCACTTTAGGATGCGATCGTGATGTGATGTGTGGATACTGGGTCGTTGATACGGTGTCTAAGTATTCCATTTGCCTTTCCACAAATCTATAGAGGTTTGAACCTTTCTTGCTTTGGCAGTAGCAGCTTACAGAAAGCCGCGAACATCAGACCACGCAGTTGCCAAGAGGTCGCTCTAGCCACTCCGCTATTCAAGGTCCAACCAAGGTGCAACATGCCAGATGATAGATCCATCAAATCAGCAATATTGAAATTACCCTGCTGTCTGCACCGTTTAGCGTTCGCGCTTGCTGCCGTGTCTTCAGGCACATTCCGGAGTGCAGGGAATATGCCGAGCAAGACAGGAGTTGCAAGGCGCGACCTCTTACATGCATAGGCCTCATTATGATGTGATTACGTGCCAGTAGAGGGCTCTATGTATTTAGAAGGAAAGAACCTTGAAGATCTCGCCCGACGTTTCTGCGACGCCTCTTTCCCATCACATGACACTCGCAACGCCACCTTCTACCCCAGACTCATCAGCCACACATAGCTGTGTAAGCAGTGACCGTTCGCATCACGCCCTCCCCACATGATCCCTTCCTGACGACAACGACCCTCCGCCCGGCCCTTCCTTCAACCTTTCCGCAGGCAACCAATACCCAGAAAAGGTTCATAAGTGCTCGTCATACACCTACGCGACATTTTACTTGCAAGAATCCTTTCGACGACAATTTCAAACGCCTCCGTCAAGGAACAAGTCAAATCAAGCGTACACGATGGCCTCCAAGACAAAATACGCCCCGGCGCCGACCCAGGACCCCGACGAAGCATCAAGCTACGCCCAGGCGCCCCCCGCCTACCAGGCCGAACCCACCGCCGCCTCCGACACCGATCGCCTCTTCGGCGGCGGCGCGCCTCGCAGCAGCCAGGATGACGACCTCCCCGATGACTTCAAGGTAAGCACAAGCACAAGCACAGTTCTCTCCAGGCACCGGTCATCAGCTCCCGGCTATCCCGTGGTCCCTCTGTACCTCCCCATCGTGAACCAGCTCTCGACTAACACGTCAAACCTACAGTTCGGCGGCTCGGTAGCAGAGGCCACGACCGACATCAGAAACCAGTTCATCCGCAAGGTCTACGCCATCCTCACCGTCCAACTCATCGCCACCGGCGCCGTCTCCGCCCTCAGCTTCTTCAGCAATGGCTACAAGACTTGGATCCAGGCCCACCCAGGCCTCGTCTTCGCATCCGTACGCTTCCCTGTCCCCTTTACGCGCCGTATCATGACAAGACTAACCACGAAACACAGCTCTTCGGCTCCATCATCATGATGCTCCTCACCTTCTGGAAACGTAAATCCTACCCGACAAACCTCCTCTTCCTCTCGGGCTTCACCCTCATGGAAGCCTACACAATCTCCGTCATCGTCTCCTTCTACAAGGCCGGCATCGTCCTCAACGCAGTCTTCCTCACCGCAGGCATATTCATCTTCCTCACCGCCTTCGCCTGCCAGACAAAGTACGACTTCACCTCCTGGATCCCCTACCTCGGCGGCGCCCTCTGGGGCCTCGTCCTCTTCGGCTTCATGTACATGTTCTTCCCCTACAGCTCTACCGGCGAGCTCGTCTATGGCGGCATCGCCGCCCTCATCTTCAGCGCCTACATCCTCGTCGACACCCAGCTCATCATGCGCCACCACCACGTCGAGGAGGAGATTGCGGCCGCCATCAGCCTGTATCTCGATATTATCAACCTGTTCTTGGCGATTTTGCGCATCTTGAACAGCCAGCAGAACAACTAAAGCTGGTCGCAACACACACACAATACCCCTATGTTCTAGTAGTAGCGTAATTTGGATTTCGTAATCAGGCGGTCTCGGCTCCAGACAGGTTGCTTCGAGTAGAAAAGAGGCTGTTTTGTTAGTTCTTTTGTAAGGAAGCAGGGATGCCATAAGTGCTTATTACACTGTCGGATGCTGGAGTGAGAGTGCCGTTTGCGTGCTTGTCGTTCACATGCCTCCTTCGTAGTAAAATTGATATAATACAAATGGGTCACAAAATGAATAGTGCATCAATCAAATATCACGCGGGGAACAAGACTTGAATTTGGTGAAGCGGTAAAGTAATGTGATATCTGCATTAGAAGTCGACTAATAGAAAAGGAAAATGAGGGCGTTAGTAAAAAGGGCTACAAAGGCACAGCCGGAAAGATGCGGGCTGGCGGCGTGATAGGGATGATGGAAACAGATTGACGAGTAGCTCGTGGCCCACAGGTCCGCCGTGTCCCCCATGATCCATCCCCTCGACCTCGACCCAGAAGCCTTTGAACCTCCGCCCCGAGAACGTACACCGCTTCTTCCCACACATCTACCGAGCCGGTAGCCTCTTCCCAGTCGTCGCATTCGTAGTAGACCTTTTTGGGGTTTTTATCTTCGTGTCAAGAGAAACGAACTCGCATAGGGGAATATTGTTCTTTCTCTTTCAACACAGCACGGAAACCAACGCCAGTATAGAAAAAGACCAACGTCGCAGTTTGGGATAACCATAAGCAGGGGCCAGAATTGTTGAATTAGTTGGCTTCGTGGTCGCCGTTGGCCTCGGCGGGGCCGCCGGCTGCTGCAGACTGTTCCCTCTGCATACGGGCCTCGATCTCGCGAAGTTGGGACTCGCGGGCCAAGAGCTCTTGTCGCTTCTCGTTGATCTCGCGCTGGACCTTGATCTCGATCTCGCGGAGCTTCTCCTCCTCTCTCCGCAACTGTTCCTCCTTGAGGCGCACAGATTGCGAGGCAAGATCCTCGGGGTTCATGGACGAGTCGCTATAGTATGGTCAGCGAGGTATCATCATGGGCAAAACAGGGGTCTGCAAAACGTACACTCCAGCACCACCCTCAACGGACTTGCTGAGCTTCTCGGTACGGTAGTTCTCGTACAGGAAGTCGTGGGTGATCTCCTTCAGGTCAGCCAAGTGGCTGTGAAGAAGTGCAGATCGAATGGCGAGGAAGTCGGAGTGGCGCGGGTTGTCAACCTCGACAACACCCCAAGGGTACTGGCGAGCGCGGACGGTGCGACCGCCAATCTCGACAATCTCCTCAGAACCGACGATCGCGAACGGCATCAAACCTCTCAGCTCGGCGTTCTCCTCAACAGTATCCTCGTCATCTTCCTCAATATCGTAAGGGAAGTTGTAGACGGGGATGCGGTAGTGCTCAATGTCCTCCATCACAAGCTTCTTTGACTCGGCGAGCTCAGCAGGGGTCAGGGAGTCGGCACGGCCAATAACGGGAATGACGTTAACACGGGGAGCAAGGCGCTTCATGAGCTCGATATCCAACTCGCGAAGACTGTTGGCTGGGTTAGTGGCGGTCAACGAAGGCCAAAAAACAGTGGGCTTACCCGTGTCCGGTGGGTGTGATGAAGTAAAGCATGGCGTGCACACGATTGTCTCTGAAACGAGGGTTACGCTTGATACGAGACTCCTCGGCAAGAATGTCATCGTATTGTCTCTCGAGGTAGCCGACAATCTCGGAGAAGCTGTAAGCATGTTAGCGATTGCGATGCCATCACTGTTGGCTGACATGTGGCGCCATACCTGGCCTCATTGTCAATCTGGTCACCGAAGCCGGGAGTATCAACAATGGTCAGAGAGATGCGGGTGCCCTCCTCGTCCAGCTCAAGTTCTGTGTAGCGGTCAGTTTGCTGATGCGATGATCAAGGGCTTGACGCAGTAGTCACGCACCGACAGTGATGGGCTTAATCTTGACACCGTCCTCGACAGAGGCGCCGTTGGGGTCGTCCGACTCCTTGTGGCCGAGCACGCTCTTTCCGCAGAGGGTGTTGACGAAGGTGGTTCTTCCTGTGAGGTCGAAAGTCAGTCGACGGGACTCGGCGGTGTTTGGGCGAACACGAGGTTGGCAATGTAGGGGGAAGACATACCAGTGCCTGATGCTCCGCAGACCATCAAACAGAACTGGATTCCCTTCTTCACGTTCTTCTTTCTGCGCATCATCTTCTGTAGTATAGAGTGTGATCAGTAAGGTGGAATCTTGAGGGATGCAGATGCATTGGGGCCATGATGGCTTCGTGGAGTCGGGAGAGGAATTATTGAATGGGGGCCGGATTGGTGTAGTAGGGGGAGACTGAGAGAGAGGCGGGCAAACATACGACGGTTGTTGAAAGTAAGGGTTAGTCTAGAAGAGGGTCGGTAAGGGAGTCGTTGAGGGATTCAACGACTTGACGAGAAAAGAATGGCGACGATATCGTTTCAAGGGACAGCGAGCGTCGTGTCGTGTCGTAGATGAACGGAGCAAAAGGACTGCTGGATCCCAAATGTCGTTGTTCTGGATTGGGACCTGGGGGTCGGACGGGAGGTGCAGGTGCTAAAGGGGACGGGAGGGTCTTGACCGACGGGTGTTGGAAAATGCAATTTCACACAAAATGTTGCGGCAGGACGACCCCAAGAGGCCCCCCAGCCAATTGATTGCTTCCTCCTGCACGCCCAATTCAGGGGGGGAGCAACTCCCCGGCCCACGCTCCTTTCCCCCAAAATTAACGCTAAGCCTGTAGAGGAAAGGCACCAATAGCGGGGTATCCTCGGGCAATTTTGGAAGAGAAAGAGAGGAATCTGGATGACAGGTCACGAGACTGGCACATGGTCAGTGCTGAAGCTTTCCCGCCTGGCTGCAGCAATTGCGGCACGCACGTTGGATGTTGGCGCGTTTGCACCGTGTGTCCAAGGGACCAAACATGTTTCGCGTTCCTGTACGGAGTACCTACCTTACTGTGGTGCCTTACCTAAGGCCAGGTGGCACCCAGCTGGACAGACGTGGCAGGTGCCTCAATCACACTCCCCTTATAATCATCACCACTATCTGAGAACTAAGTGTGTTGGTGAAATAAGGTACTTTGAGTTTCTGTTTTCCCCCAGAGAAAATATCCAAACAAGGTGCTAGAAAGACGTGCAACGCGAGGGATGGTAGTAGAAGAAAAAGGAGAAGAAGAAGAGGAGGTAAAGGTGAAGGTTGTGATAGTGATAGAAGCAGAGATTAACAAAGTGTTGAGCGGCAAACTATTCAGTCGCTCATTTCATCCCAAGTTCCCGTCCTCTCACTGAGATGTGATGCTTACCTAATGCTGCTAGAGGCACCTTGGTATCCCCGTACCTAGGTGACTTTCGCCAGTGGACAGTCAGGTTGGTTGATGCGCCGCATTAGGCGGGACGATACGATACGTACCTTTTTCAAGTTCCAACGTCCGCAGGCTGACTTCACCTGGGTTCCCGTCTGCTGAGACACTGTCCACGAGGTCCTCTTCATGAGCATCTTTTCTTTTGATTTCCGCGATCCGGTCGCCGTTCGCTCTGAATAATCGCTGGGGGCTGTTTGTCGACTGCATACACTTGCCAATCTCCCCTGCCAACTTACTTACCTTGCCCCAGCTTCCTGACTCGGCAATCCAGCTGACTTCGACCCGCTCAACTCACTACCGCTGCTAATAGGCGCTTCAACCCGTTGCCGTCTGTCAACATCATCGTCAATATCGTCAGCAGAGCACCTCTCTTTTCGAGAGATGCACTTGTCAAGGATGATATCGTAACGAAGAACTTCAAGAACAACAGAATATCGGCCTGGCTTGCCAGCCTTGCATCCACAGCGCTCATCCCTTACTACCGAGCCCCTCACCGTCGTCCAGGCCAAACTGTCACATACCCGGCATTGCGACTTATAGGCACCCTCTTCCACAATGAATACTCGTCCACCTATAGAGACGGCGCCCTCGACAGTCGTGCTTTCTGTTTCCTTCAATAGTGATGCGAGTTGCTTCTCTGTTGGTCTGAACTCAGGAATATGCAGTAAGTTGTTGTGGGAGTCGAGATGTGAACACTTAAGCTATTCATGATCCCTGACATCCGGTACCTAGTCTTCCACACCAAGTCTTGCCTTCTCAAGGCATCTAGAGGTTTGCACTTCCTCCCTTTAACTTTACATTAAGAAAAGCGGCTAACCGCATTATAGACTTCAATGCTGGTATCGGCCTGGTCGAGATGATGGGGACCACGAATTACCTGGCGCTCGTCGGCGGCGGTAGACAACCCAAGTTCAGTAGCACCAAGGTATGTGTTGAATCGTTCAGTCCTCTGTGGGATCGCAAACTCACCTACCGCGCAGACCATCATATGGGACGACATGAAGGGTAGAGTCGCCATAGAGATCGCCTCTCTTACACCAGTGCGGGGCGTCCGGATCGGTCGAAACCGTATCGTCGTAGCGCTCCAGAACAGTGTACGCGTTTACTCGTTTGCGAAGCCTCCCGACCTGCTGTCAGTCTACGAAACCACCAACAATCCTCTTGGACTCATTGCCATGTCGGACAAGACTATTGCATTCCCGGGTAGAACTGTCGGCCAGATCCAGCTCGTCGACATCGGAACCGGCAACGTCAGCATCATCCCCGCTCACTCATCTGCCCTCCGTGCCATTCAAGTAAGCTCAGACGGCGAGCTTCTGGCCACAGCAAGCGAGATGGGCACTCTGATCAGAGTCTTCGCCACAACTAATTGTGCCAGGCTCGCCGAGTTGCGACGGGGCGTCGATCCTGCCACCATCTTCTCTCTCGGCTTCAGCCCCGAGGGCACGAAGCTAGCCTGCACATCAGATAAGTCGACACTGCACGTCTTCGACGTCCCGCACCCCAAAAAGCCCATGACAGCACCGACCAGCCCTTCAGCGTCACAGATGGCGGGATCCGGCATTCTCGCGGGTAGACCAGCCGACGATGGCAAGGGCCGCTGGGGGTTCCTAGGCAAGATCCCCTTGATGCCGCGGATGTTCTCGGACGTATACTCTTTCGCATCTGCGCCATTCGAAGCAGGCGACGATCCCCTCATCGGCGGCCTGCCCATGTCAGAACAGACGACACTAGGAACGACAAGACCGCAGAAAGGCGTGATTGGATGGATCACCGAGGACAGTCTGGTGGTGATTGGCGCCGGACATGATGCCAGATGGGAGAAGTTCGTGATATCCAAGGGAGAGGACGGACGCCGATACGTCGTTCGAGAGGGTTGGAAGCGATACTTGGGTAGCGCTTCATGAGGAGATGTTTCTCAAGCTGGCTCGTAGGAGTCATGCTGCTATTTGGTTTATGGCACAGTGTACATTACATACGGCGTTGGCATCGGACAAACAAGGCATTCAGGGGTATCAGCGATAGCATCGCTTAGTCTGTTATTAAGTGCTTATGGCATCTTCGAGACTAAGGTGACTTGCTCCTAGTTCTACTTCGCCTTGTATGCCGCCGCTCATCATCACGGTCTCCATGTCTTTTAGGCTGGCGTTCGTCCGAGCCATCGCGGTCACGATGCCGGCGCTCTCTCCTCCTCTCGCCGTCCTCGCCTGGATCACGGTCCCGATCTCGATCACGTCTATCTCTTGACCGGTCCCTCTCTCTCCGACTCCCATCATCCCTTCTCGATCCCCTATCCCGATCCTCACCACGATGCCCGTGGCGTCGCGAACTCCTCTCGCCATCTCTGCGATCTCTGTCGTCTGGAGTATCATCACGACGTGACCTCCGGCTGCGATGCCTATCCTCGTCGCGGTCCGCGTCCCTCATCTCCTCATCGCTGTCGTGCCTGCGCGACCTGTGCGACCGATGATGATGATGCTTGTACTTCTTCCTCCTCTCAGACTTGTCATCTCGCCGCCGCAGCGCTACCTTGATTTGCTCCTTCTTCTCCTCGATCAAGAAAGCCTTCATGGGGTCGTCCTCGTCATGATCCCGAATCAGTAGCGCAAGCTCCCTCTCCTCAGGCAACATCGGCCGTTGCTCCTCCTCTTCGTCCTCGTCTGACCCCTCGTCCGTCTTGTCGCCTCCTTCCTGCTTCACGACCGTCGCCCAGTCCACCTTGCCCTCGTCCGGGTTCTCGTCGTCGCGGAACTTATAGCGCGCGTGGTCTACGCTGATCATGCGGCTGCCGCCGATTGTCGCACCGCCGAGGTTGTCGACCGCCAGATCGGTACTGCGCTGGTCCTCGTACTTGAGCCAACCGAAGCCTTTTGATTTGCCCGTCTCTTTGTCGCGGGCGAGCTTGAGCCACACAGGCTCGCCGAATTGGGAGAAAATTGTGATCACATCGCCTTCGGACATTTCGTAGGGGAGGCCGCCAAAGTAGATGTACGCCGTGTCGCGGTAGTCGACGTGCCAGGAGCCTTCGGGGGAGCTGTTGGTGTGTCAGCGCATGGTTCTCGATCTGCATGCGAGATGCCTGGCATAACTTACATTCCATGTTCAATCTCTTTTTTGTTGAGCTCCTGAATGGCGCGAATTTTGTTCATGATGGCGACGGGGAACTCAAGGTTCTCTGAAGCTTTTGGCAATCGTCAATTTTCGTGGCAGACGTCTGAGAGTGTAGTAAAGCTTCGATTCTTCAAGGCTGAAAGAAGCGTCGTCCCAAGCTTTCTTAGAGCTTCTCGGCCCCAAAAGAAAAAACACCGACGCCTAGACTTTCCTTAGGTGGTCGCGTAGGTAGCACTGTCAGTGCGTCATATCTCCCAATATGCGCTCCAGCCCCCAAGACAACCCCTAAAATGACACTTCGCTAGCTGCCCGCGTTCTGCATTGTCACTGCCTGCCCTCTAGCTCCCGTCGGGAAAACAGCCGGTCCGGAGCTCAAATCCCCCGACACTTTGAGGAAGGGGCATGAGAAAGCGCTGGCGAGTTGCCAATAGAATTATGGAAGATACGACCGTCCGTTCAAGTTGAAAGACTTCAACTTCTGGAAACGCCATCATTGCTTCGGTCGGAGGAGTCTGTTTTCCTGTATTTTCTAGACCGACCGTCGGTCCAAACCCGCATAGTCTAGCATACTCGTCGGCCTACCTACACCGCGACTCGAACGCGTCTATCTGCATACGCATAAAGCTGTCCACTGTCAACCCACCGACTCAAGTTCCTGGACCGAGACACCACGTCCACAGACCCACGATTTCCACCCAAACCCCTCTCATGCGTCCTCCTCAGCGACAAACACAATCATGACCGCAAGCGCAAATCGGGTGTCGACGTACACCTCGGCTTCCGCGGGGTCAGACGGCCGCAATGGAGAGAAGAAGGACCTCTGGAGCTCCATGCTCGATAATGTAGCCAGCAGCAAACGGCTACCGGAGAAGAACATGATCGTGCTGGGAGGCTCACCAGAGTCGCAAAAGGAATTCGTCGAGTCCCTGTCACACAGCAGCGAGAAGCGAAGTCTGGATCGCAACAGTTCAAAGACGCCTCCTATTGCAAACAGCTTCGCTCTTGGGTATACCTATTACGACGTCCTAGACGCCGACCAAGAAGGTTCGTTGTCAGTTCGACTCGGCTTCTGCTGCTGATGCTAACTCGATCTTTAGATATACTTGCGCGGATTTCTCTCTACATGCTCTCGAACCCCTCAGAATCGTTCCCGAAACTTATTCAGCCCCTAATTACACCCGAGACGATACCGAATACCCTAATGGTCGTGCTCCTTGACTGGTCTACACCACACTTGTGGATGCGCCAACTGAGAGAATGGATCTTGTTCATGCGCAGCATCCTCGAGAGCTCGAGCCACGAGTGTCAAGCGACGATGGAGGAGGTGATGGTTGCATGGCGGGATAGGGGCAGGGGAGGCGGCTCGACGAACCTCGACGGCACGGGGGCGACCACTAGCGAAGGCGATGTCGCACTGCCTCTTGGACCTGGTGAATGGGAAGAAGGCATAGGTCTGCCGCTCTGCGTAGTCTGCCAGAACGTAAGATCAAGTGCCATGCCGAAAGGTTGAACGTGTGCGTGCTAACGAACTCGCAGGCAGAGAAGATGGAGGGCCTGGAGAAGACGCAAGGATGGAAGGAAGGTGACTTTGACCAGGTTCTACAGTATCTCAGGACAGTGCTGCTGAGGCGTAAGTTGGCGCTCTCTCCGAGGCCCACGGCCATGCTAACAGTGTTGTCCCAGACGGCGCCTCGCTCATTTACACCACACCAAACGTGCCTTCATCATTACCGAGTCTGGTGCACTCGAGTCTGGGCATCACCTCCCTACTCAAACGGCAACCGTTGAAGCACAACACAATTGACAGAGATAAGATCCTGGTCCCGCCAAACTGGGATTCTTGGGGCAAGATTCGCGTACTGAGGGATGGATTCGATGTTGAGGCCACCAGCCAGGGCTGGTCGCACGACCTGCAGTCCACTTTCCCCTCGCCCGCGATGACTACGGACGGGTTGAGCATTTTAGCCAAGGCGAAGGCAGATGGGGACTACAATGGCGAAGTTTCGTCCTCAGCAGTGGCGCCGTTCGAAGACTGGATCCGCGATCTCAGCCAAGCTGGCAGCGCAATCTCCTTTGCGGGCCGGGAAGGTGACCCGTCGCAACTGGAGATGTCATCTACCGATACGCAAGAGTTCCTCGGTGCTAGTCTACAGACGCTGGACACGCACCGCAGCCGAAGCAACGACGACAAGAAGGCAGACGCCTCCAAGTCGAGGACAGGACAGCGGACGGACGACTCGGATTCCAGTGCGCTACGGCAGGGAGCCGACGACGGCAAGGTCAGCCAGCACATTGGGCCTGTGCAGTTTAACATGGGAGGCATCCAGGTGGATGCCGACGACATGGTGCAGCGGCTTAAGGTAAGTCGCCAAGTCAATCTCGATATAGGAGCGGCTTTGACTAACACGGATCGCAGGACCGTCAGGCATACAGTGCTACACAGGATCCCACCACGCCACCGGCTGACACCGCCGAGGAGAATCCTGATGAGATGGACAACGACAAGCTCCAGGCTTTCTTCAGCGGTTTGATGAACCGTAAACAACCTGCCAATGGCAGCCCTCGTGGCGGCTCGTGAGTGTGTTGATGTCGAGCGATAGTGGGACGATGGGCATGCCCGCATTTAGGTCCCTATTTTCGTTACGGAGCCGAAGTCGATTTTAGACCTGGCCAAGCGGTTGACTTATACCCAATCGGTCTTCTTTTCGGGGGACAAATGTTGAATTTGAAAGAGGGAGTTGATCATGTCTCATGGACATTGGTCACGAAAGAAAGCGACGAAAGAGAGTTGCATCTTGCCTCAGTAGGTGTATGTGGTGGGCAGGGGCGAGATTGTGCGGACAAGGCGAGACAGTGGCGGCGGTTGGGCGAGATTCAGTCAGGTCAGCAATCAGTCAGTCAGTCGCTGTAGAATAGATACCCCGATTATGACAATGCTATGCGTTTGGTGTTAGTTTGAAGGATTGTAGGTTGACGACCATCGTGAAGGTAGAGTCGAGTGTCTCCAATGATGGATACACAGAGGCAAAACCCCCTTAGCATACAAGAAATACTCGGTTACGCGAGTTCCTCGGAAAAGTTAAGTGCAGGGCCACTACAATCTGGCCTGTCAAGAGAGGATGCTCCAGTCAACTTGGACTGCCACCTGGATATTCTGTCATATCAGACACAGAGCTCTTAGTTCGTGCACACAAGCTTGATCATGGTCAGTTCCTTGTAGAGCTTGAAACGATTAGATCGCAAATTAATTGATGATAGAACACGCACACCATCTAGGTGCAGAACGGCAAGTTGTTGTATTTTCCCATGAGCCAGCAACATCAGCAGATTCCAAACCACTGCTGCCTCCCCTTTTTCCTCTCTTCCTTCACCTCACTTATTTCTCGCACCATCCAGTAGGCTGGCCAAGAGCCTTGCACTTGGCAACGAACAAAGGCTCATTAATGTCAATCATGATCTGGCACTTGGTAGGATACGGACCGCCTACACGCAAACAGGCCACGATTAGTATCCTCAACTTTGATCCATGTGTGATTCCCGAGCGAATCGACCAACTGAGGGATGGTATCTCGTATGTACGTACCAACGGTGCCGTAATCGGGGCAAGCGTTTTTGGTGGAGGTCGGGTCGCTAACGAGCGCGGAACCGGTGTCTCTGCCGCAGTAGCAGTTCTTGATGTCGTCGAGGCGCTTGGTGACGGTGTTGTCGGTGGGTGCGCCGTTGACGATGGCGGCGAGGCCCCTGTGTTAGGCCATGTTAGTGATTTGTCTATCATGGTGAGGGAATTTTGGTGTTGGGAAGACGAACATGAGGGCGATGATGGCGTTGAAGGAGAACATCTTGAGTAGGATGGTTTGCGTAGAGGAGCTTGAGGTGATATTCGAGATTTGTCGTGATTGATGCAACAACTCTCAAAGCTTCATAGGGAGTACGTGATGTCTTTATACTGGTGGGTTGAGGATCGATACGTGATGTTCCCCATCTGTTGACAGTCTACAGAACATTTTCTTCAATGACCGGGATCAAACCCCATAGTGATGCCCTGGTTCCTAATTCTCATAGCCATATTGCCTGCAATACAAACGGGCGCATCTCATCGCCCATCATCGGCTTGCCCGATGCGTATATTAGAGATGCATCTCGGTCCAGAATACACGCCACCGCTGTATTGCTATGCGGTATACGCTCACTGTCGCGAGTCACGATCACGAAAATTCCAACCAAGGGAGTTCCCGCACACTATGACCCAGCTCCGCTTCCATTGAATCTCCTGAACTTTGATCAAATGAAAAATTGTCGATCCTATCATCCTACGGCTCGCTTTTTGACATGTCACAAGGATGATCCACAAAGTTGGGGAGCGGGAAGAGTCATGTCAGCCAAGCCAATTCGGCTCGATCCGATCAGGTATTGTTTACAAGTGTAACATCATAGCATCCCCGAAAGGGGATCAAAGAGACTTGAAGCTCTACGCCGGCACTTGCTCGTAAAGAGCTAGTTGGAACTTGAAAGATAACTAAGCTGATAGCTCGCATGTTGTTTCTCAAGTTGCCAACTTCTTGCGTTTGCAGCATACCCGCTGTTTGGTTACCGGCAGGACCGAGCGTCGGTTTGAGTTTAAACAATACAGCAGGTATACTTCAACCTCGAGTTCGGCTGACATCTGACAACTCTGCTTCTTCAACGAACAAAACAACGAACAAAACAACGAACCATGTTTGAGCGGTGAAAGGGGTACGATGCGAGCTCTTAGAAAGCCGAATAATCAAACGGCAAGGTTTTGGGATCAGCGAGATGTAACAGTGTGACGTTTCTCTGACTAGGGAAGTGAACTATAATAGTATTCCCAAGGCCGTTCCGAAGGTTTCGATTTGACGGCGACTCATATGAATGGATCTATCTACAGGCTGCGATCTGCGGAAGGGCTGCGGCGTTATTTGAAAGTGCTGGATTATCCTCCTCAATGAACTCTGCATTTCTTATACTAGATGTGGCATCGGATCGAGATTCTATAACTAGAAATTTGTGTTAAAGTCACTGGTAAGCAATATTTGACAACGAACACGTGTAAACCTGCCCTCATCCCAAGCCATTAGAGCAGAGATCTACTCATACCAATAGGAACAATCAGAATCGCTTCGAATTCACTATCGGTACACGATGACATGATTTGAAGTCAGTATTCCTGGCTGGACTCCTTCTCAGGTTGATCACACGTCGAGCCAGTGTGTAAGCTCTGTCAGTAAACGTGGTTTTCTCCTTTCAGGTGACAAAGTTACAGAAGCTCACTACACCCGATCTTATTAAGGTGACATTTTACTTCCGGAAATCATGTTACTATTATTGTGAAGCTTCTCATCCATTCGGTACTATTGTCAAGTCCCGTTAGCAAGTGTCGTTGAGATATCCCACCGGCGTGGCCCATCGGGTACCCCATCCTTACGTCTTATTATATAATCGCCCGAGCTTAGTTACACTATAGTTGTGAACTTCAGCCGGAGAGTAGTTCCCAGAGTGATAAATGCTCCTAGAGACGAAATATATTTTCGACATTTCTTTTACATCTTAGAATATGGAAATAGTTGCTCAGGTAATCTGGAAGGTACTCGATAAACAGATTCGAGGTTGGCACATCGGAGCAGTGCAGTCACTAACTGCCGCTTCGCTGGGCTATTGCTTAGTCTCGCCTCTCAGTATGCGCACCCGCTTCCGCAGCAGGAACATCCGGTCCAGGCCCCTGAAGATGCGTCAAGGCAGCCTCCTGCACTGCCAGCCCACCTTCCTTGCTATCTCCATTCGCCCCGTTGGTCTCCTGTCCCCCGCAACACGGAACAATAACACTCGTCTTGTTCTTGTTGGTGGGCATATCGAGCGCCGGGTTCGAGGTGAAGAAGTCTGCTGGCCGGATGGTGAGATGGTGGATCTCGACGGGCCTGTCGATGAGCGTGTAAGTCAGCGGATGGTCTCATTTATGATCCTGGGTAAAGAGAGTGATGGAAGTCAAACAAAGGGGAAAAGGACGGGACCAAAACAGAAAACAACTTACATCACAGGCCAATCCTCCACCCTCGGATTATGCGTCAACCCAAACACACTCCAGACAACGGGGCTACTCTTCCTACCCTCACCACCGCCGCCGCCATCCCCATTCGCCTCACGCTCATCACCAAACCAGTCCCCCCGCTGAACCATATCCCACACCCCACCGACCTCCTCCCGACTCTGATTCGTATACTCCCCAGCCGCCCACAGCTCGTCATCGCGGTGTCCCGTAACCCAGACATGATGCCTCGCATACTTGGCCCGCTTCGACACCTGGCTCGTCTCGTCCGCCAGCAACAGCTGTGACGCAGACGGCGTAAGCTTGAACCCGACGTTCCTCCCAGACATGGCATTCTTCTTCGTCCGGTTCTCAAACTTGATCACCCTGTTGAGTTTGGGCTCCGCATCAATCCAGCTTGCCTTCTCGACAACCTGCTTCCGGATCTCGTAATAGTTCCCGTACGGGTTCGTCTCCTTGTTCAACGGCACAGGCACGCTCTCCTCCACAACGACACGCGTATCCCCCTCGGCGTATGAGTCCACCGCGGGATCGATCCTCACGGCAAAGATATGCTGATGATTCTGCGCCAGCACGCCCGGCGCGACGACGGCGCCGTACGCAGACTCTTGCTTGCCCTCGTCCACTGCCACGACGCTCATGATCCCCGTCGCCCGCGTCTCGAGCGTGATCCCTCCCGCCGTGTCAAGCTTATACGCAAACACGTACTCGTAGTTGGCCAGCGTGACGACGCACTGCACAACGAGCTCCCGCAGCCTCGTGACCACGGCCCGGTTCGTGCGAAAGTTGGTGTGCTTCCACCCGATCCCGTTGTCCTGCTCGTGGAGACAGACCACGGCCTTCGCCACCGTCGGGTTCCCCTCCGTGTCAGCCATCAGGGCGTCAAAGTAGTGGATCGCGCCGAGGCAGTCGCAGCCGAGCTCGAGGTTGTTCGCCACGCGGCCGAAGCCTCCGTCGCCGAGGTCAAAGGCCTGCTTGCGCTGATAGGGCGGACGAGGGTCGCCGTAGGGCACCGTCAGCTCGCTGTAGCTTAGACGATACAACACGGGGCGGTTATCGTAGCAGAGATCGTGTAGTACAGCGCCCTCGCGGGGAGTGAAGCCGAGGCGGAACCGCCACTTTTGCCACTCGACGAGGTTGTCCGGCTGGATGGCAAAGGAGGCGCCCTCGGGCTGGGTAATGTTGATGGGCTTCAGGTCCTCGCGCTGCGGAATCTCGAGGAGCTCTGGGACGTACTCGGAGGATATGTTGTTGGTGAAGAGGGACTTTGGTTCCGCGGCGCGCGGTTGGGGAGCGAGGCCGTCGCCTGCAGCGCCGGTGGCGAGGCGGTCGACGCGGAGGATCTTGCGGGTGGCTATATCCATGACGGGGATGATTGGGATCGGGTAGGCGTAATGGTTCGAGTCGACGTTGTTCTTGGAGGCGTCGCGCGCGAAGACGAGGCCCTGCATCAGGCGGGCAATGTCCCCTTCGTCCTCATCCGGACCACCGTAGGGCCAGGGGTCGATTGTGACGGTGAAGTTCTCCGGGAGAGAGAACTCGGCCATGGCGTCTTTAAACATTTGGGATGCCACACAGGCGTCTTGGAAGATTCCAAACTCATCGCTGTGAGATATGTTAGTTGGGTGATTCTCACTCAGACAGGCATCATAGTAGGCGTAACTTACGGGGTATAGCTGGTCTGAAAGTGCGGTGCGGCCACGGTTCTATCAGTCTCACGGCCGGTCTTGAGGTCTACCACGGATTGGGTATACTCGGGCCTCTTATCACTTCTGATGACATCGTATTGAACTCTTGCTCGGCGTGGGGGCCGAGGTGTCCCGTCTGTGAGCTTTCCCGCATGCTCTGCCTGAAGATACGGCACAAGCTCCTCCTTCTTTGGCTCTTGCAGGAAGATACATCTGAAGAAGAGCGAGACGTCTTGGTCAAAGAGCTTGGCAATGATGTCTCTTGCCGCTCTGAACTCGTCTCCAGATAACGCCGTCAAAGGGTGAGGAGCCATGGTGGGTGAGATCTAAATTGTCTACTCGAGATATCAAGAAAGACAGCTATAGTGAAATGGAAACCTTGGGATGACTGCACTTTCTTGATATCAGTGGCTGAGGTCGGGCTTATCTAGACTTTCAACGGGCGGCTAAGACGCAGTGCGGGGATCTTGCAGTAGTCTGATGATAGGAACCATTCATCCAACAGTGCAGACAGCCGATTGACTAATAGCTCGACAGATGACCGTGGGCGCGCAGCTCAGTCGCTTGGTCACAAACTCGGAGACGAGTGCAGGTATCCCGACGACCGTCTACTTGACGTGGTCACCGATTCATCCAGTGACAGACTCAACGTTATGATGGCGGGGTAGAGGCCGTCTCGTTGGCCTAGCTGGGTGGTGGGATGGCGGGGTACCAAGCATCCGACTATCCAATAGACGGCTCATCACCCGTCGTTTTCTCCAACGATTTGGAGATATCGTCTTCTCTTCGGGTGCTCCAATGCCACATGCGGCAAGTCCATGCGGTACTGACCCTCCATTGGTCGTGACCATTATCGAAGTCCTGATCTTTACCTCCAAGACGGGAAGATGAGCTGACCGGCTTGACAGCCAGTAGACGAGGACTGGATGGAAGCTTGAACCGAACTCATTATTGCTGCGCAACATGTTGCTACCAAATAATGCGTACGGATATGTTGTCCTGGGCTATGGGACCCGGGCCCGGAGCTGATGATTACTGTGCTAGGCTCACTGTGCTAGGCTGAGACACCATGGTAAGCTGAGGCGTGCATAAAGACATCATAGGGTATTCCCCAGGTTTGTGTCGTGTAAGGTTAAAAAATAAACTACTTCCTGCAGCGTCCGATACATCTGACCTCGGACGCTCAGTAAGCAATATGACAATACACACGGGCTGCCAGGAAGCTACAAAAAGCAGGCCTGGTGCAGTCGGGCCTACGGAAGGTGGTCGTTGTCGGTCTAGTATCACAGACTACTGTCTCTCAATGGAGGCTAGCACGACGAGATACGGGTATCGGTGACTCTGTGACATCTTGAACATGACCGTTTGATCAAGTGAGAGGACTCGTATTAGTGCCACCTCGGTACTCGAGACCCACGAAAATCGCACAACGGCTCACGGCGATATGACAACCAGAGACAGGTCCATGGCCCTATGGAGTATAAGTCGGCAGACGGAAGTCATTAGCCGAGCAAGGATGGAGACCCGCATACTCCAGACAACCTAGAGGCTGGGTCGGCTGGGATCTCTGGAGTGACAAGGCCGGCCAGACGTGTAAAGACAATATGTATGACAACAGTTTGCCCTCTCACGAGTTTCGCCTTCAGTATGTTTGTTTGAGGGGACATACCATGCAATTCGGTGTAGCTTTGTGAATGGCTATTCCGCCTCAATAGAGGCGGCCGAGGCATTGACCGTCGTGTTGGCGGGCTGCTGACCATTGGCGAAATGACAATCAACGACGGAACCGTGCATCATCGTCCGGAGTGCGGCAAACAAACTTGGGATCGCGGCAGGTCATCATAGACACTAGGCCCCCCCCCCTGGATGAGCTCTGATTCTGATCAACCGTCGTTCGCCTCGGTATGACTCGCTCCACAAAGGTAACCGCACGGCCGGGAACACTGGGGGGTTGTTGCAAATGTTGAGGCTATGAGGAGTAAGGTAGTGGGGGGTTTGGACTCCTGGTCAAAGAATGAGGAACCAAACAGTTTGATGGCTGAGCGGGATGTGACGGTACAGCAGGTTTTGCTCGCTTGGAAAGACTCAGATTGGTGATTTGTCTGTCGTGGTGGAGAACTCCAGAAGTTGAAGGCGACGACGGAGACGCAGCCGAGACCAAGCCGTGCGTGTTCTGGAGAAGCCACGGAAATCGGGTCATGGCTATCCGCAGGAAGCCGAGGCCGATTGATGGACAGTCCGTTGGAATTCCGGAGACGCGCCATGAGGAGTCTTGCGCGGCCAGCATGACACCAAGCTGTTGAGACTCTTGGAGGCCATGGGGGTTTTTGAGGGGGCCCTGAAGGTTGTCTAGAACTCTCGACTTTGGGACATCAGACGAGGTGGAGGGAAGCTCAGCCCCAAACGTGGACGAGCAGGGTTGATGCTGCCATAGAGGCCAGCAGTTGGCTTTTACCGGACTGTTTGCCTTGCCGCTCTGCTTCTTCTTTCTGCTGTGGGAGCATTCCTGTCCTTGTGCGGCGTTCTGTAAGGGAGCGTCTCATGTCTGCAGACTTGGCGAAACGGAGACGGAGGTTCGGACAGAGGTTGACGTGGACGCTTGTGCTTGTTTCCTGGTACGTTTGTGATGGGGGACGTTGATTGTAACGTTAACGCAGTACATGGAGCCTGATGTGATGTGGCTGCATCTTGATACGATAGAAGACAAAGTCTAGTCAATGTTCGTCGACGGAGGCCGACAATAGCTCAAATTGGTTCATATGTGACGAACAAAGTGTGCGGATATCATATATGCGGCTCTGTGGGATGGGCGTGGGCGGCAGTTGAGAGAAAGGGCAGCGAGCGAAGGACCCTGGGCGAGGAAGAACCAACATCCCATGTCATTAGGTGGTTACTAGTCCCTGCTTTCGTAGGATGTTTCTAGGGACTCGGTACTTTCTCCAATGGAGCGAACTTTGGTTAGAGAAGGCACGATGCGGTAATCGATAATAGCGAGACCTCCATTGATTGATGGTACTAATCCGATAACATGCCTTCCTACAACTTTTGTCCGTACTTAAGGTACCTCACCTCATGGCCAGGCAGAATGTACAAAGTCGAGGTTCCTAAGGTTCCGAGTGTTGGGTTGGGAAGGAGACACTCCCTGGCGTTCCTGTCTTTCCGTCGTCCTATCAGAGACTGCGACTGACCTGCAGAAGTATTCCTATTTTGGGAGTGGACCCATCCAGGGTGCTCCCTTCTGAAACGCACCAATTTATCTGATGTCGTGATGGGCCGGGGATCTCCATGATGCTCGCTCTTCCGTACCAACTTTTCTGATTTTCACCTTCCAGACCATTGATGGACATTCTTAAATTTTCTCTCTATGCTCTGTGCTCGCTGCTTCTCCATGTTGGTGGATGCTGTTTAATATGGATGCGCCGATGAAGATGGACAGAAACCCACCGAGCCAATTACCAAAAGCTTGCTCCATCCCTGGTCTTTATCTCGAAGCGAAATCGAGATACATGCATGTCCCGGCAAGGTACGTACTGCTTGACTGACAGTGACAACACGTGGAAGATGCCAGTGGTGCTTAGTACCTAGTTACCTGGGATGCATTCCTCAGGCGCACCTTTCTATGTACCTAGTCATGCAGACTCTCTCCCTTTTTCCAGACTTGGCAAGCTGGCATCCGCATTGCGTGGGCAAGCGGGCGGTGGAAGAGAGAAGATGAACACCGACCGCAGAGGCCAACGGATTCCGCGCGTCGACTTTGACGGGCAGAGAGATAGACTTTGGGGGCTCATTTGGGGTCCAAAGACTGTCCGATCTTTCGCTGTTTCCAGAGCAATTCAAACAGTAGCCACCTCGGATTTTAGTAAGGACGCGCAATGCTTCATCGCCCTCACATCGTTGACGATGGAGTAAAGGCACGCTTAACGAGGCCCAATACGGGAGACCTCTCGGAAGACGCCGTGGCTTATCTGAGTAAGACCCAGGCTGACAAGCACCAGCCCGGACTACCTTACACTAGAGTCTAGACGTGCGTTTGACACGATACGAGACCCCAACGAGACGTCAGTCACGACACACATTGCAAAGTATTCGTACTCTGTACGTGCGGCTAGTTGGACTCGACTCAACGTCGAGTCTCACTCTTCCGTCCTTCCGTTGTTCCACCCGGCAGCTCTTGCCGGGCACAGATCCCACTCTGCTCATTCGCTATCCCATGACGCCGTCTCGCAAACATTTTGTTCGGATTTCTGCTTCCAACAGTTTAAGGTGTGCGTGTCCCTCTGTCGCATTGTCTTGATCCAGTCGAGTCTCGAAATCGTGCACATGCGTACAGAAGACCCTTGCTGGGGTTTCCTGAATGCTTGATGTTCGTCTGTGCCAATCGTTTTGTTCTGATCTGTCTGACTGTCAAGCCTCTTGGCTAATCCAGTGGCATGTCTCCTGCAAGGTGCATTCGATCCGATAACAACAGAAGCGTCCCAGTCAGCGCCAAGTGCCATGACCAAATCATCGACTTGGAAACTTGCGTATCTGTACCTCAGCTATTTGCCAAGTTACATGCCCAGTGGCAGAATGTGCTTGGTGGTGTTCCGTCGCCTCGCTACTGGGTAGCATCCGCACCAAGGCGATGGTGTCGCCGGCCGGAAGCACATTGCGCAGTAGCGCCGCATTGTATGCGCGATCCACGCAACACACTTCGACTCATTCGTACAGGGTGAAGTACGCCTTTGTACATGCTTCAATCACCACCTCACTGTCTAAACTTGAAAGGAAGGAGAGCTTGCCGCGCAGGGCAAAAACTTGGAAACTCACACAGGGAAGGCAGGGGGAAGGGGAAGGGGTGACTTTCATACATACTACGTACACAGTAGGTACCTACTTTAGGGAACCACCTACACCCATAATGCCACATCGACTTTTCTTCGGATTGCGAATCGTCCCAAAAGCTCCCTATCCACGCCTTCGTAGATTGTTTCTCCAAGGTATTTCATTCTCTAATTCCTCACCTGTAACTATCCTCCAGCCGTTCCGTTCCCTAGCTTCCAAGGTTCGCTAGGTTATCTTTCACATTCTCCTTTGCGGCATGTATTAAAACCCACGGCAACCATTTCATGCCAAGTCTTCATTCCTGCCACTCAGTCGCAGAATATTTCTCGAGGTTTGCTGCCTTTTTTTGCTGCATACAAACACAATCACAAGCTAGAGATCTGCCAGTCCATTCTTTCAAATCGACTGCATCTTTGAGAAGCCTTGGCTCCTTACCTATCACCTTATTGACTTCGAAGACACACGAGCCTTGGATTGATTGAGGCGTTTTCAGCACGGCACCGTACCCGTTCTGCACAGCCTGCCGCCTTCCCGAGTCCCATCTTATCGGACCAGGACACGCAAGTCAGCATCCCGGCGTCATCCAAGTCGTGGCCTACGGATACCGCCGCAGCCACAGCCGCATTCGCACCTTTTTCTCCATCTCACCCGTCCTCTCACCCTCGCCCTCGCCGCCATCGCCCCCCCTAGAATCTGGCTACGGAGTACGGGACCACGGTACCTCTATCTTGCCAGGGACAGGGACAGAAAAAGGTGCACTCGCCCAATCGAGACCCCTGGAAAGGAGAGAGGGAAAATTCAGAACAAAAAAGGAAAAGGGTCCCTTTGCTCTTCCACACCCAATTATTTCCAATTCTTGTCCTTTCAAGTCTTGAACAGACAAGTCAACCACAACAACCAACGCCTACTTACCATCTACCTGGGAGAGTAGAGCTTCAACGTTGACGTATCCGTACGTTCGTTTTCGCAATTCCTTGGCACCTCTTAGATCGATCGCCGGAACTCTATCCAGCTCCTCCCCGACTATCGACGGCCCCATCTTCGAGGTATGTTCCTCGTCTGCCATTACGTCCCCGGGACCCACGCCTCTCTATTCGCTACCCAGCTCATCCCTTCACCACCAAAACCTTGACAGGCTTCCTCTCCTTTTCCATCCAGCCCAGACTTTCCAGACTTCATTTACCTGCCAGCCCTACCCGCTTACTGTCACCTATCCTCAGCATTGCGCCTCAACCTGCTGCCTCTTGCTCCATTCACCTAATCAGTCCCAAACTGACATGATCTTTCTTGGTTTCGCAGGAATCACTCCGCCATAGGCAGAACCTTGAAGCTTCCTACGACTCTCTTCCTCCTTAAACCCCTAATCCGGCGCCTCCAACTTTTTTTTCTCAGGAACCACGTCGCATCCGACTCTATCTACGACAGTCACTCTTTCCCAACCCTACAACCCGATTGTACGAGTCTTTGGCAAAGCGGAACTTTGCCCTCCGATGACTTCATAGTCTACCAATTGCAATCATTTCAAACCGCCACTCTTTACACATACATCCACAATGCTCACACCTCGGAGAGCCGTCGCGGTCGCCGCGTTCCTCTTAATCGTTTTCTACCTAATTTCCTCCTCCCACGACACAACACCTGCCGTAAAGGCACCTGTCGCTGCCTCCAACCATGATACGACAGAGTCGAAAAAGTCCTCATATACCCCGGCCTCCGCCGACAGCGAGATTAAGCCCTCTGCTCCCAAGGTTGCGACGCAAAAGCCCATGATGGACATGTCCAAGATGTCCTTGTACGACAAGCTGGCATACCAATACCCCTATGACCCCGAAACGCGTTTCCCGGCCTACATTTGGCAGACATGGAAGTGGACACCTGCTGAGCAACAATTCAACTTCCGCGAGCAGGAAGCCAGTTGGTCAGAACAGCACCCTGGCTTCGTGCACGAGGTCATCACCGACAAGGTCGCAGTCAACCTGCTGCGCCTCCTATACGCGTCCGTCCCCGAGGTCCTCAAGGCTTACGACGCTCTTCCTCTGCCCGTCCTGAAGGCCGACTTCTTCCGATACCTGATCCTGCTTGCGCGCGGCGGCATCTACTCCGACATTGATACCTACGCCATCAAATCTGCCCTTGAGTGGATTCCCGAGCGCATTCCCCGGGAGAGCGTCGGTCTCGTTATTGGCATTGAGGCCGATCCTGACCGCCCTGATTGGAAGGACTGGTACAGTCGTCGTATTCAATTCTGCCAATGGACAATTCAATCCAAGCCCGGGCACCCTGTCCTGCGCGAGATTGTTGTTCGCATCACTGAGGAGGCCTTGAAGCGCAAGAAGGCAGGCGAGCTGGACAACATTGCCGACAAGAACGTTGTCGAATTCACTGGACCTGCGATTTGGACCGACGCCATCTTCGACTACTTCAACGACCCTCGATACTTTAACATGAAGAACTCTAAGGGGGCTATTGACTGGCAGAACTTCACGGGTATGGAGACGTCCAAGAAGGTGGGCGACGTGGTGGTACTCCCCATCACTAGTTTCAGCCCCGGCGTGCAACAGATGGGTGCCAAGGATTACGACGATCCTATGGCCTTTGTGAAGCACGACTTTGAGGGTGAGTCAGGCCACATGTTGTTTCCAAAGACGTAAAACTAATCCGTGACTGCAGGTACCTGGAAACCCGAAGAGCTTCGCCACATTGGCGAGCAAAACGAGGATGGTTCGCCGAAATCGAAATAAGACAACCATCGAGCCGTACGAAAGTGACGACACACTTTTTCTTCTGGTACATGTCTCTTGTAATATTTGCATCTCCAGCGGCGTCCTCACCCTCGGTCACGGGTTGGGCATGTTTCAGAAGTCGCGTTTCGTTTTTTTATTGACTTTTTCTTTCTTTTTTCGTGGCATCGGCAAAGAGGAACTACAAAGGAACTGCATACCCCAGGAAAAAGGGGAAAAGCGTAGAGCTTTGTTTTTGGCATAGAGTCAGTCTAGTTACATCATACCTCGATCTGGCATACCGGTGGAGGAGTAGCAGAGAAGGGACCTTACGGGGTGTATTGGGAGGTGGGCAGAAAATGGCCTACAGATACGAACGTCCGGCGAGGCGAAAGGCCGCAGAAGGTTTGGGAACAGCTGCAATCCTCGTTAGCATCGTGGTACATATACCCTAAGCAGTCTGCGAGCAAATGGAACAAATTTGAAATGTCAAACTCGCGATGAGGACCAAGTGCTACACCAATTGCATCGGAGTACCCTCTGTCTCCACTGGTGACCAAACAATGGACTCACAACCATCTAGGCATCAACCTACCGACAGTTCCGATGCTTGAATTAGAGTTCTAAAGAAGTAGGTACGTAGGCGTGGCCTCGAAACCCGTCGAGGCTGTCACGGCGCGTCATTCTGCGCTTGACACCCGGCCAATCCCACCCACACGGCGTGCACCCGCGGCTCCTTTTCTGCTCTTTTTTAAGGAGGTGTTCCCTGTTCGCAGCGGGTACAACCCCGCACGGGTTCTCCGCATTAGCTGTGAGGTAAGGGCGGGGGAGCTTCCTCTGCCAAGGCGTGTACCCCCAACTTTCGGCTCGGTGTGACGGGGGGACAGCGGCCAGACGCGGGAGAGGAGGAGTGGAAGGGAGACTGGACGGACCGGACGAAGACGAGGGCCGAGAGTTACCTTACAACCTCTTCTCCCCGCCTTACTTCAAAGGATACCTTGTACCTCACCTTACATAGACGCACACGAAGAGCTCGACGAATTGTTGGAGAGAAGGAGAGCCATGATATCGTCACAGCGAGACATCTTTTGAGAAGAACCTTTTTGGATTTTTGGATTTCAAGCACTTTGTGGTTTAACCTTTGGGTTGTAGAGCCGAGGTTGAGCCCGGGTAAGCTTCATCGACGACAACGACGACGCCGACGAAAAATGATGCTCTCAACGGCTGGATACGTTCGCCTGACGACGGGTTCCGTGGCGCGGACTACGGCGTGGAGAAGGTGTGCCGGTTTGAGGCCCGGTGCCGTCGTTGCTGGTGCTGGGCAGCGGAGGAGGTTATCCTCGGGTCAAGAAGGATTGAGCTTCAGTCTTGGTCCTGAGGATGTGAGTTGCTTTTCTCTTTGCTGTTGGACAATTGGTGAGGATGGAGTCCTGCTCGCTTCAGCGCGTCTCATCTCGACTCGAGTGAGTGAGTGTGTGACCGGGTATAGAGGGAGGCCAATTGTTGATGCGGATCACCAAAGCTCTTCAGGAGAGATCATGACTTCCTGAGGTTCACTAACCCACGAGCTCACTCACACATCTGCAAAAAGACATTGAAGAGAACAAAAGTCTGACACATCTGACAGCCCCCTCTCCTAACCCAAACAATCCCCCAGCACTTTTCCCAAATCGTCTCCCAACACGGCGACCTCCCCGCCGTCACAGCCCGCAGCCCAACCCCAAACTCATCATCCGCCTCCTCGGCCGCCACGACAACGACCCTGACCTACGCCGCCCTCGACAACCTCTCCAACACCCTAGCCCACGGCCTCCGCTCTATCGGCGTCCGCAAAGGCGACCGCCTTGCCGTCTCCCTCGGCAACGGCGCCGAGTTCGCCGCGCTCACCTACGCGGCCTTCAAGCTCGGCGCCGTGCTGGTGCCCTTGAACCCGGGCTTTAACGCCAAGCAGGTCGGCGCCGCGCTGCGCCATTTGGGTGTGGAAGTACTCGTCATTGGGAAGGTTACGGATCTGCCGTATAAGCCGTGTCGGGGGCGGAGTAATCTCGAGCTTCTGAGGACGCTGGTGCCGGACTTGGATAAGGGCGGGGGTGTGGTGGAAAGCGAGGTTGTCCCGAGTTTGCGAAAGGTCGTGGTGTTGGATAATGCTGGGTTCCATCCTGAAGTGGAGTTCGCTGATGGCTTCAAGGCGCTGACGCCGTATGAGGTCCTGCTCGAGTCTGGCGATGCGACGAGGGCGGTTGTGCCCGATACGCCGCTGAAGCCGGACGACACGATCAATATCCAGTTCACGTCGGGTACGACGTCCCAACCGAAAGCGGCGATGCTGACGCATACTTCGATCCTCAACAACGGACACCTCATCGCGCAGAGGATGGGGCTGGTGCCGGGTGACAGGATCGTGGTGCCGCCGCCGCTTTTCCACTGTTTCGGGTGCGTGTTGGGGTATATGGCGACCGCAACGACGGGGGCAGGGATCCTGTTCCCCAGTCCGGCCTTCGACCCGTCTGCTACGTTGAGGATGGTTGCCGACTACGATGCGACGGGGTTATACGGCGTCTCGACCATGTTTGTCGCCGTGCTGGAGGCGTTGGCGAGCGGCGGGGTGGTGAAGAAGGAAGACATGCCAACGGGTCTGAGAAAGGGGATTGCGGCAGGGAGTTCGGTGCCGGAGAGTCTGATGAGGCGGCTGTACGAGGTTCTCGGGCTGCGGGACCTGGTGATTTGCTACGGGATGACGGAGACGAGTCCCGTGAGCTGTATGACGGCGCCCGACGACGGGTTCGACAAGAGGACGGGGAGCGTGGGGAGGGCGATGCCGCATACGGCGGTGAAGATTGTCGATCCTGCGGACCGGGGGCGGGTTGTGAAGCGCGGGGAGAGGGGGGAGCTCGCGGCGGCGGGGTACCTTGTTATGAAGGGATATTGGGGGGACGAGGAGCGGACGGCGGAGGTGAGGAGGAAGGAGGAGGATGGGCGGGTGTGGATGTACAGCGGGGACGAGGCGCGGATGGACGAGGATGGGTATGTTGAGATTACAGGGCGGATCAAGGATTTGATTATACGGGGTGGGGAGAACATTCACCCCCTCGAGGTTGAGAACTGTTTGTTCCAGATGGAGGGGGTGAAGGAGGTTTCTGTGGTGGGCGTGCCGGATGAGAAGTTGGGGGAGAGCGTTGCTGCGTTCGTTGTTTTGAAGAAGGGGTGGAGAGGGGAGGGTGGTGATGATGCTGCGGGAGGGGGTAAGGTGATTACGAGGGACGAGGCGAGGGCTTGGGTTAGGGAGCACCTGTCGAGTCATCTTGTGCCCAAGCATGTCTTCTGGGTGGACGATTATCCCAAGACGCCGAGTGGGAAGATTCAAAAGTTCAAGCTGCGGGATATGGCAAAGGATCTGCTTGAAGGGAAGAAGTAGAGGTTCTGGATGGATCAAAAGGCATGTGTCTACAGTAAATATGGCATCACATAGTATAGGACCAGCGAGTGTGAGCTGAGGTATCATGGTGTTTTTGATTTAATTGAGCAACAAACTGATCAAAGCTAGTGCTCAACCTTGAGTGAGAAATCCACATGTGGTACGCCCTGGTGAATGGCACTTGTCGAAACGATATCAACATCTGTAAACAAGTCAGTACGTCGCCAAATGAAGAACAGCAAGTCACCCGGCTTAACTCACCATTACAAACGTAGTTCTCGACGTTCTCCAACGTCAACCCCCCAGAGACCTCGACCAAGAAGTACTTCTTCCCCGCCCACTTCTCCTTCAAGCTCTTGGCCGCAATCTTGACCCCTTCGCCCGTAAAGTTATCCAGCATGACAACGTCCGCCCCGGCCGCAATCGCCTCGTCCGCCTCCTCCTCGCTCTGCACCTCAACCTCGACCTTCAAACTGAACCCGCCCACGCTCTTGGCCGCCTTGACCGCATTCGTGATGCTCCCCTTGCTCCAGACATGATTATCCTTCAGCATAATCATCGAACTCAAATCATGCCTATGCGCGTCCGCACCACCCACAAGCATACCGTACTTCTCCACCAACCGGAACCCAGGCGTCGTCTTGCGCGTACCCGCCAGCACACCAGCATACCCCGCCGCCCTCAGATTCACCAACATACCCCTCGTCATGCTCGCCACGCCGGAGCACCGCGCAAGCGTATTCAGCGCCACCCGCTCCCCCAACAGGATCCCGCGCGTGGGCCCCGAGACGGTCGCGACGCGCATCTTGCCCTTTGTGTTATGGTCTCCGTGGCCGCGGAGCTCGACGTGGGAGCCCTCTTTGACGTGCCACTCGACGGTGCAGCCGCACTGCGCAAAGACCTCGTCGACAAAGGGCCGGCCGGCGACGATGCCGCCTGATTTGCCCCAGAGGGTTGCGGTGCGCGGGGCGGCGCCGACGACGAAGCCGCCGTAGTCGAAGGAGGGGGTGTCTTCGGCGAGCCAGGCTGTTACCATTGTCTTCCAGCTGGGCGGGAGGAGGTGCTCCGGGGAGCCGTGCTCGAGGGGGACGTCTTCCATTGTGAGGTGTGGAGGGGTGGAGGGGTTCGTTCGGCTCAATCGCTCAGACGGTGATGTCGTGTAGTAGGCGGCGGGGCGAAGATATGAAGTCGGTTTGGGGGTCGGGAGGAAGAGGGTTTCGGCGATTGAGAGAAAGGAGGGAATTTGTAAGACTGAAAGACTCAAAGGTTAATCGCCACGGTTCGGATTCGTTGACGTTGTTGCCGTTGCCGGCTTCTGTCGGTGCCGTCTTCTGCCGATGGTGGGGTTAGCGTCGGCAGCTGGGCGGGGTAGTAGCACAGCTGGTGACGACTGGCGTTCCAAGTCTTCTCTCCTGCGACTTACACCAAGTTCCGAAGCATTAAACTCGTGGTTAATGGCACACATAAAGTCGCATTCTTTCTATTCAAGTATATAAAATCGATACGAATGCACGAAGATATCATCCAAATCAACAACGATCCGCCCCAGATCTCTGAAAAAACGTCCCCCTGTCCTCTGCCTCACTGACAGAAAACTCATCAGACGCGTACACAAACCCGCTTGACTGAATAGACCCAGACCTGGACGACTCGGTCAGCACCCCAAAGTCAGAACTGTCATGCGAATGATGCCGCTCTCTCGACTCGTCTGGCTGGACCGGGCTTGCAGTCTCGTCGGCCGGGGCACCAGGTGACAGCGGCGCAGAGTCGTAGAAGTCCTCAATGGTTAGTTGTCGGATGGGGCGGAAGTTCCGGTACAGCTCCTTTTGGGCGCCCCGTACGACGTCGACGGTGGCCCCGTCCCCGTTCTCCCCGCGTCGGTTCCGTGTCGTCGGATCCGCTATCGGAGTTTCCGATTCCGAATTGGTTGGGTTCTCGACGAAGCGTCGGTCCAGGACGTGCGGAAGCTGGAGGCGGAAGTGCTGCTGCTGCGCATTGTTGACACTCTCCTCTTTCTTGTCACTGACATCGGTATTCAACGGGACGGCTTCAAAGTCTTGAAAAGCGATGAGTCTTTGGCATGGTCAGGTAAGGTGTTCGGTCTGGAGGAGCACTTACACGGAGACGGCATGTCTTCGCTCAGCTCATCAGGAAACAGGATACCGTAGACGGCACGCCACTGCTGTTCTTCGGTTCCATGGATTCGTCTTCGCAGAAACTTTCTCTGCTGTCTGGTACATCCCATGGGCAACACAGACGAGACCAGCTCACATCTTGTCGGTTCCAGCAAGTGATTGTGAAGGCTGTTCTCGGAAAAGAATACTGCGGCGCATCGGGGGCAGTAGAAGGGGATTATGTGGTGGTCGTAAATATGTTGTCTATTGCCTGTGATGTAAGCCTACGTATCGCCTGGGAACGTATCATGCTGACCTGACTTCATCCACATTGGAAAATCCAGGCCCCGTACAGTAGGTCTTTCGGAATCGCCCGTCGGGATCGTGTTGATAGAACGGGCAAGCAAGCTTCTTAGCCGGCACATTTGAGAGATCGCCATCGATCCGAGACGGCTCATCTACGTCTTGATCAACCTTGGAGGGTTCGGATGTCGATTCCTCACCCTTGGGGGATCTTGACGAGCTGCACACACAAGGTGGTGAGAGAGGCGTCGCACGTCCCTGCTCCCGCGGCAAAGATGGACAGGAAGTCGTAGGCGGAGACGGGTCGTCCATTTCAGGCGTACCGGATTGGAGACTCTGGTTCAACAAGGTGGCGAGCCCGTTGATTAGGGTTTCGGCTGCTTTCAATTCTGATTTGGTGCTTGGGTAATGTTGAGAGTGGGTGATTCTCATGGCACCAATTGTTATGTCAAAGGACATGGCATCCGAAGAGCAACGGGCTCCATCCCCGCCTGGTTCTTCCAAATGAAAAGAGCATTCTGTGCCTTGTAGTCCAGGATAATTTCTCGGTAGGTTGCATCCACCCCGTATTCCTCGCCCACTTCGGCAGAAATTCAATGGCTGTATTTGGCATGGTCGAGGCGATTCTGCTAAGCAGGCATGGCCGATCACTCCATGGGGTTCCGAGCAACATCGGCATGTCTCTTTAAAATCACGAGGTCAGTCAGTATGCCGTGCCTCAAGTTTTGCACGTACCTCCATGACTGCCATTTCCTCTAGAACGCGGCAGTGTTCTTTGGCTCTTTTTCTCACCGCCGCGCTGCTCGTGCCTCTCCATGTAATACATTGGAAAGAGAAACATGGCTGCTAGGAGTAACGCAACAGATATCCCAGCAACGAGGCCAAAGATGTCGGGGGACATGCCGAGATACTCATCTTTGCGCTGCTGTTGGCAAGGAGGGGTATGGCGGTACTGAGGTTTCCAAGACGTGGACATATTATCATCGGTTGCTCAAGGTAGAGCGGATTCTGGGATGAGAGAAACTGTACACTTGGATTCTCATGTGGAGTGGGCATGTAAAGCTCAAGTACGAAATCAGCGTCTTCCAACGCTTTGTGCGGAGAAGTAAAGGTCTCAGATCTTGACACCGTTTGCAGGTGTCTTGAGCGTTGAGTCTCGATGATGCGGATTGGGTTAGGCTGGCGATCATCCGTACGACTCAACGCTAAGCCACTCATCTCGAAGGTTGCGCTCGGCAAGATTGAGATCAAATGTCTACCTACCTAGTAGCTTGACAGAGGAGGGTAAACGTATGGTCGAAGACAAAGGCAAGTAAGTGTGATGTCATCATAGAGTGTGGCATGTTCAATCTCTGCCCCAAACAATCCAATCCAGATTCAACATAGGTGTACGATAAAGACTAGTTGATTGTTGTTGACTAACTGATAGAATGTAGGCAGTCGACATTACATCTATGGGACAATGCATTCTCCCAGATAATTAGACTGATTGCTGATGTTACTAAATTCCAGTCCACGGACTACGGCAGTCTCAAGGTTGATTGACTTAAGTACCCTCCATAGGCCTTTCAACCTCGTTGCATCGGCGAATATAGGCTCGATTATCCATAATCCACTCCCTATCCCTCCCAAAGAAGTAATAACGCGTGAATTCGTGCGCCCTTGGGTACCACTTGCACTCACTCGCCGTACCAGGGTCTTCGAGAGCTACTATGTCGCGATCGTTGGCCGCCTCGAACCAGCCCATCTTGTCGTCATTGACGATGCCGAAAATGAGGCCGTAGCAGATGACGGCATAGGACGACTGTGCCTGGATACGGAGGCGGGGTCGGCCCCAGGCCTCGTTGAAGAAGGCGTGGGCTTCTCTGATGCCTTTTGTGCCGTTTCCGCCGGTGGCAGCGATGCAGTTTGTCCAGTTGCGGGCTGGGTACCATTGGGCGTTGACGCTGGTGGCAGCGAGGCCGACGACGACTGCGATGATAGTTGATAGTTTCTGGAAGTGGTTAGTGGGTTAGTATCATAGCTTGTGGGTTGACAATCGAGAAGATAAAAGAGTCGGAACGTACCATTGTGCTTTGAATGCCTTCTTAGTTTCTTAGAGAAAGGGTGGTGCGTTTGGTAAAGGAGGAGAACTCTTGTTCTATAGCAATCTGTTCGTAAAGTAGGCAGAGTCAGAAGAACTGCCATCAGAGAACCTTGATAGGCCTGGCGAAAATTTAGATTCAGAGCTCTTGGGCGGTCCAGAACGACGTTGAACTTTGAGACTGCCATGTGCGATTCTTAGATTTGCGATGGGGCCACTATGCTTAGTCTACTTTCGAATTATCTCTAACGTCTAATCCTCTGTCGAAACTGAGGTCATGGCTAAAGATGGCCGATTCCCTACACACAGGAGCTTGATAGAACAACCAAATTCTGCCACCTTCTACCTAATCGACAACATCGGCCCCCTTTTGCCACGCAGTGTCAAAGTACTGGCTGTACCATGCCTCGATGTTCTTCGTATCATCAATCCAGACACCATGCTGCTCGTTGTACTCTGGATAAATATTGTCGCTTCCCACATACAGAAGCTGCCTATCCACACACACGATCTTACTGTGTTGGCCATACCGATTATCGTTCTGCATTATTCTCTTGCAATGAAGCCGGTCTTGGATAATCTCCGCAGCAGTGGTACCTGACGGCAGTTCTTGTGCGCCGAGAAGACCAGTCAGGATTTCCCGGAAGGTTTTCCACGAGTACGGATCTCCATAGCCTCCTCCGGCATCCTTCGTGGTGAGCAAGATGTGCATCCCGAAGCTCTTATCTTGCGGATGATTCTTGACAATATTGAGCAGACCCTTGCACATGGCCTGCATAACGTCGTAAGGGACCACGTACTCATCCCAGTCGAGGCCAAGTTTGGTGTTGAGCCACCCCTTGATGGCATTGGCGCCTGCGTTGCCTCGCAAGAATGGTTCCACAAAGATTTCCTGAGCGAGTGTAATGTTGCTCGTCGCATTCTCGATAGCGTGGAATCGCGCGGCTTTGCTTGCCCATACGGCGGGGCTGAGGCCGAACCGCTGCATGGCGGGGAGAATGGATTGATCACTCAACACATCGATGACGAGGTTCATCATCTTCAAGTCAGGAGTTGCGCCACTCGAAGGGTTGAAGCCTTTCGTGGTCTGCATGTACACCAATTGCATAAGAATGTCTCTGTACAATGATTCTGGTTAATGTTGATCTGTTGACGTTGCCCGATATTTAAAAGTACTTACTTGACTAAATTCAAGACCAGAATAGGGTATCGGTGTTTACCAGATCCAGGAAGACGATCGCCCACGTTACTGGTAGTTAAAACCGCTTGCGATCCAGAGTTCTTGACAGACTGCTTGGTGTCGCTAAAAAGTGGAACTGTGTCTGCCTGAAAGCTGTCTGCTCCTGTTGGAGTCGGCCCTGAGAGCTTGATGGAATGTCGGAACGAAGCATTGTCGTCGGAAGGAATATCGTTGAGGTAGCTACCCTCATGTTAGTGTCCGCTCATCATGTTTAGCTTAGATCCGACTTGCCTCCACAAAGCATCAGCATATCTGTGGGCTTCAATAGCTGCATCGCCTCTGACCTTGACCATAGAGTCAAAGGTCCCGACCTGGGTATCGCCATAGCTGTCCCACAGGTTCGCACCTCCCGTTGTCATCGTGGTGCCATTGACCGCCGTGACCTTTGCGTGATTCCAGCTGAGAGCTGGAAGCCCTTTACTCTCGGCGACTTGAGCGAGAGGTAACAGGCCATCGCTGACGAGAGTGGTGGCCAGGTCGATGACCCATGGATGGCCGGATAAAGCCGAGTTGCTCAAGTAGTTCTTGAGTTCGGTTTGAAGCTTCTTCACCCACGCCTCACTGCCTCCGGGCTGAAACTTGAAGTCGGGGTTGTAGAAGCCGATGTAAAGCTCTGCCTTAGGGTGCGTGATAGATGGCTGGTTGTTAGACCAGAAAATCTGCTTGTAGTCGTTCCACCCGGATCCGTTACTAGCGTCCTTGAACTGAGCTGCGGTGATGCCGTTGTCACCGCATAGTAGACGGATGACTGGCGTGACATCACTTGGAAGACCATTGACGAGCTTGTTCAGAGTTGGACTGATGCCCTGGGTGAAGAAAGTGGAGTTGAATGGTGCGAGGGTGAGTAAGTCGATGAACATGTACTTGGATCCATCTTGGCCGATCGATATGTTCTTTGAGGCCATGCCATTTACCAAAGCCTCGGAAACAGCAGCGGCGACGACGTTGGGAATTGGCGGTGATGTATTAGACCACTTGCCAAATGGAGTGGCGACGAAGAAGTCGAATGGGTCGCCAGGGTTGAAGCCGAGTTCGTTGGCTGTGTCATAGTGGAATGAAACTCCTTCTAACGAGTTCTTTGGGTCCAGGCTCGACAGATAGTCCCGGAGCTGTTCAAGTTTAGAAGAAGATGCCATTTTCTCGGACATCAGTCGTATGATCAATACTAAAGTGAGTAGGAACCTATCTCGAGAGAAGACTAACTCCTAGAATTGTTCAAATTCCACTGAGGAAGAGGGAAAATTGGCCACTTTATAGACACACTCTCAACCACAAGTCTACTAGCTTACCTTCAGGAGGGATTCAAGGGATGGAACCCAATGGCAGAAGATCATCGCTGAGCTATCGACTATGAGCCCAATTCTGGAGCATCATGGTCTTGCGTCTGGAAGAAAGTCCGCCTTGGCAAGGCAAGATGCATTTCCTTCTCAAACAACACGATCCTTCGAGTTCAGCTCAGCACACCAGTCTGACCTTTGAATCATCCAGAGTGTAAAAGCTGAGTAGCACTAGCATACAATTAGTTGAGCTCGCAAGACCATTGACAAATGTAATGTTCAAGGCAGCCATCTCGCACACTGGGAGAGGTTGCTAACGTGAAACCAGCTAGCCACAATCACAGTCATTCTTAGCCTCATTGGGTGCGGCTGAGTCCAGCTGTAGAAGCCTCAAAATATGTCTCGGAGACAACTGTACGACAGATGAGATCTGATTGGCCTCTATGAGTAGAGAAACGCCATTGTACATTAGTATAGTACCCTGCCGTGTGTATTTCCAGAGGACTCCATGAATCATGATGTCAAGCGACATTGAGACTAGAACTGCAAGTAAGATTCATGAGACATAATCAACCGACATACGAGTATAAGCGAAGTAAAGAATTGTTGAGTCAACAAGGCATTTTCTGCTCTAGAAACAACTGCCTGTGATTTATCTAATCCTACATTCGACAAGATCCAGCTATGCTCCTCCGTGTCCAGTAGGCCCCGAGTTCATCTCGACTGGAAAGAAGTTGAACAGATCCGTCGTGAGCACATCAAAGTTCAAGTCAGGGAACGGGTTCCCCACTGAGCCTGACATCGGCATGCTGTACTCTGTGATGGGTTCAGGTTGTGGCCGGTAAGCTCTGTTGCTGAAGAAGATCAAATCATCCGACGTTGTAGCCCTATTCTCCTCTAAGGATGGGAACTGTATGTTAGTCGGTAGACGATCATCGGTCCATGAGGGTGACGAGTCGGCAGAAGCGATGTCCAAGAACGCGCCTGTGGACTTGGCCGCGTTGATGGATTGTTCCACAGCCCACACGATGCGCTTGATGGAATGTATGGCGTTCGTCACTGGATCGTCTCCCACTAATGAGCGCAGACAAGATATCGCCATCTGAATGAACTCCAAGTTGTGGGGGTGCTTTGCCGGATGGCGCAAGCTGTCGTATAACAGAACAGCGCAGGAGGACTCGATGAAGAATGCATGGTATCGCCGAGTCTGAGAAGGGACAGGTTAGCTCGGTTTCCGGCGGCAATCACCCGTCGACGACTTACGTTGCATTCCTCAGGGCCACGAAGCATGTTCCAGGTAAAAGCGAGTGCATCCTGTGCAGCATCTGTGGCGTGTCTGCAAGCTTGCCGAAGCCAGATATCGCCTATCCCGCCGGATCCTTCCCCAGATTGCAGGGCAGCTTCAGCAATCAGAAAAGGGCGGAAGATGAGAAGAACAACATGAAAGTAGACTAAGTCACCAGAAGTTAGCAAGAAAATTGGACAAGACTTTGGGTCAAAGGTTAGTCGTACCGTTGTGTAGAAGAAGACTAGTTTCAGGATTCCATGCGTCTACCCGTTGTACGGAAGCTGCTGTACCCAAACCCCACTTCTCACCGTATTGCCGGACGTGACCATACAGCTTCTCGGCTTTCCCGTATAATTGACGCAGGGAGTCGGTACGTTTGTTGTATATCGACTCAATCGCTTCTTCAAGAATGTTGGCGAATTGGCAGAGTGCCATCAAAGTTGGTTGTCCGTCCGGATAAGGGCAAGATTCGAAGTCGGACTTCTGCATCGAACTGCGCCGTCCGACGACCAAGCTGAGCCAACTGTATGTCACGATATCAGAATGATGTGCACCAAGAAGCCGATCTATAGCCAATAAGGGGACTACTCACATTTCCAAGAAGTAAAGAGACCATAGCGTCACCAGTCTCCCCTGAACTTCTTCCTTTCTCGAAATTGCACTTGTGGTCCCTGCGTGCAGGCCCATGGACAGGGCTTTCCGTGTTGCGATGCCGCTATGTAAGTAAGCGGAGTTGGGACGACCCATATTTAGCTGATAATGAGCCATGAGAATCGAAAACTGTATCATTGGTAACGTGACAGAGTCCTCGTAAATTGCTGCTTCTTTTTTGGCGTGGATAAACAATGACTCTGCAGCGTCGGTCTGTGAGGTACTCAAGGCCCCCAATGCGAGAGCCGCAAGGAACACTGTCTTTCTTTGTGGTTGGAAGGTTGTCTCTGGGGTATAGTTGAATAAAGTCGGAACCATGTCGTCAAGCTCGGATGGGGTGAAAAAAGGTAAAGATGACAAGTGAGTTGTCTTGAAGTGCAAAACGAACTCTTCTGCCTGTAACAGGGACACCGGGCAGCTTGCAGGTTGAGCAGGCTCAACGTTGATCTTTAGTGGCATGCCAAAAAAGATGTTTCTCTGCATGAACATGTCCAACCCCGGTCCTCCCTCTTGGACATCTCTGGCATGGCTCTGGCCATACTGACCAGAAAGCAGACCTCGATGAATCTGTTGCAGGAAAGCAGAATTCGAAGAAGGTCCGTAGAAGAGTTGTGAACTGTCGGTAGACTTTGGTGCATGGTGAGCTGCGGCAACGCTGTGATAGACTTCAGTTTGTGCTACATGTTGCTGGAGTTCTTCTGCTGAACGTTGGGAAGCAGCTTCGTCCCGGCGAACCCGATCAGAGCCCGGGGTGGATACGCCGTGGCCAGTCTCGGCATTCGCTACCGTCACCGCGGCCCGTTTCGATGACAATCTCACGCGCGGTTTGAGACGATACACGCAATCGGATGGCTTGTTCTCACATTGCCGACAGGGTTTGTGACCGGAACACTTGATCTTGCGCCTGCGGCATGGTTCGCACGCCTTGGGAATCTTCCCTCCGAATTTGCTGTTAGACTGCATCCCGCTAACTCCGAGATACGCGACCCTTGGCCTCCCAATCGGAATAACAGGCTCAATGGAAAAGAAAGATATGAAGAGTCAGACACGGAAGTGATCTTAATTCCCCAAGTCCGAAAAGACTCGAATAATTATCTATGTTGCCGTTTTGCGGAAGTTGAATGGGTCAGAGAGGATGAGTTTGGTGAAAGCGGATGAGATGATGTCCTGACGTAATTCCGTAAATCCGAAACACCGTAAACCCGCCACCGACAACGCTAAAAAGGGGTCCACTGATCTTGACAGAATGAGATTCAGTGACTACAACATCCGGAACCAATATGCTGATGTTTCCTAAGTAAGTGTGGAGGCTGATTAGGAATTGATGATCGCACCGGGAGATTAAAGAGATCAGATTAGACTATAACTCAATTCAAGATGTGGCTTGCAACCTTGTTCAACCGTCTGACTGTTTGGTTCGTATTGCTATTGTAGTTCCAACCTGAACCTTGTTCTAGCCGCGATGACTTCAACAACAATCTACGACAGTGATCGAACTGTCCAGGCCGACGATAGTCTTCGAGACTTTGATCAGCCTCAGAAAGCATTGACTGTCACTTTCAAGGATTTGAGCATCGAGGTTCATGGACTTGGGGAAGACTATGGTTCAACATGTCTCTCCGTTCTGGCCGACTTACTTCCATTCGCCAAAAGCCAGACATCTCGAAGGGTAAGAGCTCGACTTTTGACCTCCGCTGGAAAGTTGATGCTAACATACGCAGCATATACTTCACGATGTGACGGGTCAGGTACAGCCGGGGGAAATGGTAAGCCAATGGGTGCAATTGCAATGCTGCTTTGTTCTAACATATCACTCAGCTATTAGTTCTCGGGCGACCGGGATCAGGCTGCACTTCTCTTCTCAAAGTGATATCTAATCAACGAAACGAGTTTCATCATGTCAGCGGTGACATAAGATACGGCAATCTCGGCCATAGAGGAGCACAACAGTTTCGCAACCAAGTGGTAATGAACACCGAAGGTATGGGAATTATACTCGCGAGCTAAGTTGTCAAAGTCTAACTTGAAAACCCGCCAGATGACTTACACTTCCCAACTTTGGAGGTGAAAAAGACCATCGACTTTGCGACGTCAAACAAGATACCTGGCTTATTGCCAGAGTCATCCACTAGTTCCAAAGATTATCTGTCACAGAAGACCGACGCCATTCTGGAATCCTTGTCAATCAGTCACACGAAGAACACAATGGTCGGGGATGAAGTCATTCGTGGGGTGTCCGGCGGAGAAAGAAAGCGAGTGTCAATCGCTGAGGTCATGGCTACTCAGGTATGAACGGATGAACATGGGTATCCCCGATGAACGCTCGTTGACCCCATACACAGGCTCCTGTTCAATGCTGGGACAACTCAACTCGAGGCTTAGACGCCAGCAATGCATTGGACTTTGCACGTGTCTTGCGCAAGATGGCCGACGAGGAGCACAAGTCCATTGTTGCAACTCTCTACCAAGCTGGAAACGGCATCTACGATCTCTTTGACAAAGTACTTGTGCTTGCTGAAGGGAGAGAGATCTACTACGGCCCCACAACCGAGGCTAGGCAATACTTCGAGGACATGGGCTTTGTGTGCACGCCGGGAGCAAACATCTCTGATTTCCTCACGTCAGTTTCGGTTCCTACGGAGCGACAAATACGCCCTGGATACGAAGATCAGATCCCGACAAGTCCGGCAGATTTCGAAGATGCGTACAAGACGAGCCCTCTTTTCGACAGGATGGTACAGCAGATGAACGCGGTGTCAGAAAAGTCTCTGTCGGATGAAGTAGAGAGTATCCTGAGACTTAGAGATGCAGAAAAGAACCGCTCACTGCCATTTCTATCTCGTCAAGGTAGCCCCTATCAGGTGTCATTCGCGAGCCAGATTGCAAACTGCATTAGAAGGTATCGTCAGCCTCCCTCCACACTTCGATCCCAAAGTCTAACTGAAATTAAAGACAGTTTCAAATAATCTGGGGAGACCGTTGGTCAAATGCATTACAGATTGCTTCTGCCCTCATCATGGCGCTGGTCACCGGAAGTCTTTTCTACAACCTCCCTTCCGACAGCACCTCCATCTTCACCCGGCCAGGCGCTCTCTTCTTTCCAATTCAACTCTTCGCCATGAACAAGATGTCCGAAACCACAGCATCCTTCATGGGACGCCGAATCATCTCAAGGCACAAGCGACTTGCTTTCCATCGGCCCGCAGCGTACGCTCTAGCTAACGCAGCAACCGATGTCCCGCTCGTCATTTTGGCATACTCCTTGTTTCAGTTGATCTACTACTTCATCGTGGGTTTCCAACGTGAGGCGGGCCACTTCTTCGCCAACTGGTTTATGCTCATTCTATGCACACTATGCTTTGCTTCCCTGTTTCGCATGATCGGAGCTTGGTGCAGGCATTTTGGGCTGGCTTCACAAATCACTGGGTGGATGACGATGGTTTTCATGGTCTATGCAGGTAAGTTTGCAATGATTCAATCACGGCGGATAGAAGCCTTCTAAGCACTCGCAGGATATCTCATTCCCGTACCGAGTATGCCTGTTTGGTTCCGTTGGATTTCGTGGCTGAACCCCGCAACATATACCTTCGAAGCTATCATGGCTAAGGAGATGGGAGATCTCACTCTGGACTGCGTTCAACCTCAGCTTATCCCCTTCGGATCTGCCTATGATGATGGCCAGTATCGCAGCTGCACAGTCAGGGGATCTACATCGGGATCGACAATCATCAACGGCGAAACCTACATGAATGCTCAATATTCGGTCTACAAGGCACATATTTGGCGCAACGCAGGGATTCTCATCGGATTCTGGATTTCCCTGGCACTTATGACCGCTGTCGGCTTCGAGATCAATCTGCATTCCGATTCTGGCTCGAAAGTGTTGTTCGACCGACGAAGCAAAAAGAAGGAGGCGGCCACAAAGGTAGACACGGAAAAGGCGGATGAGTCGGCTGCTTCCCATGATGTCTCTTACATGTCTCTTAGCAAGACGGTATTCACTTTCAAGGACATCAGCTACTTTGTTCGACACGAAGGGAAAGACCTTCAGCTCCTTCGCGGAGTCTCTGGCTACGTCAAGCCCGGTCAGCTGGTCGCGCTGATGGGTAGCTCCGGTGCTGGCAAGACGACCTTGATGGACGTTTTGGCACAGAGGAAAGACAGCGGCACGATCGAAGGCAGCATCATGGTCAATGGCAAGCCGCAAGGTATCAGCTTCCAGCGGACGACGGGCTACTGTGAGCAGAATGACGTCCACGAACCCACAGCTACAGTCTGGGAGAGTCTTTTGTTCTCGGCACGGCTGCGACAGAGCCACAAGATTCCAGATGAAGAGAAGCAAGACTATGTTCGAGGCATCATGGAGTTACTCGAGCTGACACCTCTTCAGCACGCCATTGTTGGAAGTGAGTTTCACACTATTGAACTTGAGTCCCTGGCACCTCTTTCGAAACCACGCGCTAATCAATTACTTTTTGCACAGCGCCTGGCGAGGGCCTCTCTATCGAGCAGCGGAAGCGTCTCACACTCGCAACGGAACTCGTGGCCAAGCCTTCTCTCCTTTTCCTCGACGAACCGACTTCCGGCTTGGATGGCCAGTCTGCTTACGAGATCTGTCGCTTCATGCGCAGGCTCGCAGCATCTGGACAGACCATTATTTGCACCATTCACCAGCCATCTGCAACTCTCTTCGATGCATTCGATGTGCTTCTCCTTTTGGCCCGCGGAGGACGTACGACTTACTTCGGACCAACCGGCAGAAACTCAGCTACAGTGATCGATTACTTCGCCCGCAATGGTGCCGCTTGCCCACCGCACGCGAATCCCGCCGAGCACATAGTCGATGTGGTGCAAGGCCGTTTTGGTACTGAGATCGATTGGCCGCAGACATGGCTTGATTCTGCAGAGAGACAAGCGGCTATCACGGAACTTGATGCTCTCAACTCTAACGTTGAGGAGAAGAAGGGCTCTGAGCCATCAACAACGGCCGAGGCCGTCGATGAGGATCAGCTTGCTGGATTCGCTACCCCAGTCGCATACCAGGTCTATCTCGTCACAAGCCGACAACTGGTCGCGCTGTGGCGCAACCCTGATTACGTCTGGAACAAGATTGGACTGCACATCACTAACGGACTCTTTGGAGGTTTCACTTATTGGATGTTGGGTGACGGTACCTTTGACCTTCAACTCAGGCTCATGGCCGTCTTCAACTTCGTGTTTGTTGCCCCCGGATGTATCAACCAGCTGCAGCCGCTCTTCATTCGGAACCGCGACGTCTTCGAGACTCGCGAGAAGAAGTCTAAGACTTACCATTGGTTTGCCTTTGTGGCGGCTCAATTGCTGTCAGAGACACCTGTGCTGATCGTGTGCGGAACACTGGCGTTTGTCACCTGGTATTTCACGGTTGGCTTCCCCACGGAGGCAAGGATTTCCGGGCAGGTCTACCTCCAAATGATCCGTAAGTTTTACGAAATCTCAATTGTGTGTAAGAATATCCTGCTAACCTGTGCTCATCCAGTCTATGAGTTCTTGTACACTTCACTGGGACAAGCCATTGCCGCTTACAGCCCCAACGCCTACTTCGCCGCGCTGGCCAACCCCATCATCATCGGCGCCGGTCTCATCAACTTTTGTGGTGTCGTTGTTCCATACTCGCAGATCACGGCTTTTTGGAGATACTGGCTCTACTGGCTTGATCCTTTCACCTACCTCATCCAAGGAATGCTGGAGCCTGTGGTCTGGGATGTCAAAGTTCACTGCAAGTCAAACGAGTTGACTCATATTCCACTTCCAGGTAACAGCACCTGCGGGGAGTATCTCGCCGGTTTTATCTCTTCTGAGCCGGGCTACGTTGTCGATCCGGGAAATCGCACCATGTGTGCATACTGTCCCTACAGCACTGGAGCGGACTACATGAGAACCATGAACATCAATGATTCCAGCTACGGGTGGAGAGGAGTAAGTAAACTATTGCATTTAGACATACCAAGGGATTCACGAATTCTAACTGTTGATTGCTATAGGTCGGTATCACAGCGCTCTTTTGCGTTTCGTCTTACGCCCTCGTCTTTCTGATGATGAAACTGCGGACCAAGACCACGAAAACTGCGAGCTGAGGATAAATTGTTAAGGTTCGAAGCTAGGCATACTAAGGAGAGGCAACAGCTATGATCACACCCGTGTTCGCTTCCGGCTTCCCCCAGCTGCCTTGCAACCCAGATAGAAGCCACGTCTTGAACGAATCGAGGTGCAATGAAAGCTGGGATAATGGGAATACTAGCGTCATAGCATTTTATATTATACTATCTTTTGAAAACTCCACGCTCCTGACCATCGATCTCTTCGGTTGCTACGTGATGGACAATACCATAGTCAGTACTCTATGGAACAGGCTTAGGTGCCGGAGTCGATCTCACCGGATACACCGGCTATTCTAAACTTGCATCTTCTCGGTAATGATTACCTTGACCACTGGGCTAAAGCCCAGATTGGTAAGAGTACGTTGAAACGTTCTTCAGCAAGTTCAACTGATTGGAAATTACCTTGACTTGTCCAAAGAGGTGGAGATGACTGGAAGTACTTCAGTATGGTTGGATCTGCAAACAGGATTATACCTTTTCCTACACAACCAGACTTTTCACCATTGGGCCGAATGGTTGCCGAGCAAAGTTGACAGCTGAAACTGAGTCTCTACGGCGACCCTGCTTTGAGAATCACATGCAGCGGTCAGTGTCAGTGCACCAGAAATGCACGTCTTACGATGAGTCCCATTTCTTTAGCAGCAATGTCGATCAGTGATACACATGTTGTTTAGCAGGCTTCGGTCATCTAAATGTTTTCTCCCCACATCCAAGGACTCCTTTGGACCAAAATAGTTACAAGATATCAATTTTCTATCTCAGCTCGATGATACAGGCTACCTCTTTCACATCACCTTTTCTGACGTGGGTTACCAACTCAGACCTGGACCTCAGTAGTTGTCTTAAATATCGCTTGAAATCAATTGTTCACGCATTATAAGAGGAAATAACTACCGGAAGCCCGCGGGCATCCGTATACCGTTCATTCCTCACGCGTGAGCTTTTCGAAAACGAGATTGGCCATTGCGATACTCATGACTTGCATGTAAAGCATGGGATGACCCTAGACTGGGAGCCCCACGCGGGGTTGAGCCGGTCGAAACGTCCGGTAGCTGCCGGGATGGCCATGGCTTCAAGTTCGGCCACGACCGCCAAGACCCTCAATAGGGCGCTTCGGCCACAATAATGACTAGTAATATCGTTTACAGAAGCAACATCGCTTTCAGTTTATGGACTTGATAGTTTGCCCACCAAAGTTTCGGTCGACTAGAAAGAGAGTTAGAAGTGGCAGGCGACTGCAGTGGCATATGCTATTAGTAATCGATCTCGAAAGCAATTTCCCAGCGACAGAGTTGCGGGTGGTGGAATGATGACAATCAAACAACTCGTCTTAAGGTAGCCCAATCGACCCTGTCAAACTTGTGCGGTGACTACTCTACTTCCACGCCCACCTCATGATATGATGATAGAAATCAGGTAGGAAAGCTGCTCGCCTCCCAGGCCCGGTGTAGCTAATTGTGACGAGTCAATGCTTCTGGGTCTTTTATGAACTGAATCGCAAGGCCAGCGTATGATTCGGTTGCTCCGGAAAGCCCTACTTAGAACAGACAAGATTACCTCAAACTGAGAGAGTACCATTCCATTCATCCGGAGACAATATCCCATTGTCTGAAGAAGTCGTACCCTGAATTTGTCGTACATGTAACGACAAAGCCATGTTGTCGCTTCGCTTTTGTGATCGTTATGCCGTGGGGCGAGATATTATGAGCTGCTTCGGTATGCCGCAGAATTCTGAAATGGTTTGTCATCTTGATGCAGAGAAAATGCTGCCATGGAAAGATATTTCTCCTGATTTTCAGAGTACCAAGTCGGTGATAAGTCAGAAACAGCTCCAGTGTCGCTCGGCGTTAGAGATTCGGAGTACGCGGTGTCGAAGGGGTGGAGTCTCTCGAAAAGACCTACATCATAGACACTCGGTATCCGAAATGTCTCTCTGTTTTCTGGAATGACCCCTCACATATGCATTGTTTGAATCCCGCGGAGTCGTTTCCGAGAAGCGCCGGAGCAGACGATCCGAAAGCCTTCTAGAACGCTTTCGGATCTGAACTAGCAAAGCTTTGTGCAATCAACGGGCGCACTCATCACAGCCTCTTGCGTCGTGGCGGTGTCTAATAAGCTTGGCCTGTACATAACAAAGGCCAGGTTTTGATTTGCACACCTGAGTCCGTCTGTTCCCTGGATTCAGGTTTTAGGAGAGGTTCGTTGCGATCTAGAAGCAAACCTTGGACAATGTAGAGCGCTCAGACATGCGAGGTTCCGTTCGGATTCGGAAAAAGGCAGTAGGTCCTTTTCATATCGCGCTGTGCACCTAGCGCTCAAAACATGGACCCAAATGACACTTTCCTGTTTTCCGGGAGAGCGAGGTCACGAACGACCTCTCCAGGTCCCTTAGATCTGGTCCCTTTCAACGTCTCATAACCGGCCACAGGGGACACCGTGCAGCATGATGTTTGTTAAAGTTTCGCCTTCTGTTGATCACTCCATGGCGCTAACAATGGTGTTGCGCCCCGACCCTGGCAACGTCCGACCACTCGACGAACTCTAAACGGAACTAGAGCGGCCGGGCGAGTCAGGGCCGGTGCGGGACGCCCCTTGTCGCAGGTCACCAATTGTCGTTGATGTCGTTTATCAGCAGCTTGGAGCCCTTTCAACTTCAAGTGGACGGCGAAGAGAAAAGATTTCTGCAGCTGCGAACATACGATCGGCCATCGAAAGCTTGCGTCTACATTTGTGAAGCGATGAGCCTCGCCATGTGGTTCACAGCTCACGTTGAGCAATTGAAGATACGATGAGTAACGCAACGGCTCTGACAGGGGCGTTTCCGCCCCCGCCTGGCGTCACACCGAATTTCGAGAACCCAAGGGACGCCGGGTGGATGTGGAATGTCGTGGGAATGAGTGTCCTGGCAGCGATTGCGACGCTGTTCTTTGGAATCAGGACATATGTGAAGTTCGCCATGGCGAGACCGTTTCTTCCAGACGATTGTATGTTGTACTTCAATCTTGTTTGGATGAGGTGGGAAAATAAACACTTGACTGACTTCCAACCCAGGGACTTGCGCTGTATCATATGTGAGACTCAATTGCATAGGACTGCGAATTGGCCATACTAACCCCCTCAGGCTTCGATAATGATATACGTTTCTACTGTGTTCGTGATGGCACACTATGGCGAGGGCTATCATGCGTGGGAGCTCACGAAAGAATCGTATCAAGAAGTGATGAAAGTAAGTTTGATAAGCCTAATACATCTTCAAGCGACATGGGCATGAACTAATGCAATGATCTTCAGTGGCTGTACGCCAGCTCCATTATCTACTGTCCGGCAGCGTACTTTACGAAGGTCACTTTACTCTTACTCGAAGCACGAGTCTTTGCCGTGCACGAGCGAGTTTCACGCGGGATCAAAGTCTTCATCATCACCCTACTCATCTGCTATATCCCAATTCAGATACTCAAGACTGTAATCTGCTTGCCGGTGTCAGCCTTCTGGAACCCCAAGACACCAAATCCGAGATGCTTGAATCAACGCAAAATTTTCATTGCGGATCTGAGTCTGGCCATCATCACAGACTTCTTCATCCTCGTGCTCCCGGTGCCATTGTTATGGGGGTTGCGTATGCCTTTGCGGAAGAAGCTGAAAGTTGCCGCGCTCCTTGGAGCTGGAGGTATCGCGACAGCTGTGACTGTCTATCGCATGTATCTCGTCGTTCAGTTCCTCACTTCGACAGATGTCACAGCGGACTTTGTTGTTTTGGACCTTATCACGTAAGCTATATCGCTTTCCCCCCATCACCCGCTTGATAGCTCAACAGTGTGTACTAGGGCACTCGAACTTGTCATTGGCGTCGTTTGTGCTTGTTTACCCTCGACCAACCTCCTCTACGAACGGGTACGAAAGGGAGAAGGAAAGCAGATGGGTCACCTGCCGCGAACTATAGGTGATCTCAAGAAAGGGAGCAGTTCAAGCTCATCTTACTGGCGCAGTATATTGCCGAATAAGCAACTGAAAATTACGCGCACAGCTGCTACTGTAGCAGAACGTACTGCAATAGGTCAAACGGGCCCCGCCAACTTCGATACCGAACTTGCGGTCCTCACTGGTCAACCAATGGGAATGAGGCCATTGACGGATGACACAGCCAGGAAATCGGAGCAGACTGCCGAAGACTGGACGTACAACCCAAGAGCAAATTCAATAGACGGGAGGAGGGAAGGATGGCTGGCACAGGGTGGCGAGAGCTCAGCACCAGGGTGTTCAGGGGACAGGGTACCCAACTGGCACAATCACAATATGGAGGCCAGAAAGTCTTGGGAAGCTGTGTGGGAGAAGGCAATACCTCCGGAGGGGCTATCCTCGATACCTGAAGATGACGGCCCTCCCCGACTGCAGCTAGCAGCACATCCACCACCAGACTGGGAGCACCTGACAAAGTAGACGTGCAGAAGCGATTCTATGGATTACTGCGAAAGATACCCCCATTCTTAATAAGGAAGGACATAACGCATCACGGTCGACCTGATGGGGTGCGTAGGAGAGCCACGGATGTGTAACGAAATTCGGAGGGCGATTGTGTAATGAGTAGAGTGCATAAAGCCTAGAGGCAGTGCCCGCATCCCACGATGCAAACTGAAGGGAGAATAATTACTACACAAATGATGCAGACAAGCAACGAGTCGAGAGTAAAAGCTGCAGGGACATTCAGATGAAGCTCGTGAAGGACGGTCTTGGTCGAGAACTCGATGTTTGCGACGCGGCAGAAAATATTATCTCTGAGTTCATGACAATGTAATGAACGTCAGAACTAACAGCTCGATGAAACTCCTGGATCAAATACTCAAGTTTTGTTGTCTGTCAGAGAAATATTCAAATTGTTGAGGCAATCTGAACTTTCCCAAACGCTGATGCAGCTTCCTGTTCTGATTTCTGAAGAAGGAGAGCCATGACAACACCTACTTTCAATGAGAACAAGCATCGGCTTTTGTAGAAATTCCTTTCGAGAATCGCCAGAGCCTTGACTTCTGTATGTCGTTGCATGTTCAATTTGAAGTCGTCTTAAAGTTGAGCAAGTTTTCTGTTTCGGAACTCGATCATCCCCATAAGCTCCGGATGGCCACACCTTATCTAGCGGGGACTTTACTGAAGTGGGGCCAATTTGGGCCGATGGGATAATAAGCCAAGTGAGTTGCCTCGAGAGTAAAGACTTAGATCGTAAAAGTGCTCGGATAGGAAAAAAGGACTTGGCCTAAGAATTTCAATGATTGAACTTTTGATTCTCAGTTTCCGATGAGTGAAAGACTTCTGGCCATTTGGAAGCCATTTGATGCCTTCCACAAATGTTCAGCGCGCGAGTAAGATATTTTCAAGTGAAGACATGTTTTGACGAGCAAGATCACTAGTGAGGTAATGATATGAGTTCATGTCAGATGAAAAATTGGTCGAAACTCCCTATGAGACTAAGAGAGGATAAACGAGGCTCCTCCACGTTTCCCAATTAAGTGTTGAAAGCTGAAATGCATCCGTACATGACCAGTTGAGGTTACTATATGCACTGACTGCACGTGGGCAGCAGCCACCGCACTTGAATTCGGAAAGAGCCGGCGAACAACACTTGGGCCATCAGGGTAGAATGATTTAGAAAGCGATTGGTGCGGAATTAAACGATCCATGAACAGATATAGTAAAGAGCTTGCTGATCTGGGGACGTTTGCGGGAGCTAGATAGACGATTCGACAACGGTCGATATCTCGCACAAACGTAATCTCTTGACGCCATCTATCAAATGATACATGATCAATCTTTTCGAGAAGGTGAAGAAATACAAAAAGACCAGAATGACGCCGTGACTTGGCGCTGCATGGTGGTGATGCCGGTACAATCTGCGGGAGTGTTACAACGGCGCGCTTGGCAAGCCTGCGGAAGGCGCCAGATACGATGCGCCAAGAGGCTTACAACGCCTCCTTTAAGGATGTTTGCCCGTATGGCAGTGCCTGTTGCCAAGTCCGGGCGGGTATGTAAGGAAATTTGCGGCGAAGGATGGTGGACTGCCGGGCCGGGGCTTCGGAGCCGCTGATTCGTGCGTCCAAGTACCGTGCGGGCCTGGTCAGATAGACACCTGCTTCTTTGGGCAGTAGTGCTCCGCATCGCGACATTGAAGCTCGTTGCTCCCACCTTCCAACCGCCGTTTCTTGACCTTCTGTTTCTAGCAGGACAAATGACAATAATCATGTTTTTGACTCGTAAAGCGGTGGAGAGATACCGCGAAGCCCGACGAAAGAATTGAGGGGAAGGAAAACGCCAAGTTGTGATGGGAAGAAGATAAAAGAATCGCGATGTCGCCCGTTCGATCAACAGAAGATCTTGCTCTGCACCTCTCCGCTCTTTAGGTTGTGAAGTGATCATCGTGGTTCAACTGTCAATTTATCCCTGCCGAAGACAACTCCCAGGACCCCTCCTGAACCACTCAAGATGAAGGCAATTACCTTGGCTACCTTGGCCGTTTCGGCGCTCCTCTCTGGAGCTTCGGCCAAGGAGATCGCACCCAGTGAACTCGTCTCTGAGATTTACGACAGCGGTGTCATCCACAAGGATCTCATGGCCCGTAAGAAGGTATTTGATACCAGCAGCTTTGCTTACAGCACTTGATCTAACCTTAGCAACTGATAGGCATCATGGGATCGCCAAAGAGAGGCTGGAGAGATGGAGTCGACCAAGTACACGAGCCGCCTCGCTGAGGAGGGCCCCGTTTCTTGCGTTAACGGTGTTGCCGAGGTCATCCCTGGCGATGCCAACAACACTTTTAAGTGCAACAAGGTCGACTTCTACGACTTCAAGAGCCACTCCGACCTTGGCTCTACCGCCGGCGAGGGATCTTCTTCCTGGGGTTGGACCAGCCCCGACGGTCGCGAGTTTGCCATTATTGCTCAGGCTGATGGTGCCGCCTTCGCTGAGATCACCTCTGCGGGCAAGCTCGTCTACCTCGGTCGCCTTCCGCAGTACTCTACCCAGTCCATCTGGCGTGAACTCCGTGGATACAAGAACTACGTCGTCATCGGCAGTGAGGCCTCCCGCCATGGTGTCCAGATCTTCGATCTGACCAAGGTAAGCTCATCAACATCGTCTTGCCTCAAGTCTCCAAAAATACTAACTGTTGGCGATAGCTGTTGGACATTGACCCCGCCAGCCCGGTCACCTTCAGCAACTCCCGTGACCTTACCGGCTACTGGAACGGCCTTCCCGCCGGCTCCACCCACAACATCGTCATCAACGAGGAGAAGCAGTACGCCGTTGCTGTCGGCGCCCAGCCTCGTTCCAGCGCCTGCCGCTCCGGGCTGATCTTCATTGACCTCAGCGACCCCGCCAACCCTACCTCCCCGGGTTGCGCCGCTGGTGACGGTTACGTCCACGATGCTCAGTGCCTCGTCTACCGTGGCCCTGATGAGAAGTACTTCGGCCGTGATATCTGCTACGGTTACAATGAGGACACTTTGACCATCTACGATGTCACCAACAAGAACGAGACCAACATCATTTCTCGCACCTCTTACGAGGGTGCTAGCTGTACGTTGACTTGTTTTGCCCCTCATTGAAAGCATGAACAAAGACTGATTACATATACAGACACCCACCAGGGTTGGGTCACCAACACAGAGTGGCAGGAGTACCTCGTCCTCGACGACGAGTACGATGAGGTTGATGCCACCGGTCCTGCTGCTAGCGGTTACCCAATTACCTACTTCTGGGATATCAGATCTCTTGAGGCTCCTAAGCAGACTGGCTACTACCGCAGCGAGGCTTACGGCATCGATCACAACCAGTTCGTCATCGACGGCCTTGCCTTCCAGAGCCACTACGGTGCCGGTCTCCGCATTCTCGACGTCTCCTCTCTTCCCGATGACCCCACCGGAGGCGGCGTTTCCGAGGTTGGATTCTTCGATATTTACCCCGAGAACGACAACGAGCCCCTTGGAGGATCCATTGACTTCGTCGGCACCTGGTCTCACTACCCTTACTTCAAGAGTGGCCACATTCTGATCAACACGATCGAGCGTGGCGCCTTCGTTGTGAAGCGCTCTGCATGAAGGATTCAAGCCTGAGGTTGGAATATACCTGCGTGTTTCCATGGTGGATTGTCAGAAAGCCATCTATATAGCAGTCCGCTGATTGGAGGCCTATCAGTAGGACGACTCAGCTTTAATGATAATGATGGAATAACATCGAGACAATGACATACATTTCTGAAATCGAGCAAGTGAGACTACACCTCCTGCGTCGCTCAGGTTCTCAATTCGTAGTTGATTTAGAACAGTGAAGTATCCCATCACTAATTGTGGACACTGAGCAGCATTATCTCGCTAAGAGATTTGAACTTGAGAAATCGCGCTTTGAAGTCAAAAAACTTTGCTCTTCACCACAACCGAACTCGCGCATTTGAAAACATAGTCCATGTTCATGAATTGTCCATGAAGTCCTGTTTTGAAATAATATCTACGTCTTAGAACATGTTGTATCATTAAGCATTTGGCGCAATAAAGCCTATATTCTACCCGAAACCTTGTTTTAATGACGGTCACCTGACCTTGTGATGCTTGAAGGTCTCAATAAAAAGGAAACTCTCATTCTTGTTTTGACTCCAATGCCCACGTCGGTATAATCAATCCACTACCATACGAAATGGATTATTGTACGTAGTAAAGAGGGGTTCATAGTTGGGAATCACTAACTTCAGTCTCTGTTCGGCCGGCCAAAAGGTCCGAGTGCCGCTATTCTGTCTTAGTCTGATGTGACCGTAGCAACACTGCCTTTTAGAGTTGCGACTACGAAACGCCACGAGTCATCAGTCAGCGCCAGATCAACGTCTGCGCGACCAGAGCGTTCCCCAAAAGCACCTCTTTAGGTCTAGTTGACATTACGGACAAGCGTTTTCTCGACCCCGACGCGCTCGTCACCCCAATCTCGGCATTTCAAAGTCTCATCTAAGAATGTTAGACTTCATGTCTCCTCCAAACCTCCTGTAGGGAAACGCGCCTGCATGTGGCTAAATGAGACGACAGCTTGAAAACCCGCCAACTTCATACACCCACAGCCTGCCGACGACATTCACGCATCGCCCATGGGCGACCACCCAACAAAAGCCTCGCCTCGATAGATGATCACTGTTCGCCGTATGCGTCGGTGGACGGACGCGCGGCCTTGAGCATGGCGACCGGTCAACTGGACAGCATCTTGAGACGCGATGACAAATTTCTCAAGGAGATGTGGACTTGGTTTGGTGTCGGAGCTCTCGTCATATTGTTGCGGTTTTTCGTGAGAATCCGCATGGTTGGCCCCAGAGGTCTCAAGGGGGACGACTACACAATGCTTGTTGTAAGCCGAAAATGAGCACGCATTAATCAATGACGTGACGTTGCGCTAACATATCATCTGGATAGACTCTGTTCCTATACACGGTCTGTTTTGTGATGGTCGACCTAGTGTGTGAGTATCACCTCTGATAATGAGCAGTAAAGAGATGAAGAGGATTTGGGGGGACTGATATGTATAAACCTAGACCGATATGGCACAAACGTGGATCTCACAGCTGCCCAAATCAACACTCTTTCCGATGAAGAAGTGGCACGACTTGTACAAGGTTCCAAGTTTCAACAAGTAGCTTGGTATTCATACACCGCATACTTATGGTCTATGAAAGCAACCCTGTTATTTTTCTAGTATCTCGCCCTCCTGGTCCTTCCGATAAAGAGAGACTGACAGTTCTGAAGTAAGCGAATGACTTTTGATTTGTGGCAGAGTGCGAGAGTGCTGAAACACCTGGCCTGGTTTACCATTCTATCATACCTAGTTGTGGTCGGAACGATAACCTTTAGCTGCATGCCGTGAGTGATGGACTCTGAAGTTCCACTGGAGCTTTTGGCTAACTGCATGGTACAGGTTTTCAGATAATTGGGGAGTGAGGCCCCTACCTAGTGAGAAGTGTGTTTTCAAAGCCCAAAATCTACTGGTCTCGACATTTCTCAGTAAGTCTAATGGATGGTCTAGTTGGATAACTCAGGGCTCCAAGCTGACCAGTGACCAGATGTGGTGACCGATGCAGCCATTCTTTGTCTGCCGCTGCCGGTTCTGAAGGAAATCAGGGTACCTTTCTACAAGAAGATCTTCATAGCAGTACTGATATGCTCCGGTTTATTCGTCATCGCGGCAGCGATCATGCGAGTTGCGGTGACTTTGGGGTCAGCACCTTCAACAATTACAGTAAACCGATGGGGAGTCCGAGAATGCGAAGTCGGTCTGATTGCTGTCAACGCACCCATTCTACGTCCTTTGTTCTCCCGCAGGTTTTGGCAGTGGCATTACCGACCGCCGGCTCGCCCGTCAAATCCTATGGAAAGTGCAAGAAGGAGCCGAACAACAGTTGGCGGCCACAGACGGAGAGTCATTAAAGAAGACTCACTTCTTGGGTGGGTGAATTCTACTACCTCAAGATTAGGAACCATTGTGGGAGGGACTCGAGATCATGGCAACACATTGGACGTGGAATTAGGGCATGCGGCCAGTGAACAGGAGTTGGAGCCTCTTGACAAGGGTGGGGATAATGAGGGCCGGAGTTCCCATATCCCCGCAAATGACGAGACCGCGAGAAATGATTGATTTAACACGAACATTCATCGGCTTCGACTCAAGACGATCACTTGAAGAGGAAAGCAGCGCATTCAGGATTTATTTGGTGTCAAAGAAACGTAAAGCTTAGAAGAATACCCAGCGGTGTAGCAGTACAATGGAGTTGGTGGCTTACAGCTTACACTTGTGTAACCAAGGTCATTCGGGTTCATGCCAAATCCACCAGCGCTCAACAAAATGAGAAAGGAGAATAGGAAGCCGAAACGCCGCCTTGCAAAACCAACCTCTAGGCCCCCGACCTAGTAGAACTTCACAGCAATTTCGCAGAATGCGGTCAGGAAAACCCGACCAGCCAATTACTTGAGTCCATCCGAGTCTCACTTGCCCATCTACTGCAGCAAACAGTTTCCTCTCTATCTCCCTGTCTTAGCTCCATCATCGATCCTCCGGATCGTCCAAAGTATCCATCAACGCTTTTATCGGAACATTTACTCAATCACTCTGGCCAGTATAGTTGGGTTTCAGTCGTTCTCGGGTCTCGTAACGGCAAGAAAGCATCTGGAAATTCAGAGATTCCAATCTTACAATACTGACATGATTGTTGTTCACTCGATACCACATTCGCAAGCTCGGACAGCTACTGGTAGCCAGTGGAATTTCACAAAAACAACTTGGGGCTCTCGGGAAGCTCATCAGTGGCGGTCGATACGGGAGTCGATTGACTACGCTCGTAGCCCTCTTGAGAGGCATTCTCTGGTTCAATCTCCGTGGTGGGATGGTGCAAAGGCCACAGGAGGATTCTGCTAGGATAGACTGGACCTAGGAGCCGAAGCTGCTCATCTAGGTCAGTTGCTTGGGTCTCACTCACAGCAGTCATGACTTCGTGAAGGGAGTCCTCCTCATCATACGCGAAGTCGTTTTCGGGCGCCACAATAGGGTAGATCAGAGCATCGATGCCGGCATTGACGCGAGCATTGACGTCTTGAGCACGAAGAGGACAAGGGGTATCGGCTTCGTCATTGCGACTGTCATCAACGTCCCGAACACGACGGGGACGAGGAGCATCGAACTCGCCATGGCTGGTAGCACCTTGGCCACCGCTGACAGTCTCCGAATCTTCCAGCCAGCCGAGCACAACGCCTCGGTTTAACAAAGGGTCTTGGGGCTGGGCAAGCACCCTGTGTGGTGGCACGGGAGGCGGCGCATTTTCGATGGGGCCGAGCAAGAAGTCAATGGATTCTTCTTCGTCCCACTGAGAAACGCCAGCAGCGCCAGTGGGAGCCTCAATCACCGTAGCGATATCATCCGTGTCGGGATCGATCCCGTTAGAAAGCTCGTGCTCGAGGTAAGCGATCGAATTCGGCGAAGGAAATAAGAGCTGACGAGGCTCGGCAATGGGTAGAAAGGGAATCACAGGAGTGCCAAATGCGCTCTCGTCGAAAAGAGGACCGAGAGATGGAGGCGAGTCCGGGCGCAACCTGTTTTGTTGTCTTCTGGCATGCTCAATGTCTCTGGGTCCAGCTGGACTTTTGTTGCCTCGAGCACGCAGTGTAGATGGACGCTTTACTTTGCGGCTAGCATCAGCCTTGGATCGCTTAATGATACTCAGAGGTGCGAGGACCATGGATGGGTCAACAAAGCCATTGTGCTTTGTTAAAGGAAGGGCCATAGGCAAAGTCGGCTGATTGGAAGGCCCATTTCCGTGGTTGTTGACTTCCTCGTTTATGGTGAACAATGGCTTTGCTTCAGCGTTGGAGTATATAGGTTGACTTCCGTGAATGATTGGCTTGTTCTTCGCCGGGACTTTCAGGGGCAGAGGCTCTTGAGATGCAATGAAAAAATCCCTTTCACGGTAGTACCAAGCAAGTGCCTTCTGACAGTCTTCAAGTTCAAGGTCAGACAGGAACTCGTCAATTTCTCCAATCACTTCCGTGATGAGCTCAGGCCTCTGATACTCTTCCTTCACTTCAGCACAGACGGATGAGACGCTGAAGAAATCGGCATGGCTGCAATAGAGCTCTCGGGGAACATGAGATGGTATGGGGTGGTGGATGTGATCGTCATTCCTGACAGCTGTGATGACCGAGTCGTTGTCGTAATCTCCATAGGAAGTTTCCCAGGTCTGCTGTGCGACGCCAAGATCGTATTCTGGTTGAGAACCAATAGAAAGCTGGAAGAGTCTTGTGGGCTTGAACAAGGCACCTGCGGTCCTGTTGCGGCTTCTATGGCCGAAAAGGGGACGAGAGGGTCGAGGGGGAAGTTCATCAAGAGGACTCAAGGGATTTCTAGGGGCCAATTCCGCTTGAATTTCATAAGTATCAAGCCTTGTCACAGTAGAAGAAGATGAAAACAAACCTGGGCTTGGGGAGCTCCGTCGCGATACCTCAATGCTTGAGGTATCCGAGAGACCAGTCTCAGAGAGCTCAGACAATCTCTAATTGCCTTCAGCGTCTAGAAACTGATTGAAAGAGGTGTATTCCGGGAACACATTGCTAGCATTCACGAGATGCTGATTTCCGGGCACGTTTCCGTTGAACCCCACAACAGAGCGAGTGTCTACGGTGCTCTTGACATCAATCGCCTTGGCCATTTGCGAGAAATTTGCCATCGTGAAGCTGGCATAGATCGAAGGTCGACGCAAAGGCCCTATGGTAATTACTTGACGCGTCACAGTAATGGATCGAGTCGCATTGGAGAAGAGATGACTGCTGTTGACCAAAAGCTGGCTGCGGTCCCATCGATGGGAGCTTGAGTCGTCACGCATTTTTGGCGTTGGGTGAGCGTTCCTGAACAACAACGCAAGGACTTGCTGAACAACACCACTAAATGGCATCTTCAATGACTTGTTTCACTGAAACCCATCAAGGTTAGTTAGGGGGAGGAAATAGGGATCCTCATTTTGCTTGGGATCTGACGAATGCGAAGCCAACCAATCTGCTGAAAGATGCCAAGTTGCGAGAGGATGCTTACCTGACTATATCTGACCAGTATCTGCTTCACGACCACTGATGAGTTGATGATATCTTCCCGCTCGGCTCTGCAGAGAAGAATATTCGGCGCGATAGAAACGATGCGGCAAATGAGTGGCCAAGTGAATGCAAGAGATATCAACCAAGGATGGAAGAAGAGCTTGTCTGGTCACGAATGTAGTCAATTCAGGTTGATTTCCTTCTCACGGCAGGAAAAGGGTGCGAAGCGCAAAGGGTCCGCGGAAAATTGCGCAAAGTCGCGGAAAGTCGCGGAAAGTCTTGCGGTGATGAGGAAGAGAAGAGGAGATCAATACGACGAGGAATGAAAAGAATTTAGGTAGTCGAAGGGCCGTCCGAAGGGTGGTAGGTCGTCCCATGTTGGCGAGGCATCAGTCACTGGCGCAGTCCCGAGGACCCACTACGAAGCTTCACCTGGCCATCTCGATTACCAAAAGCGGACTCGTCTTAGAATTCGCCTTTCCGCAAGGGGAATTCGTCACTCGTCAGACCTTTTGTCTGGCCTCAGGGTTTTCATACCTCTCCCGTTGTGAATTCAGCACTCCATAACACCTTAAGCTTACACCTGTTGCCTGCTTTCAAGGCGGAAGTTTCAATCACACGGCCTGGTATCTACGTCAGATTGTTGAAAAAGGCCTAGGTTCTCTCTGACAAGGACCCCAAGCTGAACGGCACTGAGTTAACATCATTTTGGGGTTTTGGGGAGATGATATTGCTCGTTTTAAAACCTGAAGCACCCAGATGGATATTGAAGAACAACACTCTTAATGAATTATTTTTCGGCGAATTTGCGAATCGCGCAACTTGAAGGCAGCAGCTTGTATGGCGACTCGGCTTTGACGGTTGCTCCCTTGCCCGTGGCCCTTTTCTTTATGTCTCGACAACCTGAGCAGGCGTAGCATCTTGACTTAAGCCGCAACTCCTCAAATTCATTCCAAGCAAACCTTTACACTTTCTTCGTCTCTTCTCAGACTAGAAAGTGTCTAATTATTACTTGATCATGTCCGCAGGCTCACAATCAGTGACAGTCGGGCTGAGTATTGAGGTAGTGGAGCTAATTACCTTGTTATTGGATACGCCAAGTAGATCTAGGTACAAAGTCATTTGTGTGTAGACATCATGTTCTCTAACGCCAAGATATCGATTCTCCAATCCACAAAGTCCAGTCTGGGAAGATTTAAGAAATAGACTCCGGGCATGTTTATCTCATGCATTGTTGAGTTCGCCTTGGACTGTTGAATCATTCGTGTTCCCACCCCTGTCCTTCGTGCCATCTCGCTAGTACAATTTTGTCGTATCCGGGGTCAAACTGTAAGCTTACGCCCATTTATCGGGCCCACGCAACAACTTGGTATGCGTCGATAGCGTGGAAGGGAGCCAGGGCAAGCTGAACCTTTCCTCGCTGCTCGTTGGTCCCGAATAAGAGCGCCTCCTCCTGGTCATGCAGTGTGAGCCCATCAGCTGCCGAGCCTCCCAGAGCGTACAGCCAGTCCTCATTGAATTCATGCAGGTTTCTGGTAGGGCACCAGCATGCCCTTGCATGAAGAACCCATGTAGCCTTAAGTTGCTGCCTGCTGTTTTCCAGATTCAGGGAAGAAAATCCTTCTCCTCTGCAGTCAGCATGCATATGGAAGCAACGGTCAAGAGTTCGTTAGATGTGGGCCCCCCTACAATATAATTGATTGTCAATCACCCACAAACTTGGAGTCATAAACAATTGAGCGGCTCATTTAACCTGACATCAGCTCTTACGCACTTGCTGCCGCACCGACAAACTCGTTGACGATGTCGGACCAAGCTGATGCTCCAGTCTTTGGCGCTTTCAGTTCGCTATTGGGTTACGTTGGGGGACAAGCTGCTACCAGCGCGATCTTTGAGAGGTTTCTTTGGCCTCAGCGGCATTTCTCGTCGTTTTCCATTTACGACATGCCGCGGCTAGCATGTTTGTACTCTATGGCAGGCCCTATTGGGTCAATTGCTCTCGAGGTTATCGACACTGCGTATAAGAATGGCCTCTTTAGCGGGGCTGTACAGGGTCATATGCTTGGAACACACTTTTACCGCGACCTCGAATGGACCTATATTTTGCACGCCCGCGGAGGAGAATCTGAGAGGGAATCGCAAATCCGAAACTGCCTTTGGGTCCAGGCCCTGCTCAACATGCCTCTTCCAACCATCAAAGAGCCCTCAATCCGACAACCAAATGACACCGAGAGCGGCAAAGTCATCTCTGAAGAAAAAACGAAACCAGTGCGCGCAAGGGTTGCAGTTAGCCACTTAGTGCTCTCAAAGGCTACAGATGAAGACCTTGGTAACTCCAAAGTCCCTTTCATTTCGGAAGAGATCAAGCGTGTTGATTTGCTTTGCATGGTGGAAATCATTATGACCGAGTGTGTTGGCATCGGCATCATGATCTGCGTGGCCGCAATCACTCGCTCGCTGTGGAGCATCATCTTCATCATGCCGCTCGTCCTTCGAATTATCGGCACCTTATTCGCTCTTGAACGTGAGGGTCTTACGCCCTTCCCAGACGCAATCGACGATGAACAGACACGGGACTGGGAGATCAATTGCCCAGCAATCGAAGGAAAGTTCATGTTAATCACCGGCCCGCCCTCTATCGTCAACCAGTTCTTTCGCCATTACGGACATCCTGTAAGGAATCGATTCCGCGAGGTCATCCAGCTAGCTGTCGTCATTGCCTTTGGGACTTATTTCCCAGTAGGGCTCCTCTGTCAAGTCACCTGGATGCCCGTTTTTGTACAGTATATCTGGACAGTTTGGCAAGTCTGGCAAGTTTTGGTTATGCATTTCGATCGATATACCCAAAGAGGGACTAGCCGCACGACCACAGATGCCGCCATCGCAGCGAAGTTATTCAAGAATTTCCAAACTAGTGACTCTGACAGAGTTTTCGCAAGCGATATCCTGTTTGGGCAGAGGAGAAATGGACCTGCTGTTGTAAAGGCTAGTCTATCACTGACAGTGGCGGATAGCTATGCAGACGGAAAGAAAGTCTTGAAGAGCAAGATTCGGAAATGAAGGAAAGAAGGAACAATTTGCAATGTTTCACAATCTTGTCATTAGTTTCTCTTGCTAGAAGTTGTTCTGCAGACTCGCTTCCTCTGAAGCGTCAAATGCGCATGTCACTTCTCAGAGTACAGGGCTGAGAGATAACAAATGGGCAGTAATAGAAGGGAACTTTGTCAACTGAGTACAAAGCCGTGATTTATCAAACGCACCGAACAACTCTTTGACTATCAAAACTGCCCCAAGGCTCCCATTCTGAGACAAAAGTCCACAAACATCCACGAAACACTGAAAAATGGTCGATCTCAAGGACAAAGCAAAATGCACCGGAAGATACCGACTCGCAGCCGCATCACTGTCGCCGGTTTACAGGTGATGACTGAGAGCCTTAGGACTGTCTTGGCTGTCGTTTTGCCACACGGGCAGTACATAAAGTCGCGAGGCCGAATCCCACAGTAAAGTTCGATGTGACATGGAGGCTGCCAAGAAGTGAAGAAAAGACCACAACTCAGTAAAACAGTCAGTATCTGAAGCGTCTTGTGGGAGACCTGTAGCTGGTAACTTACTCGACGGCTTTGACAAGGAAACAGAAGGAATCATAACGCCAGTCCACTGAAGTCCACATGATGTAACACGCCATCAGGCTCTGATCATATAGGTTGCGTCAATGGATGAGATTCTGCCTTGTAATTGAATGGGTGGGGGCTTGGTGGTCATCCTTGTTGAGATCCCCCGGTCGATCGCCATAAACCTCACCATTGTATGCCTGGATGTTAAGCCTCGTTATTGTATGATGTTGTGAATTGCCTTCAAGGAGTATTGGCTGAGAAGCGATATCGTCGTCTTGGTTATGAATGTCGTAGTGGATTTGCTGGATAATGTCATCCTTCAGGTACTCCAAGAGACCCTTGACACCAATATGGGTGGTCTCTTCCCACAGAAAGTCGGTATCGTCGAAAGCCTCGCAGTCAAGACCATTCTCGTACTCAACAATATCCGACTCTTGATATTTGTTCATCATGTTGCGACGTTCTTTGAGCCTACTCGAGGCATCCAAGGTGCACAAGGTCGCTTCTCCTGCTCCATTCTCATCAGAGACATCTACTGGCCATGAGTCTCTAAAGGCTGTTCGCACACTAGATGCGGAGAGGCTGAAATCCACTTCGAAGGTTTCATCTGATGCCTCCACGAATTTTTCAAGGAAATGCCTCATTGCCAGCGATTCAGGGTAGTGGGGAGTGGCGTTGACCAAAGTGCAGCTAGAATCGTCTTCAGCTACCAGGTGGCTAGACAAGATCTCTTCGCACATGATCAGAAAGAAGTCAAAGTATGAAACCTAGTCAAGCTCTTGTTCTTCTCCGTTCTCCGTGGAAAAAATCACCGAATCATCGTCACTGGGCCAGTCTCGGTCACTCTCGGTGTATTCCGAGTCAGTTCTTTCAGCGTATGTACACCCAGAAATCATCCTTTGATGGGAGACAAATGAGGGATCGGCACCGACCGTACTCTTGAGTGGATTGGCTTCCTGGATGTATTCGCCCCCTAGAGTACGTGCGTCTTGGCCAGGTGAGACTTGATGGGCTTGAAAGATCTTTCTGCCGAATCCACAGAAAGGGGTCTCATGATCGAGATGAGCTGCGAAGGCGCTTGTTCGGGCAAAGCTGAGTCCAAGTTGGCTTGTCGTGTTTCGGACCGATGTGGTTTTGTGGATGATACCACTATGCGCAAGTGATCCTGTAGTACAAGTTGGACGAGCTGGTGCAACGCTATCCGCAAACGGCCAATAACCAAGTTCAGCCAGAGTTGAGACAATAAAGCCCTTGATCGCGGAGTCTATGTGAAAGAGTCTGTTAGTTGCTTGATTACACTTGTGACACAGTGTCTTCTTTGAGATGATCGAGCACATCTTACTGGCTTTGTCCATCATGGTAGTTGACGTGTCTTGGGAGCAATTCCGCATCCATGTAAGCTTTTGATTGCACAAGTCGGAGGCTTGCAGAGTATGGACTTCGTCGCTTGAGGATTCTGAAGATGTGGCAGCCTGGCTCCTTCGGTTTGCTGATACGATAACAGAGGGAGAGGGAAGGTTGGTTGATAATCCTGAATCGGTACGATACCGCTCGTTGATATCAAGTGAGGGAAACCTCGACGCGGAAATCGAGATTAGGATGAGGATCAAGGTAGGAACCACGCGGAGCTAGAGTCTCAATCGATGCAAGATCTCACCTCTGCCAACAGCGGTGTGGAGGGAGGAGGGCTCGAAAATCACGCTGACAGAGGGCGCGTTGATACGTGCAGATGCTATGGCAACAACTGTCTCTGTTATCACGCGTAATGGCCAAGGTACAATGGCGGCAAAGTTGCAGTCAACAGAAACGGTGAAAGGTGAAGTCTATCAGACTGCTGACCCAAGCCCAAGACGGAATTGGCAAGTAAAAGGTGGAGTTGTCAGGGCTATCTAGGCGAAGGAGTTGCCCAAAGCGCACATCGGGCGTTCTCGTGATATTTCCTAATTAGGAAAAAGCGGCTGGTCATTCCAACTTCACCTCGAACAACGTCAATAATTGTGGGTCTCCCGTCATACACCTGAAGGATGCACTAGGCACCAGTTACTGCTCCAATACCTGACGCGTTGGCATCTCTACACTTCACGTTGATATCCTCTGGTCCAGTGACCACCTCGAGAGCCGTGCTCGTGCACACAACAACGGCCGAAAAGTTATTGCTTCACGCGGCGCCTTATCCCATCCTGATAGACAGGCTCTCGCATTTCGCATTCCTGCAGAGATCTTCCTTCTCACCACCCACTGTGTCACCGCGACTTTTTTCGCGACTTTTCTCCAGATACCGCGGTGATCAGCACAAATCTACTTCATTCCTCATAAGCTAACAGTAGCCTATTGGCGCGGTCTTCTCCCAACTCTCAACACTGAAAGATCTCTGATAGAGTCTTCTGTAAATCTGGTCCATCGATTTCGACTCCAACTCTCGAGTCCGCGAGAATCGTCTGCCGTAATTTAAGTCGTCGTCAAAGCACGCCGAGATCCGTCGCGTGACGTAGAGCTATCTCTCCCAAGTAACATGATTCGCTACTCACTGCAACTCGCTGGACCTGAATGAATACTGATGACAGCAGAATCCAAGATGGGCTTCTTCCGCCGCTTGTTTGCCTTCTTGGAAGAAGGTCCACACCATGCCTCGTCCAAGGGCAAGCCAAGCCGAAGCCTCGTGAAGGCCGCTGTCGCCCTCAACAAGATGGGTCGTAAGCCATCTTCCAACAGCTTCCGAGGAGAGAAAGTGGCTTCCAACAGCCTTGTGACTACTCGATGCCAAGCTGCCGCATGCGAAAGTAGCTCTAAATCTATCTCACATCACTCTGCGACTGCCGCAGCCCAAGATGAAAGTCAGCTTTGCGTCTTGAACGATGCGATCGACTTTGAGCCCGAGAAGCAGCTCGCTATTAGTATTCAGAGATGCAGAGTCCCGTCCACAATGAGCCCTCGCTCCTCCATTGAGTCCATAAGCCCTGTCAAGGTTCACGAGGCTGTCTAGTGGACGCGCTTCGAGAGCCAGGAGGGTCTACGTTCTTCATCATTGAGGTCAAACACAACGACGTCACCCTTCAGCGCCAAGAGCTCGAACAAAGAAAGCTTTCCCGCTCATCGAAGCATCTCTAGCTTAGAGCCTTTCCCGCTGCTTGGTGCAGGCTCTCGTCGCACAGTCAAGAGCAAGCAGAAGGTTTCTGGCCTTTCCGATCTTTACCAGAGTCAGGCATCTCCCCCTATCGAGCCTCCTATTACCAAGCTAGAGAGACGACGAGTCCGACAAGTTTCGGTCTCTCATGTATCAACATTCAGCTCAAGCTCCCTTGGTAAACTATGTGGCCTGGACGAAAACGTCTTTGTCAGATTCCCGTCTTTCGAGCAGGCCGGGGTGAAGCAGCTCGATGAACTCCTCGAGCATGAGAGCCGCTTTGCTAAGTACCTTGAAGAGGATGAAGATGGCGATGAGTGGGGCATCCAGTGCGGTGGCATCGACGAAGCTGCGGTCTCGTCGAAGAGACACCCCAACATCGTCGACTACGAGAAGTACATCGACGACAGTGTGATTCAACAGATCTATGAAGATATTCCCGAGGCCGAGAACGCAGATTTCAAGACTGCCACAAAGTCGGCTCGCAACTTGAGATTTGGCAACTACACCACCGGCAAGTACGTGAAGATCAAGTCGGAGCAAGATGACGGCGCGTCGAAGCCGCGGAAGCCGGGCAAGTGGATTGCTGGTCTCCTCCGCAAGGCCGTCAGTCTCTTCTTTCCCAAAACTGCCTAGCCTGCCATGCCCCTTGCCGCTGAACCACGACTTCATTTCTGCCATCCTGTTGGATTAATTATCTAAAGTACGTTCCACGATGGAGACGCATCATGCTTGCGTCTCACATCAACACAGGGTGTAGTACGATTACGGGAGCAAAGATCAGAGAGTCTCAGAAACCTAGACTGTGCCAATATGCTGATGATAACAAGGTTTCTAGATGATTACAATCGCCTGTCTTCATCCTTACTGTTTCTGTATGTGGGGAACACTTTTGGCAGCTATGATTTTGTGCGCAGAGTTCACATATCGATGCACGGCAAACTTATCATGTGGCTTGTCAGTGATAACGCGAAGTTGATCAAAGACCGAGGTCGTAGATCAGTGATGGGTTAGGCTTTAGCAGGGAGTTTCGTTTGGTTGTTTGTGATGGCTTTTGTACTTTCTGGAGTTTGGTTCGGTTCTAGGCATTTTGCTGTTTTCCGGGGCTTTATCATTTCTGTTGTCTGACAAAAGTTCCATTGTCTGACGAGGCTTTAATTACGTCTACGTACTGGAGGTGGAAAAATGGACATCGTGATTGTCAAGATGGGTTCCTTTTCTTTCCGCAGCTAGAGGGTTTCCTACTAAAATATGAACGATAACTTTTCGCACTTCAAAACTTTGCTCGCGAGTCAACGTCAACGAGTCCGTGAACTTATAGCTGCCCAGCCTCTTGGAATTACATGACAGACTCGTGGTCAGATATTGCTTGAGTCGTAGACCGCTGGTGTCAGTTGCGAACCACACATTATTCGCATTTGACTATACCTCAATCAGAAGTCGGCGATGCTAGTGCTTGACCAAAGTGAGCTTCGGCGTTTGTGCCTGGCGCTAATCTAGATCAACTCTCGCCAAAGGAGAAGTAGGTTCGACGACCATTAGCCATTGCAGAAGTTCAAGTCGTCGTCATCATTTTCAGGGCGCCGGCATCGAGTCCCTCCCGGGCGTGCACGCCACGAAAGGCTACAGGCAAAGTCAGCGATGCTTGCCATCCGTTCTTCCTCTCGCACGTATCCGTACCACGACTCGGCGTCATCCGAGCCTCTGGAACGGACTGTCGCATAGGCTTGCAGATGCTTCGACGCACGACTGCAGTTCCGCATAGTCCCTGTGACAACCACCTAGCCGCATCGCAGTTCTTATTTGAGATCATTCGATGCAGTACCGGGTTGCCGGCACCTAAGGGATCCTGAAAGGTGCGTGAGCGATACGCTTCGATATGACAGGATTCCCGAGGCGGTGCAGCTTAGCGCAGGGGGGATTATCCTCGTTCGCTTGGCTAGCGCAGAGACCCCGCGACCTAGAAGACGGGATGTGGATGGTCAATAACGCATGTCTTAGGTCATCTTCATGAATCACGTTGACCTCTGAATATGCTCTTTACTATTCGTGGGGATCTGACGTGTCAGCAGCTGAACAAATCTCTTGTTGGCAATAAAGAATGGAGTCGAAGGGAAGTTTCTACTGTGAAAGCTTTCGGTAGTTTGTTTCCAAAGATTACAATTACGCAATCCGATGTTGAACGCGTTTCCCCCACCGTATTGGATTAGCTCGAGGTCAAAACTCGGACGCAAAGACACTTGAGCCGCTGCCTTACCAAAGCTGCCCCTGAGCTTCGGCGCCAGAAAAGGAAGAAGCCCGGCTGGCACGAAAGAAAACACGATTTTGCTCTTAGCGTTCCCCACCAGTCAATGACAGTTTTCTGATGTTTTGAGATGGACTATCTTTTCATATCCACTCTGAATTAGCCCGACCCTCCGGATCTCCGTTTAGAAGTTTCAGGGTGTTGTTCGCCGTTCCCGTTTTCGGCTCGAACGACAGCCAGCGTTTCGTTTGTACGAGAAACTCAATCTGCTGCACCATGGATAGCCGCATGTGCAGCGATTGGTGATTGTGCAGCCCGGGAGTATACCGCACCTCGCACCGAGGTTTTTGAGCTGCAGACCGAGAGCCTCGAGTTTGCCTTTGCTTTGAGTCAGACGAAGGATCTGTTGCCATATGAATATGAATGGCCCGTGTACTAACAACATACGTGCGGTACTCGTGAGTACGTAGCTGACCACACAAACTCTATCCAAGCCAGCCGCACAACAACGCTCACGCCACACCCGCTCTGCGACCAAATGGTGGCTCACCTGAAGCTGTCGAGTGGGACTCCTGATAGTATCTGACTCTTGTCAGGTCAGCGAATATGGTCCGATGATGCTGCTGCCTGACCCAGACCCTCGAGTCACAAGAGAGGCGAAAGCTGGACTTGGAGACCCTCTCAACATAGTTGATGGGCATGACGCCCATAGGATCATCCGATGAACAAGTTGCCGGAACCTTCAGAACCTGCAACCCAGAATTGGAAACGAGGTCAAAAGTTCGTATCAATTAAGCTCATCGGCATCGCAGAAGTTACCAGAGTCTCGGCCTCAACTTTGCCGGCACGGGGTCACACGTTGACACTAGAACAACAGGGACCTGGCTAGTACCTTGCATCCATTCTTAGACCATGGGTGAGATGCTAGCGCGGACATGTGCCGTCAAGGAGCACCAGTGCTGATGCAGATCGGGTTAAGCCCATCAGCCTCAGCATAGCAACACGGATAGGCTTCCCGAGTCCGACTCTGCCTACGGGCGAGATCAACGATGATCAACTGGGGTGTTCTACGGTGCTGGGATCCTGTACCCCAGCCGTTGAAGACAGTCCGTCTCGTTTTTAGATGTTGGCTAACTAAACTCGAGCCTTCTTCAAGGAGTATATAGCTCAAACATGCTCACCCTCTTTCTTGGCTTTTGGGAATCATCAGCAGTCACTCACTTAGACATCTGACAACAGTCTTTTCACACACATTCGTTTCTTACTTTACCGAAAAGGTTAGCTGCCAAGATGGTCGCCATCAAAGGCATGGGAGGCGTCCTTGGCTGGTTGTTCTCAATCCAAGCGTCTCTAAGCCAAGACAAGACCAACGGGTAAGACAACTCTTTTAGCACAACTTGGCTACATCTCCACGGGACATCATCTCAACTAACATGAACCCTTGCGCAGAAAATCCCCTCTTGGCACTTTGAATGCTGCCAAGCTGCCGCTCTTTATGAGAAACAACCCGCTACCCAACGGTTTTCCTTGGGGCAAGCTTTCCGCCGACGGAACCAACTACTACAAGGAGTGGCCCAACACTGGCGTCACCCGCAAGTACGACTTCACTGTCAGCCGCGGTGTGATCGCCCCTGATGGCTACGAGCGCAAGGTCTTGCTCGTGAACGGTGCCTTCCCCGGCCCTACTATTGAGGCCAACTGGGGTGACTGGATCGAGGTGACGGTCACCAACAACATCACCGATGGCCCTGAGGGAACCGCGCTTCACTGGCACGGATTCAGACAGCAGAACACCCAGTGGGAAGACGGTGTCCCGGCCATCTCCCAGTGCCCGATTGCTCCCGCCAAGACCTACACTTACAGGTTCCAGGCGACTCTGTACGGAACTACTTGGTATCACTCTCACTACTCCTCTCAATACGCTGGTGGCTTGTTCGGACCCATGGTCATCTATGGCCCTGCTAAGTCTCAGCCTGAGATTGATCTTGGCCCTATTATGCTCTCTGGTAAGTTGATATTGTGCAATCCTTCCTGCAATAGCTACAGTGTCTTCTGCGATGGATGGTTGCCCATGGCTGTTCCGGAGTCGATTAGCCATGCGCTCCTTTACCAGGCCCGGTGACGGAGGTGTGGGTACCCGGGGCTTGTTCCTGAGTCCAATCGCGACCCCGGTTTCGAGGTGGAGCTACCCGGACAGCCGGATGCAACGCCCGCAATGATCACCACTTCAGAAGAATGCAGGCGCTAACGTCTCCCAGATTGGTACCACAAGCAATACTTCGATCTCATTGAGGAAATCTTGCAGGTCAATGGCAGTGGCTTGGTCTTCTCTGACAACAACCTGATCAACGGCAAGGGTAACTTCAACTGCTCCACCGTTGCGACCGGAGATAACACCAAGTGCACCAACAATGCCGGTATCTCCAAGTTCAAGTTCCAGACCGGCAAGACCCACCGTCTCCGTCTCATCAACTCCGGTGCCGAGGGTACCCAGCGCTTCTCCATCGACGGACACACCCTCACCGTCATCGCCAACGACTTTGTTGAGGTCGAGCCCTATGACACAAAGGTTGTCACCCTCGGTATTGGCCAAAGAACCGACGTCCTTGTCAAGGCCAACGCCGACAACAGCAACCCCAGGGGTGCCTACTGGATGCGTAGCAACATCACCAGCTGCAGTCTTACCACCCAGCCCCTCGCCCTTGCTGCTGTCTACTACGATCTGGCCGACCAGTCCAAGGCGCCAACCAGCAGTGCTTGGAACGTTCCTGACCCTGGCACCTGCGTCAACGATGACCTCGCTCTCACCAAGCCCGTCATGAAGCTCAAGCCGGCCAACGTTCCCGTCACCAGGACCATGGAAATCAAGGTCTTCCGCAATGACTCTGGTATTGTTCAATGGTCGCTTGGTGGCGTTGACTTCCGCGGCAACTTCAACGACCCCACGCTTCTTCAGGTCAACAAGGGTGATTTGACCTTTGACAATGACTGGAACGTCCAGAACTTTGCCAACAACGGCAGCGTTCGCATTGTCGTCAGCAACAACAGCCCCGCAGCGTAAGCTCACACCCCCAAGTTCTTCTGTTCCAGATATCCGACTAACTTTCGCAGTCATCCCATGCATCTCCACGGTTTCAACATGTATATCCTCCACGAGGGTGACGGCCTGACATGGGACGGAACCATCACCAACCCCGAGAACCCTCAGCGCCGCGACGTTCAGCAGGTTCGTGCCGGCGGCCACATGGTCATGCAGTTTGACTCCAACGAGAACCCTGGTGTCTGGCCCTTCCACTGCCACATTGCCTGGCACGCGTCAGCCGGTCTCTTCTCCCAGCTGCTGGTTCAGCCCGAGAAGGTCAAGCAGCTCCGCATTCCTTCCGCAGTCGCTGATGTCTGCAAGGATTGGTCTGCCTGGACCCAGAGAAACATCCCTGAGGTCATTGACAGCGGTCAGTAGATCTGAGCCTATTTTATTTCTTTGTCTATAGTATCCACGGTGTACTGGTAGCATTTAATTTTCTTGGTTGTGTATTATTCGGTTATAGGGGGGTTTATAGATTTCACATCTCGGCACTTTAGTCTATACATTACTCGGCTAGAAGACTTCAAATGAATCATTCAACATACATTAATCGCTTTGATGTATGTGATTGCTATTGGCGTGCGCCGAAGCCGACATTGCTCCAGATGCCGAATTGTCTATAACTCCAAATGCCCTATCAATCGTCTGGCGTTGTTCAAAAGAGCGAGACAGCTAGGCTGTCGATCATCTGACCCACAGAACGACTGATAGCAAGGTGGGCAGTCAGGTGCAGGCGGCGTGTGATGCCATCGCCGTTGACGCTGCTCCATGAGGTCAAAGAATCCCGTGAGATACTTGTTATCCTTTTGACCCTCGGCTCCAAGGACTTCCGATCTCACGATGTTTCGCATTAGTTTACCCCATTCTAATGGTGATACCTCTACAGAGAACAGGCTTGGGGCGCTTGTGGACGACGGTTCTCCATAGGCCGATGAACCCGGTAATGCGCCATGGATTCCAAGACGCTTCTTCTCGCCGGCTTCTGTCGCTCTAGTCTCTTCTTTTGAGATTGATGTAAGCATTCTCTTATACGACTCTGTAAGACAAAGACAGAGAACACCAAGCAGAGCAGCGTTCTGTATGATTGAGAAGTACCGGCGCGGGCATCTTTGGCAGTTCAGAACCTGTAAAGCCGGCTCGAAGGTATTTCGGAGTAGCGCGAAGTCATCCGGTGCTACAAGATGTTCTTTCACCCGAAGGTGCTCGAGCAAAAGGTACAGTACTGAAAGACAGGCGCAATTATCCGTCGTTTGCTGATTGTCTGAGGCAAGGGGAGGGAAAGCTGCAAGACCTTCAGATACAAGATCTTGACTGGGCCTAGACTCATCAAATCGACCGTCAGCGAACCTATAGTTGCAGTATGTTGGAGTTGATATGATGCTAAAATCATACCCTTGATTATCTTCCAAGTCAATGAGTTCTGGGTGGATCGCAAAAGTCTCCGCATTGAGAGGGGAGCTAATTCGCGGGCTCGTTGACCCGAGAAGAGCATCGATTTCTCGTGTATTGCTGCTCCCAGAGTCCGATGCAGCATCTGTATGAACGGGAGAGAGCAATCTGGTCGAAGCATTCCGCCGAGGCAGTATCCGTTCCCGACGGATTGGTTGGGACGATTGAGGACGGACGCGACGTGATGTCGGCCTACCCATGGGCTTGTGGGGAGAGTAATAGCATTCCCGGTCGGAGATCCTGCATTTGGAGCAGATCGGACGTTCTCCTGTGCATTTGATCTTCTTTACTCCTAGGGATACACTTGACGTTAGTACATTCCATGTCATTGCCCAGGGGCGAAGATCCACTACGCACGGCAAGCCTCGCATGATGCTCGAAGACCCGGCAAATTTGGAGCCATTGTTCACCAATAAAGTTGAGCTATAACCTCGTATATGTATGTTTCCGGGCAAGAGATGTCCGGACAATGAGCTGAGGAAAGTTGAGCAATGACGGCTGATATGAAAGGAACAGGAAGTCAATAGATTTAACAAAGCCAGGGAGGATCTGTGCCATCGGAGACTTTAATCCACAATGATTGGCTCATAGTATCCGGTCGATCCACCGCCACGGAGGGCGTTCCGTTCCCCGCTCCCGAAGTAGCATCCGGGCCCAAGGCCGATCATAAATCATCGGGCAAGCCGGATGTAAACAGCATTGTTTTTTTAACTTGAACAAACTCCAACTCATTGCCCTATTATTCATGGACCTTTCGTCCAAAAGGATACTGTGTATTTATACATGAAGTTGCGCTGACTTTGCAGATTCGTTCTAATGGTCAATTGCAGTGGTGAGATGGTCATCGGTATCTTTTACAGTCCGCCGGGCTCTTACGTGAAGAAGCCATGTTGTTACAAATCGTTCCAGCCAGCTACTAAATACCCAGACTTAGGTGGTTGAAACTCAGAATGCCATCCTCAAGTCCACGTCCTGGCAGTGATTACGCACTCAGTTCAGGTCTTCGCAAGATTTCGGACACCCCCTCACGGAACAGCAGCATTGCGTAAAAGCTGTGGAACTGCAATAGGATGCCGGACAGATGGTGATTTCGAGTCGGATTGCAAGCCGTTGATTCATAGACGACTCTGACTCTTGCTGGGTTTTCAGAACTTCGGACAATGCTGAACCGATGAGCGCCTGCAAATTGACTGATGTCTTTGCCAAAGACAAAGTCAACGCTACTTTCTGTTTCCGGCTCCGCTTGTGACCTTTTGGAATCTATGAGCTCAACGTGACCGACTTGAAACGTGCCAAAGACGACAGAATGCACTGGTGGGAGTGTCTCGCATGAAAAGTCTTGAGATTTCCATATCTGGTTTGACGCTGAAATCGAATTGAGTCCTAAAATCAAGTCAGAAACTTGGTCACTCCTAACGAGCGGTTACGAGATTGGCGACTCACCAGCGTAGGACACCAAAGTCGGCCGTGCCGTCTGTAGCAGACGCCTCTCAATTGTTAAAACCTTTCCCGCAAAGAACCCACGCACGAAAGTCGCCAATAGCACCTCGTCGCTTAGGCCTCTTGCGTTCTCAGGCAACTCCACATCCATAGCCAGCCTGTCTGCTGATGAGACATGGTCTCTAGGATTTACTAGAGTCTTGAGAGTGTGCGATTGTTTGAAATTCTCTGAAAGGCCACTAACAGAGACAACTCGTCGTATGTCGACTGCCCTAATACTTGTGTAGACCTCCCAACCGTGTTTTACAAGTAAGGCGCATGGGATCGCTGCTGCTAGGGCGAGGGCGTGACGCCCGTCGATGTATCGCAGACCAAGGGCCATCTGAGGCACTCGAAGGCGAGGTTATAATGATGACGCAAAATGTCAGAGTTGAACAGCTTTTTCTGGCCAAGTCATGGGTATACGATATTGATATTACCTCGAGTCTGGGCATGCAATTAAGTATGGCAAATATTCAGAAGCTGACATGTCAGACGAAAACAGCCCGCGATCGGTTCCCGCCGGCTTTACCCGCGCTCAGTTCTCAGCCCTCAGCTACTAACGCCATCCAGCCTAACTAGGCTTTTTGGCGAGCAAATGTCCGAGTTTGTTAGTCCTTAAGTATGAATATGAACAGGCCAACTCGTTTAAAATTGGTCACCTGTTTTGGCATTCGTCAATAGATGACTCAACCTGTCCCATGCGGCCTTTCTGGTCTTGGGATTGTCTTGTATGGCCTAGATTGAGTTAGTTGATGTTAGTGCTTCCCCCCCACCTAGTTCCGCGCTGGAGACGGAAACCACAATACAGACTGGTGACCAGCATGGGCTTTCGAGACCGAGACTGCCGTGCTTTTCATTGCTAAGTAGAACTAGACATAGCATCGTGCTTTAGGCGAACATGAATGAGATGGAAAACTTCATTTGCCTGTTTCGAAGGCCCGGCACTGGTAGACCTTTTGAAAGGAATGAAATAGCCCCTCTAGCCACTCTTTCTTACTCCGCATTGCACAAGGGGAACTTTGGGGCCGTTCCAGCTGGGACCTTAGCTGTCAACATAGCGGCTAAGGTCTCACCCGCTAGCGGCAGCTTACACATGGACACTGTTGAAGCTTCTCAACGCGGGGCTCATGTTCGAACAGGGCTTGCCTTACGTGACATCTACAAAATTAGCAGCGATTGTAGGCACCTTGTTTCTATAAGTAAATTATATTCATCGTATTCTCGGCTTTTTCACAGAGCATCATATCTCATCATAACCACAGTCACACTTTATTTCCTTTAGTCAGTTACGATGGCATCGACAGACGACAAAACCCTCCACCTAGTAGGCATCGGCGTCGGCCACTCAATCGCGCCCCCAATGCACAACGCCATCGCGAAATCCCTCTCTCTCCCCTGGACCTTCCATGCCACTGAATGCAACACCATCGAAGACCTTCTCCTCCTGGCACGCAAAGACTCAACGGCAGGCCTCGTCGTCACGATGCCCTATAAAAATACAGTCATGCCCCGCCTCGACGCCCTAGACCCCCTCGCCATCACCATCGGCGCCTGCAACAACGTCTACCGCGACCCGTCGGACCCGGCGAAGCTGAGGGGGACGAACACGGATTGGTTGGGCGTGAAGGGGTGTCTTCTCGAAAAGGGAGATGGACGGGGTCCGGTAGAGGGAAAACCCGCGTTGATTGTGGGTGCTGGCGGGGCGAGTCGTGCTGCGGTGTATGCACTGCATACATACTTCAAGGCCTCAGTGATCTACGTCTTGAATAGAGATGACGGAGAAGTATCCGATCTTCAGCGCGATGCTCAACGTCTGTCTCCCGCTCCCAAAATTGTTCATGTCAAAGATGGGGAGTCGAAGACGCTGGAGACGCCGTACTACGTGGTCGGAACAGTCCCCGATTTCGAACCTACATCGGCGTCTGAGTTGGCGGTAAGAGCATCTCTAGAGGACTTCCTTTCACGGCCGGAGAAGGGAGTCTTGTTGGATATGTGTTTCAAGCCGCGGCGGACGCGGATGATTAAGCTAGCGGAGAGCCTTGAGTGGCCTTCGGTAGAGGGAACACATGTTATTGGGTACCAGATCGAAGAGCAGTGGAAGCTTTGGGCTGGAGAGGAGAGAGTGAAGAGCTTGGACAAGGATGCAGCGTGGAAGGTTCTATTGGAGGCGGCTGACAATAGTCCAGGGATCAACTTTTGAGCAAGTTGACGTCCATGTCTTGAACAATTGAGATTCTGGCTCAAATGCGAGTACCAATCAACAGTGACATGCTTGCGGAACATACTGCTAATCACTCGTAGCTTCAATTCAAGTTGAATCGCTTTACAAGCTTTTTCCAGGCTTCAATGCCTCTTCGCGCATGCTCCTCAGGCACCTCCTTACGCTCTTCCGCCATCGTTCGTGAGAATAGTTCCATCGACACCCACCCCTTATACCCGAGCCCCTCAATCAGTGTCCGAGCAACCTCCTCAACCGGCAAGTAAGCCCCGCGGTCCGTCTCATACATGTAGGTTCTCGCGTTTCTAGACCACATCATCCGCGACGGATTCCCATTCACGTGGAAAGGATGGCCTTCTACAAGAGGCTGTTCCATCCGTTCGGCGTCGACAACCTGGATGTAGAACACCTTCTCCAAGTCGACGTCCTTTACCAGTCTCTCCATTGATGCCTTGAGGTCTGCGTCTGCGTTGGGGGTCTTCCCGGACGGAGACGCCGGATCACCCCAGACGCGTCCAGCTATGTTGAAGGTGTCGAGGCAGAGGCCGAAGTTTGGGCGGTCGACAAGCGTGGCAACCTCCCAGGACTTCTCCCACGTGTCGACGTGCGTACTCCAGCATAAACTCTCGTACGCAAACCGGATTGGCGGGTCTTCTTTGAGACCCAGATCTGCAAGTTCGACTAGATCGGCAACAATAACATTCATGTCGCCAGTAAGCTGGTCGGCGGGAAGGAAGTTGGCGGGGATCTGGATTGTGTTGGTCCCCAGGGCCTTGGCCAACTTGAACCATAGCTTGATCTTCTCGATGAGTCGGGCATGTTGATCTCTATCCAAAAGACCTTCGTAAAATAGGAACGGCTGTAGACCAATGATTGTGATCTTTCGCTCGTCGAGTACCTTGCGTATATGCTCTGCGGCGGAAAGGAGGTGCTCCAGGGTAGGCTGATCGACATCATGGAGCGTTTTGGCAACGTATTCGAGGTCCTCGTAGAAGACTTCGATTCCTTCGAAGCCATACTTTGCTGCCTCGGCGGCCTTCTTGTCGAAGTCGTGGACCCAGGCGCGGCCGAGAGACGCGGAGAGTATGGCGGGTCGGAAAACAGTCATGGTTGGACGTGGCGACGGTGACGGCTAGAGTTTGAGACGAGAGATTGGGTATCGTCGTGGCGAACAAGCCCCGTAGCTATTTGCGTTCGAGACTGTTGGTCCGATGCTAAATGATCAATCATCCGTCAATGTCATTGACCCCGCACTTCACCCAAAGTTAGTAAGCTGTGCAAGATCCGGGTGATGTCAAAGATGGCAGTTCAAGAAGGCGGCTAAGCGTAGTTCCGGTCCATGCCATTGGCATCTAATGCATATTCCGCAACTCCCAAGGATTTGATCGGTTTGGTGAATACCAAATTTCACCCAGGCTCTTGGTCGAAGAATGACTGGATATCCGTCGCCATGTCGCCTACAACTCCGAGATGCCGCATGAACTCTGGTGGATTTGCCGACCTATTTCCATTTGTTAGATACCGAGTCAAATGCGATATGCAAGATGTTCGCGTATTTACCAATCAGTTGAGTCGAGATCAGCGAGACTCATGAAGAGTTCACCGCCAATATTCTCCGTCGCAGTGTCCATTAGTTGACTGAAGCTCACTTGCGCCTCTGGCTGAAACTGCCGCAGGTCCGGTTGATGAGCAGATGTGGGATCTGCCGTGGCCTCCAGTATCGCTGGCTCGCTTTCGGCGATTTCACTGCGAGACGTTGTAGGAGGGCTGTGTCTTCGGAAAAGTTCCCTTTGGGCATCAGCAAGGGCGGTCTTTAAGGTTTGTAAGTCCCCAAGAGATCTTCCGAGTTCCTGCCTGCTACTCATTCTGTATTCGTAAGCGGCTTCGAGGCTATTTAGAAAGGCCATTGATGTTGGAGGCATGCGAAATGTCTTGGTGGTGTCGAGAAGTTTGAGAAGGAATTGCTCTTGAACAAGTATTTCAGGGGATACCTTGCTGGGCATTCCATATGGTGTACCCTTAAGGCGATGCTCTTGTGTCGCAAGAGTCTCGGAAATACTGGCACAAGCGAGACGGAGATTCGTATCCTGGGGCGTATTCGCGACATCATGCTGATTTCCATGGTCCGGCAGATGACGCTTCCTCCATTCTTCAAAGTCCCTGATGATATGATAATAACGGCCAATATTGTCGCTTCCCATCTCGAGTCTCACAACATCATTTAGAATGCAAACAAGAAGGAAGAAAGAATTGAACGTGCTCAATATCAGTCCTGGAGTGTGGCTCCATGTCGGCGGCTGCGCCTGGTCATCCAAATCTTTTGAATTCCACGGCTCCCATTCTTCCATGGACTCTGTGGCAAGCAAACCAAAGCGCTGTGCGTCCGAGGAGTCGAGATATGGCCGTGACTTTGCCAAGCTTGCGATGAGCGTGTCAAGGACAAAGACACACATAAGTGTTCGCCGTGTGCCCTCGTCTTTCTGCAAGGGCCCATCCCGAATGACAGCAAGAAAAGACATGGCAGCTGAATATGTGGCTTGGCCTGTTGCGAGCCACGCGGCTCCAAATTCTTGCTCTTCCAGGCTAATAAGTGCAACAATGAGTAAGGCTCGTATGTGACCGATCTCATACTTTCCGTTGTGTTTGGCTAGAACATCTTCCGCTGACTCGAGGAAGACCTTAGAAAGCTCCAAGGATCCCGACTGGCGCAAGGAATGGGCCATGACTGTCCAGATAAAGCAGAGATCCCCGCTGCGTATAGCATTTGATGTGTTGGCATCCTTATCGCTGTTGGCTTTGAGGTAGACCAATCGCATGAGATCGTGCTTCTGCACCATAGGTAGCCATGAATGTGTGTTGGCGAAGTACACGTCCAGTAGTTGCGCCCAATTTGGAGGGATCTGCGGCGGGGAGGTATGGCTTTGTGGTGTTGGGGCCTGTGGCATGGCCAAGGCACTCTGTGGGAAAGTCGGCTGAAGCGAATAGAGTGAGAGAGTCGAATCGACGTCTTGTTTCGATAGAGTGATTGTTCTAGCCGGTGAGTAGTCGTGTTGGCTGACGTTGGTATATGCGGGAGTAATCATGTCTAATCCATTGTCAACAATAGGGATTTGGTCTGCCGAGACTTTGGCTGCGAGTTTGATGGCCTCCCTGATGCCCAACTCGAACTTCTTGAAGGCTTCGCCGTCTTCGAGGCTTTCCGAAGGTTCCTCGACAGACAGAAGCCTCTCGACTGTCTTAGAGGTGGTGCTCGTCCTCCAAGATTCCGCCAGTGTATCAGTGACATCCGTGTTGGGGGAAATCAGTAGACTCAAATCCTGTAACCCAAACTTAGGCCGTCGTTCTTCACCATCGAGTACCGCAGCCAGCCAGTCATCAACGTCATCGATAGTGTTGACTATCATGCCAAGAAGTAGTTCAAGAGCTCGTACGTATCCGGTGCGCAGCCCACGTTTCTTCGCAGGCCCATAGCTACAGCTACGCCCGATGCTCAGGCACGAATTGCACGACGGGCGGATCCCATCGCATCGGTCCTTGCGTCTTCGACATTCGTTGCAGGCTCGGGTAACGCGTAACCTGACTTTGCCTCGGGATGTTTTCCCTTCGTCAGATTCTTCTGTGGCGTCGGTTTTGGTCTTTTTTGTCCGTCGCGGTGTCGTCGGTGATGGGCCATTGTCGTCCTTGCCCCTGGATTGTCGCTTGGGTGGGCATGAGGCCATCTTGCCAGTCTACTCGATTTGACTGGGAACAGGTCCGTGGCAACATTGAACCGTTGATTCAATGGACGAAGTCATAGAAACTGATTTAGACAATTCAGGTAGATTCCTCGCGGTATTTCGCAATGTCAAAAGTAACAAAAGGCAGATGGACAGACTGCGTGGTCATAGCCCCACTAGCTGTATGTACTTACTAGAAAATGCATCAATGGAGGTATGCAATACAGCAATAGCTGCTGTGCTGCCGTGCTGCCTTGCAACTGACTTTCCTTGATTGCGTGCGTAGAACAAATGCAAAACGACTGACGTTCATCTCAAAATCTGCTAATGAGTACATGTGCGCTCAAGATTTGACTATGAAGGATACGAATCTCCTTTCAGTATCCTAGGCAGAAAGATACTCGGCCATGTTTGAAGTGTTTTAAAACCTTTGTCTCGACCACTATAGGCAATATTCTAACAGACAGCATACGTGAGTGTCCGATCTCAGGCGGCTAAGGTCTTTGCCGCTCAGATTTCCCACTTCGGCCACCAAATCGATCTCACCGCTCGCTGCAAATTTTCTTAATTCTGAGTAGTCGAGGGTCCGAAACCGAAGTAAGGATAAAGACAGAACTCACCATTCAATTGCGTACTCCCCCCCTGCCAATCGGGGGAGAGCAGTGACATTCATCTGACTGGCCACAATGTGGGAATCTGTGAGATCTCGAGCCGATTCCGGAGAGCTGATTTACAACAAGTTCAAATTCATTAAGATGTAACGAAAAACAACAAATGAAAACATTTGAACACAACGTAGCCGCGGATCGCATTCTCCGTCTAATTCCCCTTCTCTTCTGCATTCCAAGAGTCATTCCTCCACGCAGCTGAATGCGCTCGCTCCCCCTCATTACGATCCTTGATGCTGTCCAGATAGGACCGGAAGGACTTATTCATTGCCATCACATCTTTGAAGTGTTCAGCCTCCACAATGATCTCCTGCGTCTGGTCGTAGTCCGAGGCATCTTTAGCCTCATACTCGGCAAGCGCGATAGCTGTTTGAAAGGCGTTGCGAATCTCACGACCGTTCCAATCCGTGTACTCAAGCACCTCGGGTGTCTTCAAGAATTTCTTGGCGCCATTGCTGATGCGAATTGCCCCCTTCCGCTCGCGGTTGAGCTTCGCAAGCAGACTATCCCAAATCTTTTCACGTCGCGTACCATCGAGCGGATCGAAGCCGATGACAGCGTGGACACGAGACATGAAGGCGTCATCAATATGGCCGACCCTGTTGGTTGTGAGAAACAGAAGACCTCCAAAGTACTCTATCTTTCGTAAGAAAGCTTTTGCATGCGGGCAGTCAGTAGAAGTCACACACACGCATTGCGGTCACGATAAATAAACGTACCCGAGACGATTGCGTTGCGCTCAATGTCCTTCTTCTCACGCCGCTCGAGGAAGACGTCACACTCATCTATGAGAAGAATGGCGCGCCATTTGTCGGCCATCTTGAACCATCTAGTCAGTTCCTCTTCTACAGACGCATCTTCGGTGCGTAAATCAGATATTGTGAGACTGATCAATGGCTGCCTCTTCCGCATAGCAATCGATTCTAATCTTGTCAGAAGTGCAACATAGCCATCTGCGAGGACTCACACATACCAACTGTGTAAGTTTTTCCCACGCCAGGAGGTCCTGCAAAATGTCATTAGCATTGATACTGAACTCATACTAAGAGTAATGAGTGTACATGTACTTACCATGAAGAAGGATGACGACTCCTTCACCCTTGTTCTTGATGTAGTCTGCTGACCAGGGCTTCGCAGTCAATTGGCGTTCGGCTAGAGCCTTGATGATCTTCAGCTTTTCACCACTAACGATTGCTTCAGGTACTTCCTCCTGTACCAGGTCTTGGATGCTTCCAACATGCGCCGAGACTATTCACTGTTAGCAAATTGATTCCAGGCGACTTCGGGCGAGGCAGTGTTCGGTACCCCAGGTCTTCGCTGGAAGAGTGAAGCCAGGTACGACTGGGCAAATGATGAATTTGTGGGCTGCTGTTACTGGGTCCCTCGAATCTTTCGTGGGATCAAGCCATAGGGGCTGCAATACACCCGAAGAACCGTTCGTCGGCCTGGCCTGGTCAGGTGCAGGTTCCGAGACCAAATCGAAACTCCAATCATCTTCATCAAAAGTTGGGAAATTTTGATCACCATAGGCATTGAGAATGATCTTTCCTTTGTACTGCTTTATTGTCAGACTTTCATTCGTTCATAATAAGTAATTGCATACCTTTTTCCTCTTCTTACTCATCAACTCGCCATCGTAATGGGCATATTCGTACCCCCTCCAGAGCATGTCACAGATCTGATCACCACGAGTCTCGAATTCCCTCTTCCGCTCGCCCTTGGAATACTTCTCTGGGAAAATATCCAGCTGTTCGATCTTCTTCTCGCCTTCAAACTTAGGGATGTCGATGGTCTTGGTTACAGTGACCAGTGTTCCGTAAGACCAATGCATCGCTAGGAACCAAATCTTCACTTTCCATCGTTCTGGGAGATTGTCTTCTGCGTCCGGGGCGCATTTTTTGGCATCTTCGACGATGCAACCTATCCACTGGTGATCCCACTTACAATAAGTTTGCGAACCAGGTCTTAGTAGATACCATAGGTCATCCCAAGTAGTTGTGGGCGAGTCCTGTCCCAGCCGTCTCTGCATGGGTTCGAGCTTGCTTTTGACGATTGGATCCAAATATTCAAGCAACACGCCCAAGTGCTCAATTTTGGTCTGTCGTTCATCCATTATCGATTCCGGGGAATCCTCCCGAGAAGCATAGATCTGGCCCAATTTCTCCCAGTTGTGCAGCAGAACTCCGTAAGGTTCGTGGATTGTGATGGTCTCTCCGGTCAGATTTTGCCCCGGATAATAGTCGACGGCGTCGCGGATCAGCTCGGACAAGTGCGGGGAATGAACGATGATGCGAGAACTTCCAATTCCTCGTATGGCCTTGTCGCTCATTGTTTCTTTCTGAATCATGCCATTCTCGTGATTCCTTTCGATGGATTGCTTTATGTCACCCTTGAGCCCAACGTTCATGTTGGTGACGACCTCAATTACAGGCTTAGCTTTCTCGTCGTGCGGAGGAACCTGGGATGGAAATGGCTCATCCTGGGAGTAGTCAAAGTTCTGACCGTTGTGGTTGTAACAGGACGCCGTGTAACGTATTCTCGATGGCTTCCGAGGAGGCTCGGTCTCCTTAATCGTGTCTTGGGGAGAGATTACATTGTTCTCTGTCGCCTCAGCCACTGGGTTATCTGGGTTCTCTGACGCTGAGCCATTCACTGGGAGGTTGTGAGCAGGCATGGCTGTGTCGATGTCTGTGATAGTCGCTATGGCCGACATTATTCCAAGTTCAGGATATGGTAAGGTATGACGCCTTAGGAGGAGTGTCCACCTACTAAGCTGCTATTTTTCAGGGAAATCGGGCGCGGAAGCAATGATTTTACTCAGACAAGGCGCTTTATATCCTCATGGTCCCCGGAACGGCTGCACGCTGTGTCCTTGCGACGTCGCCTGTCTCCGTCCCTAATCCATACCCCAGAGGGATGGGTTTCGAGACGCCGAGAGCACCACCTTGCCCTGCCAGCAGCCCACTAACCCAAAGTGAAAACAAACGTAGACGCAGATGAGATTTCATAAAATGTGGCAAACAATCTTATTGGCTTAGTCCAGGACTTCCACACTGGCAGGCTGTGAGGTAGCAGCAGATATACTCTTTTGGGACATTGCCAAAGAAACCAAGTGCCAGCCTGCCTCGATGGAGCCAACGATCTCTGTTGCTTATTGGCTTATGTCACTCGTCGGTTGCCAATACATCGGTATGAGCGGCAAATGTCAAGCAGGCTCGCTACGCTAGGTAGGCTTACTGCAGCGCGAGTATTGGCACGGTGAGACGAAGTTCTCCATCTCTGCCAATGATAGGCGTCTGACCCTTGCCAGTTTTTGTGCAGCAGACTTGTACCCGTTCGTGCCATTGAATAAGCAGGTGACGCCGTCGAGGGAGTCGGGGCTGGTCCTTTCCTTGCACACTTGGTACAAATTGACAATGTACATTCAAACGAAGGTTCGGCTTTGGGGTCTTTTGGTCCTCCTATCTCAGCTGTCCTCAACATAGGAACCCATTGGTGCGGTTCCATGCTGATGTTCGTTAATCTTTGCGAGTCACGCTTACATGGTACTCTGCGGCATTTCGGGCTACCACACCGGTTTTAAAAACCATGCGCCGCAATATTCTGAAAGCATCTTTTTCGTGGCATTGGACTAAGTGAGGCCTCAGCCTGATCTATTCTTAGCACTTCGGTAGCAAACACCAGCAGCTGCTGCCCAGACAATTTGCTTGCACGAATTTATGGCTAACCTTTCCTTCTTTGTTGGTAGGTATCACACGCCCTTTGTTCTTTATGACCCTCCAACGTTTCTAAGAATGCCACATGCTCAATTATTCCATTTGAATCTCGAGCGAGAGTAAATCCCGCTGCTATGATATCTCAGAGCGCCAAAGCAGCGGAGCCTGCTTTGCAAATGGTGCGTCGGTACACTGACCAGATGCATCGAGAGTGCACTGGTGACAATTTACCGCAAGTACATGTAACCGAAACATTCAGTGCCTTCATTCCTGACATATCATTCTTGACATTCTAGGCAAGCTCTGGTTACAAAAGTTGAATCAGAGAGACGAGATGAAGCCATTGGAAGAATCATTCCTGAGGTTTCGGCCCTAGAATCTTTGGAAATTTACCAAGGCGCGAGCTTGGGGTAAGGTTTCTTAGAAGCTCCTTGCTACTTGCATTTACTTTATTCTGATAATGCCATGGACAGAGACGTCGAACTACAGGAGACCGTTCTCTTGGCAGGCATATCCCGGGATCTAGAGACACAGTGGCCCAAGGTCGTCAAATCTTTACCGAAAGGCGAAAGGGATAGCATTCCCTCTAAACCCGATATTCGAACGTTTGGCAGACTTTTCAATCAAGCGCGAGACAAGCTCAATGCGAAATCGAGCACAAGGTCTGGCAAGATCAAGTCTTGGTTTGTCGGAGTGGCGGAAACTATCAATAGCCACAAATATTTGCTCAAACTTCTACCTGAAGGAGACAAATACACATCGGTCTTGGTTGGCTCTTTCACGGTGCTGATCCAGGTATGATTGCGCCTTTCAAGCATACATCTACCCGCATCTGCTCCCATTGGGGCAATCGAAAATTGCTAACGAACAATAGGTGGCGGTGACGTACAGTGACACCGCAGAAAACGTATCTGAATGCCTAGAACGCCTTTCAAGCCAGGTGTCGCTTCTCAAGAACGCTCTCGGGGCAAATCCCCGTCGTCAGTATATTAGGTGGCAAGTCAGCAAGTTCTATTGCCACTTGTTTCGGTTTCTTGTACTTATCTTGACCGAGTGGCTTTCATCCTCCTCAAAACGCTTCTTCAATAGTTTTGGAGACGGTCTCTTAAGTGCCTGCGATACAGCAGTCAGGAAGATGACAGCGTGCAAAGACGACATCATGCATAGCATCATTCTCATTCAGCAGAGTACAATCGATGACATGAATGCAAAGCTTGACCGACTCGGAAGTCTTGTTCAGGCCAGTTTGGTTGGCGCTGCTGTCGATCGATCCAGGCTGTGCGACGCTCCGAGGGTGTCTTCGCTGACCGAGGTGGCGCCATTCAAGGCTTTGCCACAGAGTCAGAATACTGACGCAAAATCTGGGAGCAAAGAAGATGGTGGTAAGGAGAAAGTTGAGCCGCAGCTACTTGAAGATGAACTCAGCGACGAGAGTAATCCCTGGACATCGGAGACAATGCAGGAGTCCCTAAAGCACTTGGAGACATTCCATCAGGCTGCTTATGTTGCATCTTTGACGTCCCCGCTGAGGCAAGTGTATGTGAGTGCAGAGATGCGAGCCAATCTCGTGAGGATGGTCTCTTCGAGGCGATCGGCAGCTCTCTGGATTGAAGGGCCGGGTGAGTGATCCTCCTTTCTTACTACCTAACAAGAGGTCATCTGGCTAACTCTCATCAACGTTGAGACGACGATGAACCGCCTTCCCACGCGACTTTGCTAGCAGCCCAAATGGTTCACGATCTCAGTCAGCTGAATATTCCCAGCCTCTGTCACTTCATCCATCGACCTAAAGGTACATCTTTGGACCGTGAGCGGGCGCTCTTAGAGATGGTGTACTCCCTGGTCTACCAGATATCACGGGCTCTTCCTGAGCATGCGCATTTCGAGGCAGGTGTTGTCGAAAAGGTCAAATTGCTGCCAGCTGTCCCGCAGACTCGTTCCGAAGTGACTCGCAGCTTAGCTCCAGCGGTCAACCTACTCGAGTCCATGTTGGAAAACCTTCCTCCGCTGTTGTTCTGCGTGGTGGATGGGTTTCAGCTTCTCGTGAGACAGTCGGACTCCCCGGAGATGAAAGCAGCCACCAAGCAGTTTGTGGCTTGTATCTGCGAGGCAGCAACGCGCCAGCTCAAAGACCAACCGTCGATTTTCAAATCGCTTTGGACCACGGCTGGGCCCTGCAGGGACTTACAGCAAGCCAGAAGGAGCCGGGCTCTGGCGTATTTAGGATACGAGGATGATGAGGAATTTGAGTCAATGGCTCTTCGTGGTAGAGAGATGTCGCCATTGACACAATAGTAACTTTTCATTCTGGCCAAAGGTCCGATGACTGGGAGTTGGCTTAACATATTCATTTGATCGAATTTATCTATGCCTTGGGCTTGATATTCTTAACGGCATGATCAATGGCGTACCCATATCCATGAATTCCCAAACCCATGATAACCGCCACCGCCTTATCGCTCAAGTAGCTGTGATGTCTGAAGCTCTCTCTCGCATGTGTGTTGCTGATGTGCAGCTCGATGAAGGGGATATCGACGCCCAGTAACGCATCGCGGATGGCGACGCTCGTGTGCGTGTAGGCGGCGGGGTTGATGATGATGACGTCGACGTTGCCCCGCGCCGCGTGTATGCGCTCGACAATGGCGCCCTCAGTGTTAGATTGGAAGGATTGCAGGTCTGCGCCGAGAGACTTGGCGTGTTCTTTTGATTGCGTCTCGAGCTGGGAGAGTGTGGTCGAGCCGTAGATGTGCGGTTCCCGGGTGCCGAGGAGGTTCAGGTTGGGGCCGTTGATGAGGAGGATTGACTTTGCCATTGCGATTGCTGTTGTGGACTGTTCGTGATGTTTTCAGAGGTTTGTTTGTCTTGTAGGACAGGCGGAACAAGCTTTCTTGGACAAATTGCGAGGGCAATTGAGGATGTACAGGTGAGATACCGAACTTGCAAAGGGAATTAGATGCAGGGTCTCAAGATTTCAAGTAGGGAGCTAGAAATAAAAACTGGTTAAACACTTTCCCCAGGTTCCCCTCAAATCACCTCCGCGTGGACCGAGTCAAGCCCAAATCGCTCCGTGAATCGGTGCGGGGAAACAAGATGCGGGACCCCCGCGCCCCCGCGATCCCAACGCGGCAAAGTTTTCATCCGTTCGGCCTCTCACCAACGCACCGAGATGGAAGAGCCGGATAATGTGCCGAATAGCGAAGTGCTCGCCAATACGATGGCCCCGTCATTAGCTTAGTCACTTACATGATATCTTTTCCGGCACATGAGGTCTGCATCATGATAGATGCTCATTGCTGAGCCCAAGATTGACAAAAAAGCCACAAAGAACAATTCGACAAATTGCGCGGTAATACAAACGTTACAAACATGTCTGATTTACACAGTCTTCCTGCAGGGTCTCGTCCCATCAACGCCATCCGCAACAATGGGCCAGATCACTTGGTTCTGGAAAGATTGAAGTTGAGAGAATTGGCAGAAGGATGGCCGTCTTACAGGTAAAACATCACCCGAAATTATGGTCAAATGAGCGTCACTTTGGCAGGTTGTAACTGACCGGCACTGATCTCCAGGGACGCCTGCGAATGGGAAAACTTCGAGTCCATTTTCCACCCAGGAGCCTACGTCTATACCACCTGGTCAGGCCGCGTCCCCTTCACAGACTTCATCGCAGCTTCCAAGGCAGGGATGGACAAAGGCGCCTTTATCATGCACCGCTGCCACGGCTGCAGCACAGATATCAACGCCGAAGGTACCAGGGCCGTTACAAAGCTCAAGGCGACAATTACACAGCGCTTCGAGATTGGCGGCGTCGAGTTTGATGTGGAAGCAGACTGCCGCTTCTGTTTCTACTTTGAAAAAGTGGGAGATCGATGGGGCGCGCGTCTGGTGCGGCATTGGTATGAGAAGGATAAGGTGATTCCTTGCAATCCAGCCAAGTACCCCGAGATTGATGAGGAGAAGTTGGCTGCGTTCCCTCCTGGATACAAGTATCTTGCGTATTTCCAGGAGCTTACGATGGGAGTCAAAGTTCTTTTGGATATGCCTGGGCATCGGCGTCATGTTGGGACAGTGAACCTGGAAAAACACGACTTACTTTACTGGCAGGCCAAGGATTGGCTTGAAGGAAAAGTCATAGACGTGTAGAAGACTGGCAAATATGATATGATGACGATTAAAAAATACCCCTCCAAAATCTTCCTCAAGATCCTCAGATTCTACGTCGCGGACTAGGTGTTGAGGTCTTCTGCACAAGACATAGTGGTATATACACGCTGCTGTCGGACGTCCGGCGTACCCTCCATGGAACTTGATCGCCTTCTCCCTTAATAAGAAAGCAGAGACTGAATTGAGGGTAGAACATCCGAATCACCACCCGAGTTTGCTTGAGTCTTGAGCTCTTTCTACGGCAAATCATTCTATCATCTCTCCTTGATCTTAGCCTGTAGGGCAGCCCTCATCGCCTCGACTGGTGCTTCTCTTCCAGTCCACAACTCGAACTGGGCATAAGCCTGTTCCTCAAGTACATCCACACCCTTGAATATCGTCCAGCCCGGATGCCGTGATGCCGTCTTCATCATACCAGTGACCTGCGGTCTATACGCCATCTCAACCAAAACTCCCTTCTCAGCACCAAACAGTCCTGCAGGTATCTTCTCCTCGCCAAGGTCATCCGCAGGAACGCAGGCAACAATGACTTTCAAAGATAGTTTACCCGGCCCATCGCGCTCCCTTTCGGCAGATACGGCGTCCTCCAAGGTCTGAAACACATGGCAATCAAGAGCGGGAAACTGTGCCGCCATCTCGGCCGCCTTCGATATCGTCCTGTTCACAACGAGAAGCTGTGTAATCCCTAACTCCTGGATCGCATAGCAAGCAGCGCGAGCCGCTCCACCGGCACCAAGAACCAACGCAGTCGAAGAACGAAGGTCCGATAGCCCGCTGCGCTCGATACATCTCCTAATCCCATGCCAGTCCGTATTATCGCCCACAAGTCGCCTGCGCCCCTTCTCCGAGTCCTCCTCGACGAGTACGGTATTCACGGCCCCAATCTTCTGTGCGCAAGGAGTGACTGCATCTAAGAGCTTGCCAATCTGTAGTTTGTGCGGAAAGGTGACTGATGCGCCGCCGAAGTCATTGGCGTTGATGATGGATTCTACCGAGGCGTCGACGCTCTCTGTCTGGTGGATGCCGTAATGATGTGGGAGGGCGAGTTCTCGGAAGCCCGTGTTGTGGAGGGTTGGGGAGAGAGTATGGGAGATATTGTGGCCGAAGATGAAAAAGTTCCTCTTCGGGACGGAGGGGCTTCCTTCCAGGGACCCCATGGTATCCTACAGCCCGTTATCGTTTACTGCTAAGATTCACTGCTTCAAGATCTGGACTAGAGGTCTTGGAAGGCTTGGAGGCGGAATGCTCCGTGGGAGGTTCCGGTTCGGTGTGATTAGAGCTGGTACAGAAGTATTGAGGCTTTCCTCGGTGAATCTGCATTATGAGGTGAGTAAGGGAAGACAACTATAACAAGGCGCCATGATCTTAATCTTTCTTCGGTATCATCGGTCAGCAGCTTGGCATGTGTCTTGCCAGGACGGTAGAAGTCTTTACCGCTAGCATCAAGCTAGCCACCACATGCACTTTTTGTGGGCAGCTATTCCTATGAAGGACATTACCCGCGCACTTGTTAACTCTTTCTACAATTTAACAAGTGGAAAATTACAGTAATCGCTCATGATGCATAGGTGTCTCCTAGAGATGGGAGTGTGGTGGTAAAATATCATCATTGAAACGCTACGCTCAAATGAATGCTAACCTTGCCAAGATTACTACCCTCTTGTTGGCATCTTGCCCCCTTCTGCAAGCCTTTCCTTATACGCTCGCGAAATCAACTCACGCATCATCTCGATCGGAGGTTTGCGTGCAGTAAAGAGCTCAAATTGTCTCTTACCCTGCTCCGGCAGAACACTTAGGCCGTCGACGGCGATCCACCCTTGGTCGCTCATGCTGCGGATCTGCTTCAGGAGAGGTGTTTCCAGAGGCGTATACGATAGCTGCGAATGTATGTTAGCAGTGTCACCTCGTTTGATCCGTTTACGTATATCGAGCTTACCTCAATGGCTACTCCGCCTGTAGGACTAGCCAGCCACCCCGGAGGCAGACTCGTATCAGCCGATGACTCCCCGTCGACCTCGCGCGCAGAGATACACGATACCACAATGGTGGGAAAGTCAGCGTCATCTGGCCACTTATCATCTTTGGATTCTAGAACACGAATCGTGGGGCTGTTTGGAGCTGCATCAACTTTCGGCGAGACGTTGACTTCCGTCGGCGTCGATGCCCCGTCGCTCGTGAATCGGTACCCATTAAAGTGCCTCACAACCTCTTCAGCCGTCCTCGTCGTTCGATTGTGTATAAGCACGGTGCGGACACCGAGCCTCAGAAGCCCGTATATCGCTGCACGAGCCATACCTCCCGCACCCACAACTAGCGCTGTTGTCCTCCTCTTGACGCCGTTGATGGGTGATAAGTTATGCCGGATGCATGTGTGTATCCCGATCCAGTCCGTGTTATCGCCATACAGAGCAACGACCGGACCGGCTCTGTTGCGATCAAGCAGAGACTCAATGTTCCGCGAGCGCAGCGGCACCAGCGTGTTGACGGCGCCAATGGCTCGAGCTTCTGGGCTCGTGAAGTCGACAATGGCAAAGACCTCCTTCTTGAAGGGGGCCGTGATACTCGCGCCCCCAAAGTTTTCGTCGGAGATGAGCTTGCGTAGGTAGTTTAGGGTAGGCTGCTGAAAGATCTTGTACTCGTGCGGCATGCCGCAGAATTTGAAGGCGGGGTTATGCATGCACGGCGATAAACTCGTGGATGCATTGGTGCCATAGATACCAAAGTACATGGGGTCTAGAAGGAAGGAAGAGTAGAGTGCCTTTTGCGCCTCGCGAATCGTCAAGAGGCAATGAGGCGAGCCGCCTGGAGCTAGTCTCCGGAGCAGGTTCATGGTGACCGGCGTGAAAGTTGGGTTCATGAAGCAGGACATGCGGCCCAGGCGGCCCGTGTTGTACGCTATCAGCGGAATCGTGACGTCTCTGGGCTTGCCGGCGCCGTGCTTGAAGTGCTGGATCTCGAAGTTGTCCTTGGTTGACTTTGCCTCGCGACATATGCGGACGACGTCGCAACCCAGGTCCTCGGCCAGCCTCATCTTGTCCTCCAGGCCTGGGTTCCGCCAGCCGCTTGGAGAGAGGGAGTTGCAGGTGTAGTGGGCGATGATCTTTGTTGTTCCTTTGCTTGCGACTAGATCTCGGATGATGTTCTCGTCGCAGCGGAGATCTACGCAGAGGTACTCTGGAGCGAGACGGAGGCCGTGGTTCAGGACGTCAAGGTAGTATGCGGAGGCGTGTTCTGGCGAGAAGCCGCTCATTATGCCAGTAGATGAGGATTCCAGTTCGAAATTGAGGATGATAGGGAGACGAGTGAATCTCCTGACGGCATAGAGCAAGCGACAGACGCGATTCGCAGTTGCATCATCAAACTCGGTCGACGTTGCCTGTAGTTCCCTCACAGGGATGACTAGTTCCGCAACATCGGCTGTTGTCGTGATATTTCGAAGTTCCGGCCCGGCGGTCTCTACCAATGACATTGGCAAGTTGAGAGAATATGTGTATGGCCGGCGCTCCAGTGGTAATGAAGCAGATCCTTCGGTGGCACGATACCGTTCCGAGCCCTGCCTATCGCTTTCCATGATGCTGTCAATGAGTCCGAGAAAGTCGTACTCCACCCGCTTTAACGCAAGAGACCTTGGTGACTGGTGGCCGGGTATGGTGGCGAGCTCGCCTGAGGCCTTTCCTAGGGTATCTGAAATGTTATAAAACTCAAAGTTGGATATCGATCGGTGTGTTGGACCACTAAGTTGAAAGAGTCGTGTGATGGCATCAGTATCCCATACCTTGAGATGCTCCTTCACGTCTTCCGCATCTCTCAGGACATAGATGATAGGATGCGTCTGCCCATATTCCGCAAGCCACGCCTGCCCCGTCTCTTCCACAGCTCCTGGCCCACACGCAATAATAGACTTTGTCGGATTCTCGAATAGCATGGAATGCAGAAGCTTTAGCTCTTCCCTTCGATACTCAGCCGTACCGTGCTGTGTCTTGTAACTGGCGCGTGAGAGGCCCGTCATCTGGAAGAATTGCTGGTCGGCGTCGAGTAAGCGGAACCCTAAAGCGCTGGCCGCGATCACGGCGAGAGTCGAGCGGCCTGTGCCTCGGATCCCGACGAGCACGATGGAGGCGTCGGGGGCGTAGCTACGTCGGCCGGGGGTGAAGCCGTGCCATGATGGGTGTGGCGGTGACTGTTGGCCAAAGGACTTGATTGAGTTGACGGCTGGCCCGACCAGCGGTAAAGTCGGCATCATGTCAGGGGCCGCCTTTTCTTTGGTAACAGGGAGAAGAGTTCTTTCGACGTTGAATCTGTTCTATATATTGGGCGAGGGTGACAGCGCCTCTGATTTGGAGAACCTGGGGAAGACGACGCCTGGCATGGACCACGTTTGGATGGGATTCTGGATGTATCCACATCCCTCTGGCTTCGCCTACTTATTCCAACAGCTCGAATAGACATGAACCAAGTAAATATGTGTGGGGTAATAACTGGTCCCTCAGATAATCGCAATTCCGACATAGAATGCGGCCAGTGTTGAAGGGAGCCGAAGGAGTGGTTTACCCCGGAGTCGGGGCCCCGGAGATTTCTTCACGAGGCGGGGCCCACAACGTGGCGGCCGGGAAAGGGCTTACCCGGTCGCCACGGATCCCTGCGCGTCAACCCTGTGAGCACGCCGCTTACTACTTCTTGTGTACCCTCAACTCTCACGAATCACACGTCTACAGCTGTGGCAACCATTCCCATATTTTCTCCCAGAGAGGTGAATATGCTCGATCCAAAGTCATTAGAGGATTCGTTCTCCGAGATTTGTTCTTCGCGTGACTGGAAGGCCTTGTGGTAAAAGATCTAGACCAGTAATTAGAGTGGGCTTGAAGATTGATCTAGCTTTAGTTTCTCTCAAGTCTACGCAGTAAATGGATACTTGAATATTCTCAACTCCAACAACTCCTGTATCTAGACATTACACAATTGCTCATTGCTAATGAAAATGACGGCATTCCATGCTTGTTTTACACATTGTGTGATCACCGCTTTGATCTCAACAGCCTCTTGGTTCACTTCCGCTTGACCCCTTGCCCCTTGGGCACCCTAACGAGCCAGTAGAGACCACACGCTGCAACGACATTGAACACAATATACACCCACAAAAGCCCAAAGTTCCTCCATCTATCGTTGTAGTTGATCTCGAAAGTCGCAAGATAATCGTCTGTAGTGTTCATACGACAGTACCCACAAGTCTCCCTCGCCGCAGCATCCACCAAATACCCGCCGGCGCGCTCAACAAAGGGGCCGAGAAACTCAGCGCACGTCATGTTCGTCGGCACCGGAACGGACACAATCTCCTTTGCCGTGCAAACGACCTTGGAGCCATGCAGACAAGTTGACAATGCACCGCTCACCAGGTACGTCATGGGACTGATCCAGTACATGAAGTCGCTCCATATGGCGGGTAGGTCGGCGCGAATGACGCCCACGCCGCAAAATGACATGCAGAGGATGGCAAACAAGCTGGCTGGGATACTGGCTAGGTCTGCCGTCTCAATTGCAGCGATAGCGAGCTGGGAAAATGTGCTAACCCAAAGAAAGAACATCCAGATGAAGAGGAAGACGGTTAAACCACGGATCGTGACGTCGTCGGGGGTGGTGTTGCGGTAGAATTTGGCTGGGTAGTACCAACAGAAGAAGAAGATGACGGCGGCGATAGTGTTCCAGATCATTTCAATCGCAATGTTGGAAAGGAAGTATGCTACAGATTGGTTAGCTTTGTCAATCCAGAACCCCCGCGGTACGGTTTCTTACTCGTCCATCGATACACGCGAGATGGTCTCTCTCGTACTTCGTAAAGAGCTCTCTGTGGAATGAACATGGGCATGATCTGCTTGCTGAACTCGTTGACAGTCGTGAGGCACATGAAGAAGGCGTAAAGCTGGTTCTGCAAGCCTTGCAAGCTATTGTCCGACTTGAACGTGAATCCAATATAGAGAGCCTGATGGTATTGGTTAGTACAGGAGGTGAGGTATGCGGCATGAGGAACCACCAAGAGGAGCATCTTACCAGAAGAATAGTCAAAGTAAGCTTTGACCAGATGTACACAGGAGACCTCCAAAAGTGCTTTGCTGTACGGACAAAGACATGTTTGAACTGAGTCCAGAACGACGAGGCAAACTCCTGGTCGGCGACATCATCATCCCCGGCTCCCTCCATGGGCTTGCCTTGGGCCTGCTGACGCAAAATTCCAAGCTCATTCTTCACCTCACGATACTCTGGGGATGAACGCCAAATCTCATACCAATTCGGTCCGTCCTCGGAAAGCGTGGTGGCCTTCAGCATCCACTCTGCGGGGTTGGCATCGGAAGGGCATGGTGATGCGCCGTTGCGTTCGAGGTACTCAATCATCGTCTTGGCGTTCTTGCCAATATCTGCGCACGTAAGCCAAGAGCACGTCGGAGGAGAGAGGAATGAGAACGGCGACAACTCACCCCCAAAATAGACAGTCTTCCCCCCACGTTGCAGTAAAAGCAGCCTGTCAAAACGAGCAAAAAGTATGGCAGACGGCTGGTGGATAGTACACAGAATCGCCTGGCCGCTCTTTGCAAGTTTCTCAATCAAGTCGCAAATCGCCCAAGACGTCTGAGAATCAAGCCCCGAAGTGGGTTCATCCAGAAAGACCAGCAACTGCGGCCTAGCAGCGAGCTCAACTCCGATCGTCAACCGTTTACGCTGTTCAACGTTGAGTCCTTGTCCAGGGACTCCAATCACTGCATCTACGAAGTCGCTCATATCGAGCAGCGAAACCACATCGTCAATGTACGCCAACTTGGCCTCGCGAGGGGTCTCGGCACTTTGCCGCAGCAACGCACTAAACTCGAGGGCCTCCCGAACGGTCATGGTGTCCAAGTGGACGTCTTGTTGCTGAACGTACCCGACGCGATTAGGGAACGATCGGTCCGTTGCTTGGCCGTTGACCATGGTGTCGCCGGATATCACGCCCATGGTGATTCGAGCAGCAAGAGCGTCGAGTAGGGTTGTTTTACCGGCACCAGAAGCGCCCTGTTTGAAAGTTAGAGATGGAACAGGGGATATGTAAGCTAAAACACATACCATGAGAGCTGTGATAACACCTGGTTGCACCCAGCCGTCCACGAAGTCCAAGATGCGCCGGTCCTGGTCTTTGATCTTGACATCGTAGCAGATGTCCTCCCAGTGGAAGATTGGCTTACCACACTCACTCGGTCTCGGTCTTTTCTCCAACATCTCATCTGTCGGCATGGCAGAGACTTTCTCGGTTAGAGTCATGTTGCGGGACTGACTCTCTTCGTCGGCTAGGGCTTTCTTGTCTATCGCGGGAGGTACTTTGCCACGTCGGAAGACAAGAACTTCGCCTTCGTTTTTGGGCGGCTTGGCGTACTCGGCAGTGATGATATATGTGATGAAGAACACCACGACGTATGCACAAAGAATGCCGACGTTCCTTGAACAGGTCAGATGAATTCCCAAAACACTCGATTATGACCACAGACTCACCTCCACTTGTTATCGTTAAAGTACCCAAAAGATTGCTCGATATACCGGTCGCCATCTATCATATCTGAGCCCGGTACGGCGCCCACCACAGCGCAGGTACGACCAGATATAGAGAGATCATCATAGCCCGGGCCAGACGGCACGAGCCCAGCGCATAGGAACTGGCGACCATGGAACTCATTGGCCATGAGCGCCTCGAACGCATAAGAGAGCGGGTTGACGTAGCCCATCCAGCGCGACCACCCCTGCATGTAGGCTGTTGGTACTGTGAAGCCGGCATACATCATTACGCCGATGGTGACGAGAGTGACGGGGACCATGGCTTGATGAGAGGTGCGTGCGAGGGATGCCATGGTGCGATAGATGCCCGACATGGCGAGGAGCACCAGAAAGGAGACAAGGCAGAAGAAAAAGAAGGGCCCCGGCTCGCGGTTCAAGTTTGCCATGAAGTAGAGTATCGAGTTGAACGTGAAGACGTTGGTGATCTTGTATGGTAACTCGGTGATGTAGCTCGAGATGGCTTCCGCGGACTGGTGGTAGAGGGCGTATCGATTGTGCTTCTCGATGACGGGTCTTTGAGTGTATAATGTGAGGACCTAGATCATTGTGAGTTTTAAGTTTACGAGTCACCACCTATCTGACAATTACTCAGGGAAAGATGTGTACTGACCTCCATTTCACTAGCAAAAGCATTGAACAACAGAGCAAAGAAGATGAGCCCACCACGATAGTAAAACGTCCCCGAGTCCTGCCTCAAGTTGAAAAACATGCTCCCGAGCACGAATCCAACAATGATGTTGAACACCAGAGAAGACAGCGTGAACTCGGGATCGGCAACCAGACGCTTCCACCCGCGCCAAAGGCATAGCTTGACTTGACTCGGATATGTAATCATGTAAGGCGACTTGAGTCGTTGCCATGAACTTCTCTCAGCTTTGATGCTGTTCTGGAACGCCTCGAGGCGGTCCTTTGAGGAGTGATTGCTATCGTAAGCTGCGATGTCTGCCATGAGGCTTGCGTGCTGTTTGGATGCTTTCCATCTGGCGGCGAACTCTTCAGGAGTTCGAGGGGCGAGGTGTTCGTGTCCTGGTCGGATCTTTCTTTCGTTCGGAGATGTCATCGACGTAAGGAAGTCTGGAACAGTTTGTCGGTCGGGACCTGTAATGTTTCCACGTCAGAACAAACCATCAGATAGAAATAGCAGCGGGTAGACACTCACACTGAAAGCCAAGCTCCTCAAAGTACCGCTTCGCTTCACCAATCTTGCCGAAGAAGATCTGCCTCCCCTCATACACCACCGTCACCTTGTCAAATAGCTACCCAAAATGTCAACAAAAGCTCTCCCATAAATTCTCACGACCATCCAAAGGACCAGAACCACACTTACATCATACGCAGACTGCGGCGCCTGATAGATCGCCACGACAGACGCAACCCCCAATAAATCACTCTGCGTCCTCAAATTCCGACAAAACGCAATCGCGTTCCCGCTATCCAGTCCGCGCGTGCTATTATCCCAGCACTGGAACTTGGCCCCCGTCAGCGCCGCCTCGACGATACTCACGCGCTTGCGCTCGCCGCCCGAGACCCCGCGCACGTAGTCGTCGCCGACTTTGGTGTTGACGGTGTGCGTGATGCCAAAGGCCGCCATCATCACATCGCGCATGATGCGCGCGAACTGTGGCCCCGTGAGGTTTCCGGGTACGCGGGAGGGAATTCGCGCGCGGGCGGCGAATTCGAGGGTGTCGCCTACGGATAGGGGCGCTAGGTGGACGTCTACTTCGGCGTTGTAGAGGACATCGCCGCGGAACCAGTCGTGCATGCGCTTTGGTTCGATTCCTGGTAATCTGTTAGCCACGATGCTGCTGGGTTCTCCACGAATTGAGAGGTTGTCTTACCCCTGAAGTTCATATACGAGTCCTGGGCGACTGTCAACCCTTCAGTCTGACCAGCCAACGTCTTGAGAAGAGTAGAGCACCCTGATCCAGGCGGTCCAAGCACGAGTAGCATCTCACCAGGCTCAACAAGGCCCTCAAAATCTCGCAGAATATCGATCCGTCTTGTCGACCTCCCCGTGGCAAGGCCAATAAGATCAGATACCATACTCAACGCAATATTGCCCGTGCTTTTCTGGTACTGTGTCCCAGAGCTATACCCAAAGACATTAAGGTCTCGAAATGCGACGCCCGCGCTCCTGTTGGGTGCTGAGCTGGGATCTGATTCGAAGAGGTGAATGAAGGCCTGCGTCCATGCTACGCTGTCAAAATTTGAAGAATTTGGGTCAAGGTAGCTGTTCTTGGGTGGGTTCAAGACATCGTAGTGCGCGTCGGCATCGTGGATGTGTGATGCGTTTGTGACTTGGCGTGCTAGTTGCTCGATTTCTCTTTGCGTGTCGTCGGCTGCTGTCGATGATGAAGATCCTGAGAAAAGATCGGTCGACACCATCTCGATGCCGGCCTCATCGCCTGTTGTCATGGTCTAAGCAGCTGTCGACAGGCTCTATTGTGGCATATAGTCCGTAATAAAGTTTGGTGTCAAGTGGTATCAGATGATGAGGTTGCAGTGAACGGATATCAGATGAACCATCGACTTACAGTTACATGTATTCTTCTATCTATCTTTTAGGCAAATCTTCAATACGCAAAAGGCATCATACCAACAACTCGGATCGCAGCCTGTGTAAGTGCGGACGCCCGCGGCCATCCGCATTGCGCCTCATGTGGAGAAGTAGTCTGGGACTGCTGGTACGGGCGGCCGGCCGCTTCGTAATGTTCATATTGCCCACTCTCCGTACGAATATTCGCCAAGCCGTATTTATCTGGGTCAGTCATTACTGATCACTATGAAATTGTGGTTGTGTGTCGAGAACCCATGCCGCTCGGGCTGCCGCGGGTGCCCGAAAGGACGCTGCACAATTAAAAACGGGGCATTGATCCCCGTGCGAGAGAGGATCACCAGGCGGTTGTCTAATCTCGCATCCCCGACGGGAGGTTCCCCTTCTCTCTAGCAGGGTACCTGCTTAAGCATGTCTGAAGATATGGATACCTTTTAGATCTCGGGGCTGGACTGCTCGGATCCGTAGATGGCCGACTCTAGGGTAGTGCCAACTGCCAAAGTGAAGGTGGTAGTGGTAGCCACCAGTTGGTATAATAGAACTTCAGTTAGGCCGCCTCGAGAGCCTACATTACTCATTCCTTGCGAGTTCATGGAATACAAGAGGGGCCACGTTCAAACCGACGGGACGGAGTTCATGTCGATCGCCTGGTGCCGAGATCGATGTGCCCCATATTTCCGGCGTCGATGCCGCTCGGCCCCGGCCCTCGTCACGGAAAGCCACCTTCTGCCACCTAACTCACTCAACCTGGAGGACTTGATGATGTAAACTTCCATCCTTCCAAGTATTCGACTCTTCGTTCTTTGACATCTATCTAATGACTAAGGAACTCTAGGAAACATCCTCCACCCCAAACCCAACTCCCCTCTCCATCCTTCAACTACACTCAATCCGTCAATTCTTATAGCAACATGATAGCGTAGCAACATACGTCTTGACCATAACAGTATTCCGTCACATTCATAAACCATCAAAAATCGTTTCAAGCATCACACATCCTCCACGACCACCACCTCTACCAACCCTCACTCCTGCCCAGCCCACCTCTCCGCAACCCTAGACGTAAAAAACACCCCCGCCGCAAGAATCGTGAACCCCGGCGCGAAAAGCAACAAAATCCCCACCACAACCATATTCGCAAAGAACTCTGACGTCCCAAACGCCGGGGCGCGGCCGATGAACCCCGGGCCCATGGTGTGGACAGTCACCGTCGGACCGGCGGCCTGTGTCTGTGTCTGTGTCTGCTTCTGCTGTTCATCCACCGGCGATGCTCGGTGGCTCTCCTTCGTCTGACTCTGGATCTGGCCTAGAGCGTGAAAGATGTCTGATGCGAGGGGTACATGTTCCTCGTCGATCGTGACGCCCGAGAGCCAGGCGTGGATGTTTTCGTGGGGGTCTGTTGATCTTTTTGGCGGAGGCGGAGGTGGACGACGGGGTTGAGGGTTGGATTTCGGCTTGACGGGTCGTGTATGTTGGTTCATGGGCTTACCGTCTTCTCCATAGATGAGGGAGCGGCCATGTCCGTCTGTTATCCAATAAGTCTTGAAACTCAATGTGACTTCAGGAGGAAGTTTGTTTAGCTTACCAAAATGATCTGCCCAATTCATGGCGTTTGAAGAAGCGTAGGCGCGCTGATTGTTTCTGACCTAGTGGGAGTGATATCCTGAAGCCGTAGTACCAGAATGAGGGGCAATTGAGCTTTCGTCTTTCGGTTTGTAAGTGGATCACAACGAGCGCTTACACCTAGAAGGCGAAAGTTGTTATTATCGTCAAGAACGGCTTATGGATGGAGTCGCAGAGATAGACTATCCAAAATGCATACTGATTATTTGTTTGACACGTGCGTTGTCGGGGAGAATGGAGTCAACACTTAAGTGGTGATGGACACTGGAATGCTTCATTTCACAAATATGGCTGCCCTTGATTGTGGCTTCATTCCATTACACCTCTTATCTAGAACTAGTCTGTGATAAGGCAGGTATACCCTCGGCGTATTTGCGTCTCACGTATTTTGGGGGTGTTCACTCTTCTTCCCAGTATGGTTTCAAGCAAAGCAGTATCGTCAGGGGTAGACTGGGCACATCGTTGCTGATGGGAGGACGGCAGTCATCAATAGCCAGCCGTCTGACATTCGTTGCAACAGCTCTGAGATCATTGTTCGCCAGGATTAGGACTAGGATCAAATTCACAAGACTCCAGCTGACGAGAACAGTATGGCATCGGAAACGAGCGTAAGCGATTAAAAGGTCCTTGTATTCCCATCCGGCCTTGAGTACTGTATGCAAACATTAATCTCGTCAATCCACCCCTGCCATACTGCCCGTAATCTACAGTCCTTCCCCTCATGTTCATGTAGACTGCGTCCCGAGTCAAGTGGCCTAGAAGCCTCATGACGGGTTCCTGCAAGGCGCGCGGTTAAGGCGCCCGCATACCGATCGGTGACACTGCAAGCACCCCCATCAGGGATGTTGCAGCGGGACACACTTGTCTTTTCTGAAGCAAAAAAGTTGTCATCTCGAATTTGAGTTATTCTTTTGTGCCCAGTGTAGTAAAAAAAAGATTTCGTCGTCGTCCATCATCCCGTTTCCCATTCCGGGTTTGCCCAAGTCACAAAAAGAACACCGTGCTTGCAGCGCGATCGAAACGTCCTCGATTGAGGACACCAGCCCGCAGAAAGGAAGAAAATCTTAAACGCCATCTCCAACCATTTGTTTCCCTCCCAGCCGTCCCTATTGCCCGTGAGAATAGAGACAAAGGGAAAGAAAACGTCGTCGTCTTCGCAGTTCATACAGTAAAAGGAAAAGGTAGTAGGTACATAGGGAAAGAAAAAGCGACTTGGTAAAGGTCGGTGGAAAACGAATGACCGCTTTCAATGCAAGAAACGCCCTAAGTATGCGCAACGCCAACGTTGAAGTGCTTGTCTAGAGAATGAGCCAAGATATGCCCAGCTGCAAACGACGCGGTCAATGACGGGGAGTCGGCTCGGGTTGCCAGCCGTTGATGTAAGCCATGAGACCCATGCCAAGGATGACCACGCCAAGCATGGAAGCATAGGGAACACCGGCCATCATGGCCTGGTCCTTTGCCAGCTTGCCTGGAGGTATGGAAAGTGGCGTAATGGTGTTGGCTCGCGACAACGTGGGCTTGTCGCCAAAGTCATCCGCGGGTGACTCTGCCTGCGTGGGAGCTGGCGTCGGATCACCGGATCCATTGGCCTGAACAACTGAAGTTGTCTTGTCGGCAGGTCCTTCGCTCCGGCCGCGTCGTCCTCGGGAAAGAGAACGATTCTTCTCCGCAGCAGCTGCGTTTTGCCTAGCCTCCTCGTCTCTGCGAATCTGGGCAACCATCTCGGCCAAGGTTTGACGATCGGCGTCGCGCTCCGTCTCAGCCTTCTCGCATCTATGCTTCCAAGCCTCCATCTGCTGCTTCAGGTCCGTCACTTCTGACATCATTGTGTCGAGCTTGACCTGGAAACGTGCAGCAATATCCTCAGCGCTCTCTGGCGCAGGCTCCTTGGAGAGCGGTTCGGCATCTGTCATCTCGATATCCTGGGTGTCGGCGGTATCGCGAGGTGGTTCAAAAGCCTCCTCAAGGAGAGCCTCGGTATCGTGTTCCTTGGGCGCGCCATTGGTTTCCTTCAAGGCACTGTCCTCAAGGATCTTTGCCATATCCTCGGCTAGCTCGCGTGCCTCCCGTTCCTTTCGGAGCATGTCTTCCAAATCCTTAATACGGGCCGTTTGGGTGTCCATCTCCTTCTTTGCGTTATTCAAAGCTTCGGTCAACTGAATGATCTGATGCAAATTGTCTCGTCCAACGGGCGAGGTGGTGCTATTAGTCTTCGGTCGCTCAGTGGTACCTCGTTTCAGTGAAGGCACATCGGGCTTCTCAGGCAGCGGCTGCTGAGGAGGTGGGGCAGGAGGATCGGAAAATCTGGTCTTCGCATCGGTACGGAAAGGTAGAGCGTTGCCATTGGGAAGCTGCTTCGGAGGTTCGGGGGCTTCCGGCTTCTCTAGATCCTTTACATCATCTTTGCTCAAGAGAGCGTGGACGAATTGGCCCGTCCGGGAGAGGTCTTGAGACTGCAATCGAGCATTGCGCATCTCGTTCTACGACCTGGTTAGCTCCAATCAATATGTCTAGGGGGTCGAATACTCACGTGAAGTCTCTTGACGATATGCTCCGTGGTAATGGGCGTTAACAAAAATCCACGGGCTGCTCCACCATTGGGTGCCATGCCAGCCATATTCTGGGGTGCCATCATGCGGCCATTGCTTGCCATTGATGCGTTGCTTCCAGTCCTGCCACGGTAGGGCATCGGGCTTGGCGCCGGCATCATCATGCCACCATTCGCGGGGTCCAAATCGCCAAAATTCATGTCCATAACGTTACTTGAGGGGCTCATGAAGCCAGCGTGTTCAACCTTGGCGGCAACCTTGTGGTGGACGACGGTCTTCTGATCCTCGCTCACAATGTCGATTCCCAACTCTAAATGATCTCCCGTCTGTAGCTCGTGCGGTTCGGATTCGCGATTCTCCTGGGAGAGACGCGTGCCGTTGACAAAGGTTCCGTTGGACGATTTGACGTCGCGGATGTATATCTTGCCGGTGCGATCTGCCCATATCTCAGCATGCTGCCTTGATAGCACTTTACTATCAAAGTAGCCGTTGGTGGCAGTCGGGATCGTCTTCTGATTGGTTTGGCGACCAATACGGAGGCTTTCTGGGTAGAATGGTACCGAGATGGTTTTGCGTTCAAAGGTACCATTGAGCGACAAAAGATAGAGCACAGGCTGCCCGCTAGGCATCGGGTCACCCATAGGTCTTGCCCCGAGTCCCTGCTGCGATATCATTTGCGGTTGGCCTGGAGCCGTCTGCAGCGACGAACCGCCGTTGATGCCGTTGATGGCGTTTCGCATAATAGGTCTGCCGAACTCGGCTTGACCTTCTGGCTTGCCTGGCGGCCATGGTCCTTTGGGTTGTGGCCGCTTTCTCGAGGCGGTGCTGGACCAACTCATATCAGAGTTTGTAGACGCCGGGGTGCCATTTGGTTGCGAGCCATTGGTGGCAACAGTGGTAGTAGATGAGTTGGAGGAGGTAGATGAGACCGAGGAGGAAGAGTTGCTCCGCTGCAGCGTCTTCCGAGGTGCGGCGAACATGCCTCTGACGTCTTCTGGGTTCATCGAATTCAGACTTTGGCCGCCATTAACATTCCATCCCGGTCGATTGAGTTGCTGGAAGCTGGGCGGGCTCGCGACGGCAGTCATGGGGAAGTCGTCGTTTGATTCAGGTAAGGATCGTAGGACACTGCAAGTCGTGAGAAGAACGATCAGGTGATGACAGCTCGTAGGGTATCGATATTGATGGGTGGTCTGGTCTAGGTGACGTCGGGGGCTCCTTCTTTGACCATTCGTAAAGCAGCCCGGAGGGTATCGTAAAGATCAGTCGCCGAAAGATAACGCGGATATGTCAGATGGAATCGATGGGGGTTCGCTGCGGAGGGTAGAAAGCAATGAGGCTGAGCTGGCAGGTTAAAAAAATAAGTCAGCGATGATGTCGCGGCAAGGATAGGGGTGGGCAGCCAATTGGCGCGACCCAGAAAGGGCCTGGGACGGGACGGGGGGTCGCAGAAAACCGGGCCAAAAAGGATCAGACAGGCAGGAGAGACATACCAGCAATGTCGAGGACGTGGGCAAAGAGACGGTTTTCTTTGAGCACCACGGTCGACGATGGGCTCAAGCGGAAGCGTCGTCGGCGGATCGGGTGGTCTCCGTGGGTAGGTGAGGTTGAATCTAGGATTTGGGCAGAGAGAACAGAACGTGTCGCCCCGTCTCGCTAAGCGCTTAGCGTAAGTGCGTGAGGTGAGCGCTGGCGCTGGGGGAGAGCCTATGGTGCCAGTGGTGGGCGGGCCAAACAGCGTTCGGAAACACGCGCCGGAGCCGACTTGGAAGTCTGGGAGTCTGGGACATGGGCGGTCGGAAACAGCAGGGCCTCCCTCAAAGGCTCAGCGTCAGCGTCAGCGGGTGGGAGACCGAGGGACCGGAAAATTCTCAGTCCACCACAGTTGGTTCGGTTACTGTTCAGCGTGAGGGTTCAGTTCACTTCAGCTGAGCACAGGCCCCCAAAGCTTGGGTGTTTGACTGGACTTTTCCACCATGGGCCAGCTAGGATGTGATCTTCATATGAACAAGATCATACGTTAGCAAAGAAAGAGGGAAGATGTGTGGTAGTGACAAAAAAAAAAAAAGAGAGAGAGGAAGAAAGCAGGAAAAAAAACAGAACTGGTGCTCATCCGGGTGAAGGCGGTCTGCCCGTCTGGTCACTGTGCTGTCATCGCCTCCAGTCCAGCTGGCTGCTGTTCTTGCCTTAGCTGTAGGGATCCACCCTCACCTGCCCTCCGTCACATTCCATTTGTGGTGGTCGCCTGCGCTGTTCGAAGACTCGGGGAAAGACACGTGACATGCTCCCAAGCCAGATGTGTGGGTGCCTCACAAAGAAAGGCCATACAACCAATCAGACGACCAGGCTGACAGAAACGGGTCTAAGGCGGTCCAGTGAAGTGGCCTGTGCTCCAGGTGACCGTGACATCGCTGCTCTTTCCTTTCCCTCGAACCTCCTCCAGGCAGGCTCGAACCTCAAAAGGTGGGGCTAGCCACTTCAGTCTTTTTGCCGAATAACTGCCGTCCCCCGGATTCGATTCGTCCAAAGCTCCAGTGGCACCCGGCTCGGAAAGGCTGACCTTCGGCCACTTGGATTGGGTGCAGCAAATTGGAAGAGCTCCTCCCAGCCCACAGTCGCAAACATCACCGATTCCCATCGCACGACTGACTATACAGTAGCTATTGAGCACCACAAGGAGCTCGATTCACAATCCGATACCCAACCCACAGTCTTCTCTGTTGTACAGATTCTCTCCTCAATATGCCTCCCGTTCCTGCGCAACATGGCGGTGCCATGGGCCCTGGAATCGCCGACAAGAGTACGATCCTCCTCTTACAACCTCTACAAGAGCTTCTAGCTAACTCTTCGCAGTGAAGATGGGTGCCCTCATGGGCGGAAGTACGTCTAGACCGGCCCATCAGCCCTTTTTATCTTGCCGCTGACCATTCTATAGCTGTTGGATCCGTCATGGGCTTCGTGTTCGGTGTGTAACAAACTCTCCCTACTTCTCTCGCATCGCATCAACTAAACAGCTACCCCTCCGCAGGCTCCGTTAACATCATGCGCTACGGTGCCGGCCCCAACGGCATCATGAGAACCCTAGGACAATACATGCTTGGTTCAGGAGCAACTTTCGGGTAGGCAAAGCCAGGTTTGGCCTTGATCCACATAACGACTAACAACCTCGCAGCTTCTTCATGTCCATCGGCAGTGTCATCCGTTCCGATGCTTCTCCCATTGCCGAGGAGGCTTTCCGAAGGGCCAACCGAAGACCCATCATCATGTACGGCCCCGGCTCCGATTACGCGAAGCGCCAGCAATAAGCTGAAGGAGACACAATTCGAAATACCCTGTACATCATCATGTAGGAGACTAGGAGGCTGTTGCAAAAGGACGGCACGATGCCACAACACCGGCATCAAATGGATATCTGTATAATACTTAGGTGTTGGGCATATCACGACTGCATGATAAAAGTTATTGCATCTTACAGGCGAGTCTTTGCTTCGCCCAAGCCAAGTCTCGGTGCTGCTGCCGCTTCTCTTACCTATTGACGACACTAGCCCGCATCAATCGGGTTCCTGAAAGGAGAGAACTTAAGCACAGCGGTGTTCAGATGCCTGAAGTCATTGACACAGGTCACAACGGTGTCTTGCCGTCAAGCGGGACCGGCCGGCGCCAGGAGGCCGAATTGCGGTGGCCTGGCTTCGTTCATACGGCCTGTACCTCTTTCGATGCAGCTGGCCAAGCCGACTTAATGTGGACTTAACAGTATGCAGGCTTCCAACATGTATGCATATGTACACAACCGTCGCCTTACAGACGGACCGATATTCGAAAATCGACCAGTGTCACTTTATTTCGCCATGCCTGCGGAGTTCCGCAAGACAGTTGCTTACTCATCGTGCATACATATTTGATGACCAGCGTCGTATCGTCCTGGCTTCATTGCATGGCCTAGCCTGCTCGACGCAGTGATACGCGTTGAATCAGCTATGTCTTGGTCTAGCGTTCGTGCAAAGTGGCGCTGGTTTCGGGATCATATGGATCTGCGGGCAAAGAGACCATGGAAAGCTGTTGATTATTGATCACAATTAGCTATCCAATAAACGCAAGCTCTGTTTGGTGAGCGTTCGTGGTTCCTAGTTCGCAGTCTAACGGATGCATATAACTTCACACCCCCTACTCACTGATGTCTTCTTGTCTATAAACATTCCCTTCGTCCACTCCATCTCTAGCCCGACCATGCGCGCGAAACTTTGTCCTCACTGGGGAAGCATTTGGATGAGCCTTGCTGTAACTACCATGGCGGATACCTATGATTACATGTGAGTGACAGCTGTGAGGTCTAACAAGCTCAAATTCATGATTCTAACGTGGTATTAGCATCGTTGGCGGAGGCACCGCTGGACTGACGGTTGCAGCTCGCCTCAGCGAGAACCCTCAAGTGACGGTCCTCGTCTTGGAAGCTGGTGCGGATCGTTCCACCGATCTCAACGTCTTGGCTCCCGGGCTGTTTCCCGCCATGTACGGCAACGCCGACTACGACTGGGACTACAAAACAGTTCCCCAGGTACCCATTTACCTTGAGTTTGATCCTCACCCTGACTGAACGTAGCAAGCTGACACGTCCAGACATCGGCCAATGACAAAGTTGTCGCCCATATCCGCGGAAAGCAACTGGGCGGCTCCAGCGCTATGAACTTCATGTTCTGGACGCACCCTTCCCAGCGAGATATAGACAACTGGGGCGCTTTGGGAAATGATGGCTGGTCATGGAAGGCGCTGGCCCCTTATTTCAAGAAGTCAGAATCGTTTGTGGCACCATCGAGCCAGCAGACGAGCGATCTATTGCTCGACTACGTTGATCCTAGCGTTCATGGCACCACCGGACCCATAGCCAATGAGTTCCCTCAACTCTACAGCCACTTTCTCAAAGCCTGGCCGCGAACTCTTGAGAAGCTTGGGCTCGGTGTCGACGGCGATCCTCGTAATGGCGTGGCTTTGGGAGGCTATGTCAACCTGCTCAACATTGATAAGGGCACGAGAAGTTACGCTGCGAACGCTTATCTTGGCCCAGCACGTCGACGGGCCAATTTGAAAGTGCTTACGGGTGCTTTGGTGACCAAGATTATACTGTACAAGACTCGTGATGGAGTCTTGGTCAAAGGAGTTAAGTGGTCACAGGATGGATTGGAGAAAGAAGCGACCGTGGAGAAGGAGGTGATCCTCGCCGCTGGTTCAATTGCCTCGCCACAGCTTCTCGAGGTCTCTGGCGTGGGAGACAAGAAACTCCTGGGAAGCCACGGCATCGAGGTATTCGTTGACAACCCTAACGTCGGCGAGAATCTACAGGATCACATCTATGTTCCTCTTGGGTAAGTTTTCAAACCTCAAGTATCCGGAACTATTATGGGCCAATACGATGACTGATCATCGCTCCAGATTTGCGGTGAAGCCCGACCTACCTACCAACGAGGACTACGCCAACGCAACCTACTTCCAAGAACAGCTCGACCTATACCTTCAAAACAAGACCGGGCGTCTGTCCTCTGCCGGTGCCAGCTCTGCACTCTTATCCTTGAAGCAGATCGCCTCTACTCTGGACTTGTCTCTACCCTCGCCGAAGACCAACCTCCCCGGCCTGGCCGAGCAACACGCCATCACCTTCCGAGACCTCAAATCCGAAGCAATTGCCCAGGAGCTAACGATTGAGGGCGGCATTTCACCCCAGTACTCCGCTGATACGACCAAGCTCTTCTCGGCGGGGTCACCGGGCAACTTCCTCTCCATCCTAGGCGTCCTGGAGCACCCCTTCTCGAGAGGCTCCATCCACCTCCGGTCCGCCGACCCAGCCGTTCACCCCATCATCGATCCACGCTACCTCTCCCATCCGCTCGACATACAGCTCTTGAAGGCAATTACACTTCATCTACAGACTGTCGCGCGTACACAACCGCTGAGCGACCTGCTTCAGGGTGATGGGACAGTATTCCAGCCTGGGTACCATGAACTAACAATAGAGAACGTAGAGGCATGCATCAGGAGCAGTATGCAGAGTGAATACCACCCCTGCGGTACCTGCGCCATGCTGCCTAGGTCAAAAGGTGGTGTGGTCGACGAGAGGTTCAGGGTATACGGGGTTAAGGGGCTGCGGGTGGTTGACGCCAGTATCTTCCCGTTGATTCCGAGGGCCAACATACAGTCTCTCGTCTATGCGGTGGCGGAGCGGGCAGCTGATTTCATCAAAGAGGATGCCCTCTGAGGTGCATTATCTAAAGTATTCTATCTCGCTACCATCGTATATACACATTACATCAGTCCATTACATCCCATTCGGAAACAGATATCCATCTAGAAGCTCAAAGCGAACATTGTCAAAGCAACCGCGGCGAAGACACCAGCCGGGCCAGTGACGCTTCCACCGCTGACGGCAGTCGGCGTAGCGGTCGGGCTCGAAGTACCGTTCGTAGAAGTGGCATTCGCTTTCAGACTCGCGACGCCAAAGGTAAGCTGCTCCGGGTTCGTACCGTTCCACACGGTGTAGTATCCCTTCAGCAACGGGCTGCCCAGAACCCAGATGGACGCCAGTTCGCTAATGGGCTGCACGGGGTTCAGGAAGATAGTCTGGCAGATGCCGCTGTGGCCAGGGTACTCGCCCAGATTGAAGGCGCCCTTGGGGACCGTCATGTTGACCAGGTTGTCGCCGACACCGAGGGTGAAGGTCAGCTCCGGGTCGAGCTTCTCAACCACATCGCAGGGAGCGCCCCAGACACCGAGCTCGTCGATCTGGGTGATGTCGGAGCTGATGGCGGCGTAAATGTCCTTGGCGGTCTGGTAATCCGGCGTCTGGAGAAACGCGGTGCCGGTATCGACGTTAGAGACGCCGACGGGGAAAGCTTCGCCCGAGGCGTTGGAGTTCGAGACAGTCTTGCCGTTGACGTAGAAGGCGGGCTGGTCGATAAACCAGCTCCCGCCAAGGTAGGACACCGTCATGTTGAAGTCAACGTTGGCAATCTCGCCCTCGTAGTAGTCCTTGTTCACGCCGCCTAGCGTGAGCTCGCCCGGGGCGCTGCCCTCGCCGGAGTTGAGGAAGAAGGAGAAGAGGGGCTCCGGGACGCCGCCGTTCTGTGCGAGGGTCCAGAACCAGGTGGAGAAGGAGGTATTTGTCTCGGCGGAGAAGTGGGAGAAGCCGGGGGGTCCGAGGCCGAAGATGCCGTCAATGTTGGGCATCTCGTTAAAGGCCTCGGCGTAGGTGTCGCAGAGGAGCCAGGTCTGGTTCGCGACGGTGAGGTTGCCGACGGTGACGGCGTCGGTTACGACGGTGCCGGATGCGGCTTGCGGGACGGCGTAGGGGACGGACTTGCCGCCTGTGCCGAAGGCGGTTGTGACATTGTAGCCGGGCTGGGCGGAGAAGGTTGTGGAGGAGGAGGCGTTGAATTCTTTGGCGACGAGGCAGTTCGTGCAGGCTGTTGAGGGGAGGATCAGGTCCGTTGAGCCGGTGTCGAAGGTGACGATACTAACAGTTGAGAGTGTTAGTCTACCTGCCCCGTTTAATGTCCCGGGAGACTGAGAAAGACAGCCACGCGTGGGTTACAAGACTTACTGCTTCTGAGGCGGGGTGCCGACGTCGACTTCACCAATCCATTGGAGGTCAAAGTTCTCGAACCAGTTGGTCAAGGAGACTGAGCCGGTGGCCGCGCGCTTGCTGAGAGCCTTTGTCTTTGAGAGATTGGTACGGCGGCTGTGGAGCTTGATGTTCACCGGGTCGGCGGCCGCGGAGTGGCTTAGGGCAAGAAGGGCGACGGCCCCGGAGACTGTCTCGAATCTCATGATGGTGCTTTGGGTTAACGAGCTCAATGAATGGTGTAATTACTATTAGAAAGGTGGGAAGAGAGGATGAGAGACGTGATGCTGAAGGAAATGGAGTGGTGATCCCTTGTCTCGACAAGAGCCCGACATTCTCGACTTATATATCATACGTCGGGTGAAGTTGGCCAGGCACGCGTCGGAAGCGTCAAACGCAGCTTACATCGTTTGTGGATGCTGATCCTCCAGGCAACCTTTCTTGCAAGGGCCACGGCAACGCGGATGCTACAGAGCGTGAGGGCATCTCGAAACAACCTCCAAGAAAATCTCAGCCATGTCGACGTTTTTGGGACTTTGGTCGTCGAGAGACAATTAGCCCCAGGACCTCGTCATCTCACTAGCGAGAAAGCAGAATAGCCTAATGCAGCCCTCATCAATGATCCAGGTCCTGACTCTAAAGCTGTTGGTTAGAGTATACCAAAGTCCCGTTCCCACAGCAGAGGCGGCCGACCGATACCCACATGCCGCTTACGCCTGAGCTTTTGGTCCACGTTTAAGGTCGCAATCGCAGGTGTTTTTGTTGAGTAGCGTGGCATTACCTTGAAAATGGCGGAGCCGGGCTGTGGAGGGAAGACGGCGCTCTTTTTAGGTGAGATGGCTGTAGCCTGCGTATGGGACAGGGCTGAGCCCATGCCGGCAGGGATCTGAGTAGGGACCTACCAAAGCGGTTAGATCCCTACGAGCTTCGGACTCCTCGCATTGAGCTCTCTGAGCCAATGACCTGCTACTCGGGAAGATGAAGAAGAGGTGAGATGTTGGAGATGGGGGTGGGTCGGTACCCTCTATTTCGAAGAACTTTGGGAGACTAGGATCTCACAGCACGGGAAGAGCTACATGGTGCCTTTTGATTTTGGGGGCGGCTTGTCTTAGCACAATGCGGTATTGCGGCACGACTATGACCTGTGCCTTGCGATCCGATGTCTGGGCTCTCAAATGACTTCGTGACGATGATAAGCTGACATTGTGACAAATTGAGGTTGGGATTTGGCCCTGTCAATATGCACA